CCTCCTCTTCTTCTTCTTCATCGTAATCATCTTCCTCTATTAAACTACACAACGGTGTGGAAGAAAAAACATATACAAAAACAAATGTAAGTAAATGGCTTGATTTTTTAGTTACTAGTATTCCTTTTCGTGATATTTAATAAAATAATTCAATTTCAAGAAATATTTTGAGTGTGTATCAAATTATATAGAACCAAAAAACTCAATGGTATCAAGTATCAAAACTGATGAAATTTGAAAGAGAAAAATTGGCCCAATTGGTTGGGAGGAGCCAAGGGGTGATCAAGCATCCATGTATATATCCTTGGGTACCCGACACAAGTAATAAAAATTTGGACCTACAAATTCAAATTGGGTCGTCGTTTTCATCATTTTTATTTCTTTCCAATATTTAATATTTCAAATTTAACTTCGTATTTCTTATCCCATTCTAATTTTATAATATTATAAAGTTACCTTAAATCATGTAATCAAAAGCATCGTCCGTGTGGTAGATGGCGTTGGTGCGTTTCTTTCTGTAATATGTGCCTACATACCACGAGGTGGACCCAACATTACACACTATAATTAGACTGTAATATTTTTTTAATGAAAAGACTAAGCATTATTTTTGTAACATAATGTAGTATCGATAGATGTAAATTTGTATGAATTTACACTATATTATATGGTTGAAAATAAGCGATATATGTAAATTTGGTAGTTGAGGTGAAAGATGTTCCGTGGCATATTTTAGAGTCATAGACAATTAGACTTCTGTTCCTCAACGCCATGAGAAATCATCTGCCTAAAACTTCTTTATGTCCCCCTCACGAAATGTTGACCTTTGTCGTGTCAAAACAAAAGTAAAAGCTACCTTTGATATTATGCTTTGCACAAACTCGTTTTTCAAAAAACCATTTATAGCAAAAAAGAACCACTTTCTTTTAAGATATATCACTTCTTTTAGGTTAATTGGAGAAATTTTTCAATAATGTACTGAAATGAAAGTGGGGGTTGCAAAATATATGTATTTTCCGTAATACTCAAGAACTCTTCAATTAGAAAGGATTCGAAGTAATTTATGCTCACTATTTATCTACTCTAGCTATATTTTCTTTCCACAACAACGATCGTCAAAGTTCGTATATATTATTTTTTCTTGTAAATGCATGCATTCTTATTATAATGTATGAATATACATATTTAGTATTTTGGATCGTCATCATTGTTTTTAGCCCCTCGAAAAAAAAGAGATGCAAATAGAAATTATAAAACATTTATGGAAAAGAAAAAGAAGAAGATTCCGTTCCTAATAAGTAGCCACCATTCTTTCTCACATCTCATTTTCCCTTCTACATGCCCACTTTTCTGCACTTTGGATTTTCAAGTTTCATTTTTCATTTTTCATTTTTCATTTTTCATTTCTATTGTTTGTCGTTATATAGTTATTTCAAAATTTTAATTTTCTGCAAACCTAGCTAATTCAAATGTATCATCTGGCCTAAACTCAGAAGCAATTGTTAAAAAAAAAAGCTCATAAGCAAGAAGCAGCAAATAAATTGTTTGAATTTGATCATATAAAACCTTTTTAAAAACTTATACTGGTAGACCGTAGAAACGTTTGAGCTGCATCAATTATTTACACTAGGAGAGAACCCGCGCAATGCGCGGGTTTATTAAACCAAATATTTTTAATTTAATTATTCAGAACATTAGATTCGAATATATCATTTGTTTTTTACTCGAATATCTGTAAGTTTTGCATTTTGTTTTTTTTCATATAGTTTTAAAATTTAGTTGTTATTTACGTGAAATCTTATATAGACTCATAGTGAATAGTTTCATATGTTTTTTGTTCTTTTATACAATAATTTATCGACTGGAGTTGAGTTCTTCTAATTTTCCTTATACTAACAATCATTATAGATTGATTATTATCCTACAGACTCATAGATAATAATAATTGCAATCCTTTTTAAAAGGAAATGAAATGAGCTAATTAGCCAGTAAGCCCATTTAAAGCTACCATGGAAACGAAGAGGTCCGATAAATAATCAAGCCCATCAAAACGAACAGCATTACACATAATTTTGATTTAGATTTTTTTTTTTTAATACGAAAACGACGTCGTTTTGGTGTAAGACGAAAAAAAAAAAATAAAGCGCAAAACGACGTCGTTTTGGTGTTAGGCGAAAAAAAAAAAAAAAAAAAGAGTGCCACATGTCAAAGGCTGGAGATTGTCCAAGCCTTATTAGTTATGTAGATTTTTATTTTGTTTTGTTTTATTCTGTGATTAGTCATTGAAAATAACTATCGAATGGTATTTTGCGGGTTTTATAAAGTAAATAATAACTTATGGTGACATGAAACAGAAAAAAAAATATAGGGTGGAAAAATGATTGGCAAACATTAATTTGAGATACAACGATCAAATGCTGTCCACTTGCTGATTGCTTTTCATGGAGGTACTTACACAGTGCCACAAATTGTTCGAATTCATTACAAATCTATGGTCTAAAATCCAGTTATATGCATTACAAAATTTTCCTGGTATACTTTTACAATAATAGTGACTCATGAGAACGAATACTTGTATATATCATTTATATTTAAACAAATGATGATACGATTTTCTTTATCAAAAATCTATCCCACAAATTTTTAGTTTCCATCCAGGATGAAAAAATGAAGTTAAAACGGTTAAAACTGATTTCGAAGTTCTAAACATGTTAGATGTTTCGTCAGCCCAAATTTGAAGTACATAAAAAGGTTTCACTTATTTTTCTTTATCATGATTTAAATCTAAACAAATATCAAATCAGTCCAATAACCTATTATTGAAACTGAACTCGGACAAATTTTATAAACCGAAACGGACCAAGACAATATAACATCAAACATCATTACAACTCTATGTAGAGACATCATATGAAACTGATAGTATGTACTATCTAGGTCGCTTAGTGAAAAATTGTTACTCATGCAATGAAATTGATAACCGATCCAAAATATCTTGAATAATTTCAACATAACATCCAATAAACACATATAGAAAATTGTGGAACGTACAAATATTTCATGCATCAACTTTCTTCGTCCGTGGACCGGCAATTTCAGTTTTCAATACTATATATTAAACAAGAATATATATTTTCTTCAGGTCCTTTTCGTGTGCTTTAAAGTCTACTTATTGCCTTGTTTAATCATTTTGAACTCGCAATTTTCAATTAGTTTAAGATATTTTGTTTAATTCAACGGTACAAACTGAGACTTGCTTGTGATAAGAAGATACTTTCACAGAAAAGGAAAACGTAAACAGAATAATTAGCCTTTGTTATCCCATCCAAATAAACAATAGCAGACACCAAACAAATTAAAGTGGGCTCACATATTAGTCACATATAATAATGTAATAATGTATTATACAAAAAACTATATCTACAATAAAAATAGGAGGTCCTTTCTTCGAAGGTTGGCAAGATATTGCAGATTCGTGTCTAGGTTGAGTCATAGACAAATACTAATAAAAAAATTATTCCTTCCCATTGTATATACATGTAAGTGTAACACAACAAATTAACAAGAAGTAGAATACAGCTCTTAACCAATCTCTCTCAAATGTAGGTCCATAGAGTAAATAAAGTAAAATGTAACTTTAAAATCTCAATTTAGATGATAAATTCTCTTAAACAAGAGCCAGCTAAAACTGAAAATAAAAAGCTGCAGTGATCAAAACTGTAATAAAGATTGTACATGTCTATATGAAAATCATAAAATCCATCATAATTAACCGCATCTGAATTTTATACTGTACAAATATAAAACACAGTATATACATTATATATATATATATTACTTAACGTACAACCTAAGGTTGATTATATGATGCTCTACATTGTTATAACATGTGCAGGAAATGTATATACCTCTATATCAATTTGAATGTTCATGAACATAACCAAACTCAATCATGATTTGAGTTTGGTCCGTATAAAAAAATGTTCAAAAAACTGATTTGTCACAGTTTATATCACAGTTCGTATAATGTGTTTAACCCTACACAATTCCACGAGTGTGTGGCGTTAGTGTACATGTATAACTATAACGAAACATGCCTAAAACGTTAGGAGTCACGATCATCAGCGCCAGATACATCAGTTTTGGGTTATACAGATCTGGCAATGCGACCAAACATGTGTCGATAGGACTTACAAATTAATTATGACACAGCGAATCATCATCGTCTCACACAAGAGTTTTTGTATACATCGTTGGATCTGTCACGTGCTTCCATAGGGAATTTACGAAATTACCCTTACAAAAAAGAGAGTCTTGCGTTTTAGGGCAACGAAGAGAAGAAGACAGAGAGAGGAGGAGGAGGAGATGAAAGAAAAGAGTAAAGATTCCTTTTTCCACGTGGACCCCAAACCCCACGCTCTCTCTCATTGTGTGCATGTGAACTTGGCATCTTCTTTTTTTATTTTTTTTAGTTTTATCTTATTTATGTATTTATCTTACCAAGGAAACTGTTACTGAAAAGGATGAGTAACTCTCGTCTCTCAGTCCCACCTTTATTTTTTTTGTAATGTAGACAAAACAAATGACAATAATATGTAACAAAACAAACACACATCGTCACCATTCACCAACAACAAGAACCATTCATTTAAATGATTATTATTACAAGTTACTGTTTTTATTATTTGCTTACGAAAACCCCACATTGTCCCCCCCCCCCCTCTTTATTTATTTATCCATATATCCCCACAAAAAAATAATTAAATCACATTTATTTATTTTTGTTTAAACATTTTTTAATCTCTCCTGAGTATAACTTAATTAAAAATCAAAGATGAAGAAAAAAAAGAAAATAAACAAACCCCCTCCAATATTTAAATTCTCCTCTGATTCTGTATCAAAACTCCAAAAAAAAAAAGATTACTACTAATCTTTTACCACAACCCACCCACCCACCCACCAAACTCCGGGTCAAACCCGAATCATCCCATCTTCATTTTTCACAGATTATTCGTCGCCTTGTTGTTGTTATTGCTCTGCACAAGCTCAAACTCACCTTCCTCCTCTTCATTCTCCTCCTCATCTTCCTCATCGTCGTACTCTTCATCTGTTCCATCGTCATCATCAAATTCCTGAACCGACGGCTGAGGACCAGCAGCAACAGGAAGAGTATGTTGTTGATCAGTTTGACCAGCCACAGTAGTAGTCACTGTCGTTGCATTCACCGTCACCGTCGCAGGAGGCCATTGCTGCTCAGGTTGGACCATCAAAGGAACAGAATTCTCCGGTTTAACCAAACCGGAAGCTGACGAAGAAGATGCAATGTTGTTGTTGCTGTTGTTGTTGGTTTGGAACTTGTTCCTCTCTCTATATAAAGCATCGAGCTGGTGAAAATAGGGACAAGTCTTGGAGTCTTCGGGCCGTTTCTTGTTGCTCTCTTTGACTTTCTTGAAGTACTTGTTTATGTTCTCCCACTTCTCCTTGCACCTCTTCGAGTTCCGGTTGAATCCTAACCGTCTCATCCCCGCTGATATCTCCTCCCACAACGGTCCTTTTGGTCCGTTCTCTTGATACTTGGAATCAAGATTCGTCCTCAGCTTTATCAACGCCTCTATCTCCACCTTCGGCCACCTCGACGAGCTCGCCGCAGTCGCAGTCGCAGAAACCGCAGTCGCAGTCGCCGGAGTCATATGCTGATCGCCATTGTCTGTTTTGGTAACGTCTAAGCTCGGTATCACCGCCTGCGGGAGTGGCGTTTGAGGCGTTTGCTGCTGATTGTTGTTAAGCTGCTGCATTTGAGAGGGAACTTGTTGCGGTTGCGTTTGCGTTTGCGTTTGCGGTTGAGGGATTGATTGGCCTTGTTGGATCGGTTTTTCGGATAGTTTCTGGAGAAACGCCATGACGGCGGCGTCTTTAGCGGCGGACATTGAGCGTTCCTGAGCTAAGATCTCGTGCTCGCGGTTGATTCTAGCGATCTCCTGCACTCTCCAAGACTCGTCTCTGACCATTCTCTCGTGCTCTCGCTTCTCCACGGCTTCTAAAAACTTCCGTTGAAGCTCCTCCTGTTTATCGACGACCTGTTTCATCAGCCGCTCGAAGAAGACTTTCCATTTCCTCTTCCTCTTCTTCCTCCCGGTGGTTGTGGTGGCTCCTCCGATCTCGACGTCGGAGGAAGTGGAGTAAGAAGACGAAGACGACGTCGAATTGTCCGATAGGAAATCGCCGGAGATGTTTGGGAACGAAGGGATGCTCACAGGCTGAGTGTAAGGAGCAATGCTTCCTATCGGCGGCATGACGGTTGTTACCGGCGGAGGAGTAGAGAAAACGGAGCTGTTGTTGTTGTTTTGAGGTCGTAACGGTGGTTGCGTTTGCGTTTGAGGCGGTTGAAGCGTTTGTTGTTGTTGATGATGGTGGAGAGAGGAGGCTGATTGAGTCTCGAGAGCTTCCAATTGATCGAAGAAGCGATAAGTTTTGCCGTCGGATTTTCCGGTGCGGCCGTCTTTGGTTCGTTTGTGGTATTTGTAAACGTTTTCGAACTTCTCTTTGCATTTCTTCGCGTTTCTTATGAACCCAAGCTCCGCCATTTTCCTGAGAAAATAAAACAAGAATATGACCTCACTCACAAATTCATCATTTTTAAAACACGAATTTTGTTTAATTAGGATATATAATTAGTGAAAATGAGGGATATATTATATAGTTGAGAAAGTGGATCAATCAGCATGAGTTTGTGAAAGACTCTCTCGCCTTTCTCAATCTCATGAATAAAACATGACCCAACTTATTTTATCTAAAATTAACTGTTAATTATTAAAGCAAAGTTTAAAAAATTAATTAGACCGGCTTAAAAAAAAAAAACTTGTCTGAATCTGAATCTCACGACGACAAACTCCGGAAGAAAAAAAAACATACATTTTTACAAAATCGGGTGAATTTTTTCCGCTAATTAACCGAATCTGAGACAATTAACCATAGAAAAATTAGATCTTTATCTCCGACAGTGAAAAAAAGAAGACTAACAATCATTTCAGATTAGATCAAATCGTCAAATTGGAAAAAAATTCAAAAAAAAAAGTGAAGAGTCGAATATTACAAATTTCCAAAAGAAGGAAAAGGAATGAAACGCACCTGGAAACCTCTTCCCATAAGGGTCCTTTAACGCTGGCGTCTCGAAACGCTATTCCCATATCAGATCGTATTTTCAGAAGCGCGAGCGTTTCCTGCCGCGGCCACCGGTTTAATCCAAAACCGCGGTCGTTCATCTCTTCCGACACCTCAAACGCTCCAACCGCTGCTGCAGCTGCCGCAGCTTCTGTAGCAGCCGAATCGTTGGATTGTTGTGGCGGCGGCGGCGGTGGAGCCGCTGCGGTTGCGGCGGTTGTGGTTGGAGTACCACCGAGCTGCTGCATCATCGTTGAGGGTTCTCTGATTTAATCCCTTCTTTTTTATTTTCCCTACAAAATTTTCCCCCTCACTCTGTATTTGACGGAGAAGTTACAGGAAATGAAAAATTAAAATGAAAAAAGGGATAAATAAAAATTCAGAGAAGAAAAGGAAAAAAAAATGGGAGAGATAAAGAGGGAGAGAGAGAGAGAGAGTTTACATGAGGAAGAAGAGTGAAATCTCCAGGCGCAGGGTTTTATGGAGTTAAAGAGTTTGTAAATACCTAAGTTAATTTTTTTTTTATTATTGTTTGTGAATGGATCTGCTTGTCAATCTCAAGGAGCCATTCTCGAAATATTTATATTACTATTTTCTTTTATTTCTTTTTATTTTCTCTTTACCTATTTTATTTAAATTTATCCCTTTTATTGATACTTTTCCTTTGTTTGAGCCAAAATGGAATCTTCATAATTTCTCTCTCCTTCATATTTCGATAATTATTATTTCATTTTCAATGTGTTATTTGTACAATGTAATTTGTCATTTAGATTGAATCTACGCTAGCCAGTAAAAAAGGGGAACTATCACCAAAATAATCTTATGGGATTCTACTTCAATGGTTAAAAGTAAGATTATTATTATTACAAAATCTCAATATTTTCATATTTCAGATTTCTCGAAACACGTTAGTTGAACTACGTTAATTGAACTGTATCAATATAACAAAAAGATAATCAATATTATAGACAATATTTAGTAATGTTTGGTTGATTTCGAAATATTAAAATAACATAAATTTTCCGATTAACTAAAATATATATATTATTAACTTTCACTTTTTAATTTTATATAAAAGTTGTTTTGTATTTTTCTGCGAAAATATTTTATAGAAAGAAAAATATTGGTTTAATTTTCTCATATATTATATTAAATTGGTTCAGATTTAGGAACCGTTTCATTAAGCACAATGAATAACATTACCGGAATTTGTAATATAGCGATTTGTACTATTGTTAGCGTGTCAAAAATATGAACTCGAATCTAATTAAGTCTCACGTGAATTGTAACAGCAGTACATAAAAGTAACACTTTTGATAAAAACCAAAAATATATTTTTAAAAATCAACTTTTCGTAACACATTGAAAAATTATACTAATCACTGTTTAGTTTTGGTTTTAATGTGCAAAGAAAAAGTTAAAAAGAGAGCAAATGGGGAAACAGTGTGAATGTGTGATGTTAAAATTAAGAGTTTATCACCATCATGGGTTGTATGTGTAATGATGAAAAAAGAGGGCACAAAAATATACATACGAAGGAAACTGAAGGATTAGTTTTAATTTTTAAACCAATAATTTAATTTTAAAAACAAAGTTATTTATTACAGAGATTTATTGACAGCTGCGCATAAAGACGGTGGTGATTATTATGAGTTGGTTTTTGTCCGTCCAGCTAAACTGTCCTAAAAAGCCTGCTTTTACATCGTAAGCATTTTATCGATTTATAATTTACTTTCAAATTTACGAGTTTTGTTTCCTAAGGACTGAGATGTACTATTTGTCTATATCCCTACGTACGATCCATTCAAACTTATAAAGCGATGAGAAACAAATTATGATATTAAGCTTTAAAACAATAACCAGTTTTTTGGTATGAATGTTAAGAAAACAAATACGAGTTCTTATAAATACGAGTTACAACAATGTTTACACTAAAATTTTACCTTTAGGACAAACTTTTGATTCTGTTAAACATTTGATTCATAAGAAACATCAACCTTGTTCAATTCTGGTAAAGTATAAGTATATATGCGGGAACTAAATTAAACATATTAATAATTAATACGATAGTTTAGTCAAAATATTTTCGTCTACTTCCTAAAGAACCGTAAAAAACCATGATTTTATAACTATAATATAGTTATGAGCGAAAATAAACTATCTCTACAAGGTTTCTTGTCACATGATATGGAAACACAAAATTCAGACGATTGAATAAAAACCCCAAAAAAACGTAAGAAATAAGAGATGGTTGAGTTTTAAGCCACGCAAGAAACAGTGATTAGTGGTTCAGTCAGCGTTTATGAAAAGAAGAAAAAAAAAAAAAAGATTATAAACCAAATTTTAGGATGAAAATCAAACCGTAAAAAAGGTAGGTGGAGATGAGAACGAGATGAGGATCAACTTTGCTTTTTAGAACGTATTTTTGGAGTTCAGTGGCGGGTGACTTACGTATTTTTGGAAATTACTATATTGACCCTAACGTGGATCCCATTTGACCTTTAATCATTGAGGACTATATTATATTTTTCTTAGTTCAACATTTAAAATTGTTATGATTAATAAACTAATCCATCCTTATTACTGATCTGGATTTGTCCCCCCTCGCATTTGCATACACAAATTATTATAATCTCCACAGTATAGTACTGATCGCACACACTCTATAAACAAGGGCTTGATCATTCCAAATCAACAAGAAGATATGACCCAAAGTAATAAAACAATAAATAGAAAGGATGAGAGGGGATGAGAGGGGATGTTGGAGAGGAAGTGGTTAGATGTAATGCAAGTCATTTTCGGGATTGAAGTAAATGGTCACAATTTCCCGTTGAGGCCACACATAGCCTCCGTTATTAATTTGTTATTTTTCGTTTTGGATCATATCAAACCGATTTGACGGCCGTTGTTTAACGTAATTAACTAAAATCAATAATCTAAACACTTAAAGAAATGATTACCGAAACAATAATCTCAATAGTTAAGAAAAGGAACTAATCTCTCTCAGTTTCCGTTTTACCCTACAATTATATTTGTTTCCCATCATTTTTTTAGAAATCTAGAACCAATATTTGATAACATATTTCGGAATGTAAATTTTCATTTACAAATAGATCGGACTAGGGATGCAAGGTTCTTGGAGCAAACCACTAAACCACCATCGAATTTGTCAAAAAAAAAAAAAAAAAAAAAAACCACCATTGATTTGATATAACCCTATCAATTTTCTATTTTGACTTTAAGAAAATTTGTCAAGCTCGGTATATCATACATTCAAAGACCCAAAATATTAGGGTTGAGGCATAGCATAGATAACGGTAAAAGGAAAGACACATTGCAAAATTCTACTAAGAACGAGGTTGTAATGGTAGACACTTTGAGGGTATAGTAAAGTGTAAGTTTTCGAAGGCAGCAAAATGTGTACCTAGGGCTAATTATGTTATCATCATATTCAGCATATTTCGTTAAATGGTAAACGATTGGAGTAATCATCGAAATTCACAGCATTCACAGGCCGTAAATTGCAAATAGCGTTAGATTGGAATATTAAATGAGTTACACGAAAATGTATTGAAAGGTGATTTCAGGGACCATCCTTTTGGTAGCTCCTAAAAGCATTGAATATGATTTTTCGACGAAATTATATATTAGCCACTCGATTTTCGCATGGCTCGATCCTTCACGTTAAATCCTATTCTACTTGTCAAATAAAATTAAAGTATGTTTATCTTATGACATTACAAAAAGAACGAGAAAAGCCATAAAATTAAGTACTCCAGTAATTGATGGGCCACGGTAAATTGAAGGTGTGAAAACAGAAACGAAGAAGAAAAATGCAAGTGGATTGAGCAAAGAGCCATGGACCCATTTACAAGACGAGGTTACTGCACCTAATTTTACCAACAAAAATAAGTGAAAAAAAATGTTTGTGGTCTTTTGTAATCCTATCCTTCTACTTCCATAATATTAACTTTTTACCCCCATAGAGTATAGGAAAGAAACAAAAAAACTCGATTACTATTGTTTTAGAAGTTTTTAAACTTAGCAGACAATTTTAAGATGAACTTTAGTTACCATCATTACTCGCACGGAAAATCACACATTATATACACACAAATATGTGTGTGCACGGAAAATCATACACACACACACACACGAATAAGTGTGTCAGTAACTCCGAACTAGTTAATCTACTCTAAGCATTTGACTCATTTTCCAACGTGGCACCAATATAGAAAGATCTGGTGTTATTTTCGTTTTTTCTTTATTTATACAGTTCATTCTGTTTATTGCATATGAAAAAACAACAGCAATGGATAGAACTTAGAAGTATAGATCACTGTTGAGAAACAAAGCGAAATTAATCTATGATGTTTTCCCCCCGAAAAAATGTATATAAAAAAAACATTACTTTTTCCAAAAAATGAATTATGTAGTTAAATGATTAATGTATTAACAATAGAAGAGTTAACTAATACAGTGGTAACGGAAAAAATGAAAATGAAACCAATGACAGATGAATAATTGTCAATCATTATTCATCACACTAAAAAATGTATTTTTTATACATCTATTTTATTTGTTTTACTGTGATTTTCAATCGTAATTGGCTATTATAAACGTTTTAAATGGCCAAACATTTGATTTTTGTACAACTTTAAAAATCAATTAGAATTTGATCTAAAATTTGTGGCGAAAAAAGAAAAATTTATTCTTACTCTTAGTGATACTTTGTCTAAGTTATAATAAAATCCGTCTTGCCATGACGAATATACAACTCTCTCTCTATATATGTATATATGTGTAATGTAAATACGTATACAACTATATATAGCCATGAGTCATGACGAGTAACTTCAATCTTTTCTTCCACACAGCATGGTATATATAACGGCAGGTTTTGGATTCATGTGAAGCTGCTTCGTTGTCGTAGTTTCTATTCTTCCATTTATGTTAATCCCTTTTATGGTTCTTATGTCAACTATGAATTACGAATGATATGGGTTCTCTTCCATTTATACAGCCGACAAAATCCTAAGTTGAACTAGCCGAAATATTTGTGGTTCGACTTGCTTAATGAACAATTACCACTAAACGAAGATACAATGTGAATGTGAATGTGAAACAGTGAATGGATTGTTTGAAGATTTGATGAGGATGATTAACATGTCTACATCAGTATATATACTATTGACTATTATATTGTCTACCTAAATATCATGGAGCCAAAACGTATATAATAATTTGTACATAACAGACAAAAAAACTAATATAAAATGGAAGCATTTACTTAAGGATTCATAAATCACCCGGAGAATAATAATATATATGTATAATTTAAAGAATAAAAAAATAAATCAGATTCTGCTGCCAAGAAGACTAAAATTATACGAGTGTATTAATTAAGTAGAACAGAGAGATTGCCTAAATATTAAACGATTAAAAGTTTCAACAAGTGAGAAAAAAGGTTGATACAAGTGTGGGTCCACGTATAGGATTTATTAATAACTTCAAAAGGTTGATAAATCTTGGGATTATTTTATTAAAAGTTGGTAGATTCATATATAGCATATATAAAAAAAATACAACCTTGTTATTTTCAACATCCGTGAAAGTAGGAGGGAGGGGAAAAGTGAAATTCAAATTCACGATGAATATTGAATCATACTGTATGTATGATAAAGAGTAAATGTGAATTGGTAAATAGTAAAGGTGATTATTAGGTGAAACTAGGGGTGCAAAAAAAAAAAGGGGTAAAAAAAGGAAAGAGGAGAAAAGTCAGGGGTGGAAAAGGAAATATAAAAAACACATGGCATGTGAGGTTATGAGTTATCTACGCCACTTTGATCTTCCCATGTGGTTTTACCTCTCAGTTTATCTGTCTCCAGCTCACATTTTCTCTATTTTAATTTCAGATTTTCAATTCCATATTTGGTTGTCTTTCTATTTCTGATTTCTTGTGTACTTTGTTATTATTAATGATTTTTTTCTTCTACCAAATAGTTTTGGATACCCAAATTTATATTTTAACAAAAAAAATAACATTTTAATCAAGGGATGTAACATGAAATTTAGCGTGAGGTAAAAGCTTGTTTTTATTTTATTTATAAATGTACAACTTAAGCAAACACTGTTAAATTTTCAAGTAACAGTAGTTCTACCTTAGAATTCTATACAACATTGAGCCCGTTTTTATTACGTCGTTAGTGAATAAGGAACCCTTTTGTAATGATCATATGGGAAAAGCAAGTGAAAAGAAGAAAGGCAAAGCAAACAAAACAAATTGAAAGATGAAAAAGTCTGGAGATTAAAGAGGCTCTTGTGAATAAGGAAAGGGCAAAAGCGGTGAAAAGAGGATAAAAACAAAGGGCACTTCACATTCTTCTTTTGCCTTTTTTTTTTTTTTTTTTTTTTGTGAATTTGGATCACATATTTCACATTTTCACTTTGTTTTCCTTTTCTCTAATCTTGTACATATTATTACGAATGGCTTGATGAAAAGGTATATGAATCAGTAAGCATAATGTGCCTAATTTTTGCTTACTATCCCAAAACCACACAATTTTGGGCCAAACTTGTATTTGTATTTTCCTTTATTTATTTGTAGAGTTTATGAGTAGATGGAGATCACCCAAAGACAAGAAAACAATGCTACCATTTTTCTGATTCAAAAGATTCTTTCATTCACCTAAAAGCCCAATGACCTTCTCGTGTTAGAGAGAATCAAATTCCTCAAGGAAGAAAGCTAATTTAGAGCAGTCGTACTTTTGATAAGTTACTCTCTGTTCTTGTCCCTTTCACTGACTCACTGATACTTACAGGACCATAACTAGGCATATCGAACCACCTTCTATATATGGAAATATATATAGCATCAGAAAATATTAAAATTAGTCTTTACCTCAAATTTCAACTCATAGCTATTTTTCATATTTTCTGTTGATGCAAGCACATTGGTCTTGATTAGTTTATATGGTTAAGAGAAAAGCATAATTAAACGAGTTTATCCTTATTGCTGAAGCCATATAATAAGATCAAGAAATTTCATTTTTCGTTTTCCATCCTCATTTTTCCAAGCTTTTGGTCTCTTTTCTTACTAAATATTTCCCACTTCATTCATTGCCTCTCCAATTCTATCATCTCAGCTTGAACCCGAAGCTTCTGTTCTTCTAACTCTGGAGACTTACACTCAATTTCACTGCTTCTCTAACCTAACAGCTTCCCCACTATCTAGCGACATTCTTCGATTCACATCAGCTTGTGAAAGAGTCAAGTGAGAGACATAGCCCTTCTTGCATTCTTGAAAACCAAAATCTTCATGGCTCTGGCTTTGTCTTAATCTCTTCAATGGACCACCTAATGCTCCATGGTGAGACAGAAGGTGTTCATAATTATCATGATCATCATGGTTTCTGAGTGACATCAAGTGAAGGGATCTTGTTAATCCCAATAGGCTTCTTGTAACGTTTTTAAGTGTCCTCGTCTGCTTCGGACATAATATTTGTGACAAATCACAAAAGTTCCAATGTACTGTATTAGATATCTGGACCCACCATCTATCTTATTAGCATTCAATAATGTTTATTTATTTTAAAACTTTTTTTTGTCAATATTTTAAAACTTTTTAAAAAATTGGATTTGAGGTTGTATCTTTCGAGCAAAAAACTCTCAAACTTCAAAATTTGAGGTTTATTAGAGAATGAAGAGCAAAATCGAGTTAAGAATATTTAAATCATACTATATCATTATAATTTACGTTTTTTTTATTTCTCTCTCTCTCTCTCTCTCTCTCTCTCTCTCTCTCTTCAACTTTGACTTCTCTCAATACTCTAGTCTTTTGTTCACTTACTTCACTTGGAAGAAGATCTTCAGTTAACGATTGCGATTGCTACAGGCGAATTTTTGGCAACCTTCAATCTTCCTCCACGTTGCTCGAGCTTTTCGATCTCTTTTTGGTTTTCGTACTGAGATTTCTTGTTTTGATATAATGCTGCGTTTTATCAAGAGCTCCAAAGCATTATTGTCTTCCTCGATTTCGTGCCGAAATGGAATCAGGAGATTTGACCAGCTTCGTCGATTCGGTTCTGTTTCTGGCTCTTCTCACGGATTAACGTGCAAAGACGCCGCCGTCAATGTCTCGTCCGGGAGATTACCTATCGCCGGAAGCATCACTCAGAGACGGCGTTTCCACGGTGACAGAGAAGGAGAAGAAGGTGATTCCGTCTTGTCTAAAATCTACGAAGAGCGACGTCTCTTGGGGTAAACAAAAGAAAAAACATTTTGTTCGATTTCTCGATCTGTTTTGATTTTTTAGAATATGTTTCCAAAATTGTCTGAAATAGTTTAAATTTGATTTCAGTTTTGTTGTTGTGTATGGTATAGATCCGTACTGAAACACATTCGTGTATTGAATTTGAAGACTTATATGTGCTGTGCTGTGATTTAATTACAGGTATTCACAAGAGCAATTGTTTGATGTAATTGCAACTGTTGACTTGTACCACGGTTTTGTTCCTTGGTGTCAACGGTCTGAGATTGTTAAAGAACATTCAGATGGGTCATTCGATGCAGAGATAGAGATTGGTTGCATGTTTCTTGTCGATAATTACACTTCCCACGTCGAACTAGAAAGACCTAAATGGATTAAGGTTACCATTTTTGTCTTCTTGTTTTGATGAACAGATTAGAGTCATGTTGGTTCTCATCAAAATCAATCCCTTTTTTTTTCAGACAATAACAAAAGACTCACGGTTCTTTGACCATTTGATCAATGTCTGGCAATTTAAACCCGGACCCATTCCAGGAACTTGTCATCTTCACTTTCTTGTGGACTACAAATTTAACTCACCTCTTTATAAACAGGTAAGCTCCAAAATTGAAAGAAAGTGAGAATGTAACCGGAATAAACCGGTCCAATGATGGCTTATTGTGTTTTTCTTCTTCAGGTGGCTTCTATGTTCTTGAAGGAGGTGGAATCAAAACTGGTTGGCACATTTAGTGATCGATGCAAGGTCGTGTATGGGCCTGGGATTCAAGTGGATGATTCAGTTTTATGAGGGGCTTTTGAGAAAAATTATATTACAGTTGTCACTTTGCATTCATGTACATTTCTCTACTGTTTCATTGCTGAATTTACAATTTGTGATAAATAACATAAGTAGGTGACAAATGTATTTTCATTTGTTACTTTAGAAAGAAAAATTACAAATTGGGGAATGTTAGTTTATATATGGGCCTTGGCCCAAAATCCTTTTCCATATAATGAAACTTATAAGTTGTCTTCCTGGTTTTTAATTTTCGGACTTTGACATTAGACTTGTTGTGTCCGGTGACGATTCATTATTATTCATCGATACCAAAACCCTTTTCGAGAAGTTTTTCTTCAATTGTCTACACGATGTCCGGCGAGGAAGACGCAACCGTCAGGGAGCCACTAGATCTAATTCGCTTGAGTCTCGACGAGAGAATCTATGTCAAGCTCAGATCAGACCGCGAGCTTCGCGGCAAGCTTCACGTACGTTTTTCTTTTTGCCCTCGTTTGAATTGAGACTGTAGTTGTACCTTCAATTTCGAAACGAGTTCGTTTGAGTTTAGTAATTGGTCTCATTGATTTCACTGTTTCATGTCGAATTCGTCTTCTTTTGGGGGAAAGTCTAGGGATTTTGCCTTTCCAAGTTTCAATTTTTTGTTTTAAAAGTTTCTCGAGTGATTGTGATTAGCTTTAAGTGGAAAGTTTTGAGGAGAAAACCTCAATTTTGGAAAAAGTTAGTAGATTTTGAATGATTTCGACACTCTTCAAATTGCTCACTGAAGTTTGATTTTGTTAATTTTGTTCCTCTTGGGCAGGCGTTTGATCAGCATTTGAATATGATACTGGGTGATGTTGAAGAAGTTATCACAACAGTAGAAATCGATGACGAGACATACGAAGAGATTGTCCGGGTACGTGCTTCTCTGACTCTATAGGATTTATGTTTAATTGAGGGATATTGATGGGTTTATATCTCAAGGCTAAGCTTGTTGTTAGAGAACAATTGTAGAAGTGTCTTTTAGCTTTCACATTCATATCGCAGACTTACAAGTTTCAGCTCAACGAGTCTGTTTTGTACCTGTCTAGTACATTTACTAGCTGTTACTTAGCTGCCCGAATTGAGACTCGTAACAAACTTGACAGATTATAACCTACACGGATCTTATATTCTCTGAATGATTAGCTATTGGATCAAAATCAGCATAGAATTTCCATGTAACTGGCTGTTTCTAGTAGTGAAGTCTCTTTAAGCTTATTAGGCACTCTCGTAAGCTAGCTTCTGTTCTAATTAGGATGAGGCGGTTTGGTTTTGGTCTCTCCTGTATGTGATTGGTTTTTCTTTTACTATCTGTGAATGCAGACGACAAAGCGCACGATTCAGTTTCTATTTGTGAGAGGAGATGGAGTGATATTGGTGTCTCCACCACTGAGGACAGCCTGAATTTAAAGTCAAGTTGAGAAACTGTTTAAACAACAAAATCTTCTTCTCTATGTGGTGCTTGGTGACTATTGTTGTATTAGTCACTTCTTGTCTAAACTCAAAAAAAGCTTGAAGAAATCTATGTTGCTTGATTCCAATTTCTTTCGGATATATCTACTTTAATCGTGTGATAGTCTTAATTACAACTCACAAGTATCCGAAGTTTACTTACAAATAAGATAGATTCGGAAGAAGAAAATCAAACAGGAAAAAAAAGACGAAACCAAAGAATTATGATCATTTACGTACAAGAAAAGGAGATAAAATGTCATAAGAAAAAACAAAGTAAATCTCTTTTTATTCATCTTCGTCTGGGTCTGGATTGAATCGGAGAACCAGATGATTGTGATCCTCTGTAGTTTCTGCTTGGAGAATCCATCGATCCTCTGTACGCAGCTTTTGGTATCAACGCAGGCGTTGACTCCACCGGAGTTGACTCCGCAAAGCATGCTGTGTTCACACGAGTTCTCTCCAATTCCGATTGTAGCAACTCGCTTGAATACTGTTTCGTTAGAGCCTGTTTCACAAAAGAAACGATTTTAAGATTTGACGTTTCGAAAAATTTGTTGGAAAGAGAAGGAAGAAGAAAGATGTTATACGAGGAGGTCATCAGCTGAAACAGAGGATCCTTGTTTGTCATCTGAAACTGTGTCTTCGCTGCCACGTGTTGGTCTGCGATTATGCCCCGGCGTTGTCTCAACTGCTTCACTGATGCTCTCTATAGCTATCTCCAACACCGTTCCTTGTAGAGATTTGAGAGACGCGGTCGCGTCGCTTGTGAAATATGAACTCAGTACCGTCTCAAAATACTCAAGCTGCAGCAGCAATAGCCACTTTTTTTAGTTTTGTTCCAGTTTTTGATTAGTCAGGATGGTGAAAAAAACCAAGAAGTTACCTCAAACATGAGCTGGCAGAAACCATTTGTATCGATTGATCTCAGGTCTTCTGATCTGTGTTCTTCCACAAGACTGAGAAAAGTGTCCATTAGTCCTTCGATCAGAACGCCAAGAATCTTTTCCAGCAGAGGTTTTGCACCCGCAAAGACCTGCAAAGTTTTAATTTTCCAGTACAAAAGTTATAAGGTTTCGCTCTAAAAACACACTCAGTAAGATTTCTGAATATAAAAGAGCCAATACCTCTGCATGGACAGCTACAAGAGTGTGCAAGAGCTCAACAGCCGCATCTCGTATGCCCTGAAAGATTGGACCACATGTTTAAGTAATTCGTTTTCTTCACAGAAATCAAGAGGTTAATGATAGTTTTATCACTACGTAGAGATTTTCTTACTTTTACTTGAGGTGCTGATCCCCACTGTATACCAGAGTCTAGCAAATAGTTTGTGGCAGCTGTTCTGATCAAATTTGCCTGAATACATGTAAATTTCTCGGAATTTTTCAGTTCCATTTGTAACATGTAGCAAAGCATTCTTAGAACTAACCCGGACGGAAGAAAAATGATACCTTAGCAAAAGTGTAATGCTCGAGGACCTTCTCTCCAAGACCAGAGAAAGACATAGTTAGATCTTGAAGATCGCTGACGTCTTCATCTTTGTTCCTGAAAATAAAAAAATCAACCAAGTCTTACTCTAGCTGAATGTTAACACAATATACCAACCAATTCTCCCATTGGGCAAGTATGAGTCATTTAACCATACACGAGTATGTCCAACTTGTCTTGTCTACCACTTAAAGAAGAGGTAGATAACTATCGATGTTTAGAAAAGGACTAATGACGTCAAGTAAGCAAGGGACGAACCTAGACTGCAACCAGGTGGATTTGAACTTCTTGTAAAGCTCTGAAGCAAGTTCATCTTTGCAATAACCTATGTTACTTAAGACCATCAACAACCGCTTGTGAGGATTGACAACACTTCCGTAGGTGTTGGCTGATGATACTTCCTGGTGATCATCAGAATATCCGGTTTTCCAATTCTCTTGAGTTGAGGTGCTTTGTGAAAGATCCGCACCAATTTGCTCCAGGTGAGCTGATACATTGGGGATAACAAATTAGCACATCGACTAAATAACTGTATAGTGTGTGTATCCATGTGTCTGTCCATAAGAATATAGTGGCATTTGCATGAAAAGTCGTACCAGCAAAATCTAGAAAGCAGTTCAAAAAAGCCAGTCTAACAGATATCAGGATTTCCTCAATCTGGGCAAACATATCTTCTGATTTGGCAGCTTCACCTTTGACAGACAAAATCATCCTGAAAGAATACACAGAAATCAACATCTAAACTAGGTCAACACTGTCGTAACAACTGACAACAAGGAGTTTTAAAAGTGCACATTTGTGTATGGAGTTTCCTGAATAGCAAATGAAAAGCATGTAAGACCCGTTTCCTATCACATCCATGCAATTATTTTATATATGTTTACCAAAATACACTCGAAACTTACAGATTGATTTGTTCCATCCCAGAGACAATAACTGAACGGAATGCAAGAGGCAAGTAAGAGATGGCATATGGAGATCTATTCCTTTCAAGAATAGAAACAGGTATCCACGTCTCCTCTTTCGATATTCCTTCTGTGGACGCCCTCATCCAAGAGCAAAGCCTTTGGATATAAATCTTAGTGATTTCCGCCTGGACTTTTCTTAGTGCGACGGCTGTCATAACCAAAAAGCATATACAGCAACTTAGTATACTTCAAATCAGATATTAACATGGTCAAGCTTCAGAAGAAGTTCAAATACCAGCACTGTGAGGCACTGACTCTTTGGCTTCAAAAGCTTGGCATGCTTTTAATACTTCATTGATGGCACCACTCATAAATGGGCGGAGAATGCATGATTCATCAAAATCACAAAATGTACTGTGCACCTACAACAGCAGTAATCATGGAAAAGAAAACATTTAGAACCATTTATTGGCATATATACCACAAGGTAGACCGTTCTAATATGGAGAGAAGTTCCACCGGAAATGTCATTTTATAGAAAAATGAATAAGAAAGAAAGAAAAGCACCTTCTCTTCATAGACAGAAATAGTCTTGCGTATCATCGCAGCAACTTCTTCCAAAGAATGAGTTGAATACTTTGCCTCTGTGACCTTCTCCTCAGCTTTATTGGCTGAAGTATCAGCAACTTGGGAGGACTGGACAGATAAGCATTTATATTCAAATCCAAATGACGAACCATCTCCAATTCAACCAAGAAATAAGTAGGTACTAGGCTCAGCATAAGTAAAAATAAGTTGGAACAGCATAAGAACATAAGCAGAGAGAACAGCCAACCTTGGCAAATTTTCCATTGAAAACAGATATAGCTGTTTTCCAAAACACAGGGATATAATGCACAAGCACAGCAGTCAATCTTTTGATGTATCTTCCTTTCAAAGCATCAATCTCTTCGCTTGCAAACTCCACTGATTGTAGATCAAGTTGCACTTCATTGTTTTCAATAGCATCTGACTAAGGGATTGGAAAAAACACATGTAATCATCTATATAACTGAACCTCAAATAGTCGTCTAATGAGATATAGCAATTCTAAATGTTGGACTCACATTTAGAACGACATTTTGTTGAATTTGTTGCCACTTCGCATCCGAGATTGCTCTCTCACGAGTGTCTTTGCGCAAAATTTCCATCCTTGCTTCATGATCATATGTACACTTCTCAAGCAAGCCGTAGATTCTATGATTCTGGTAAATTAAAGAGCCAAGCAAGATGACATCATTAAGATACACGACGATGCAACAAAATGTTTGAGAGGCACACACATGAACACACACACAAGTTATTATGAGTGTGCTTCCCAATTCTATAGAGGTGCTAAGATGAGACAAATGAATGATTTTATTTACTAAAAGCGATTCTGTACTCAAATAGTCAAATCAATTCTATTAGGAACCCATATACTACGCAAAATATAGCAAGATGGATGTAAAAGAGTGATAGCTTCGAATTTTACCGACCTGAACACTTAGATAATGCCAAACAGGATCAGATTCGGGTTCCAGCTCCAGCAAAAGCCTCACGGTGTTTTCCAGCTAAATTAAGAAAAAACACACTGGACTGCGTCAAGCCTGGTTTCTCAAAGTTTTCAAAAGGAAGTAAGAAAGATATCAAAGTAGTTGTACACATGGAAAAAATGGAGAATCATTGTGCAGAAATCAAGTAAATGGGTCAATAACCAAAATTACTCATTTTTTTACAAAAATTGGAAAAATGTAAATGGGATATTTTTGATCGAAGTTACAACTGATGACTGCAAATAAGATGAACACGAGACTAAAATTTTAACTTGATAGCAGTATTATGAAAAATGCATTTGGTGAATATTTGGATGAAGGATTGTTCAGTTCAATCACTAGTTGACATTTGAATAAAATGAATAATAACTGACATACACTGGTGAAGTCTATTTTTGGATCTTCCATAGACTTGTAAAGAGTGCCTTTAAATTCCAGCATAACTTTCTCAACCTCCTCGAGAACACGCTTGAGTAAATTTACCTGAAAACAGTTTTTTTCCATGTTGTTAAGAGCTTTGTTTTGTAAGTAAAGTAAGTAAACTCGAAATGAGAAAAAAGACTCAGTGCATATAGGAAAGTGGATAGCATGTGACAGAAAATTTTAGGCATACATACATGCGAAGGGAGAGCAATAGATTTTGCTTTGTTGTATTCTCGAACAGCCAAATCATATTCACCCTTGCTGATACTGCTACGAATGATACTGGGTAAATTAAAGAGTGTCCGGAACCTCTGAAGCATTCCTTGTACAGACCTGATTTTCTCAGCTTGGGCCTAAGAATGATCGTGAAAAAGGCTTCAGCAAATTGAAAGAGAGTGACAGCAAAAATCCAAAATCAGACCACACCAACCTGTCTCTCAAACAGAGGCTCAAATGCAAGATTGGCCCTTGATGTCACACTTTTCATACAATTGAACAAATGAGTCGTTCCTGACCCTTCTGGGTCTTCTTCAATCCGCTTAAGTTTTGACTCAATATCTATTAAGAAAATCAGTAGTCTAGACATCAACATGATGATGATAGAGGAAAGACACAAATCATCCAATTAGTGCAATAATACATACCATCAATAGTTGTTTTACATGAGACGAAGCAGTCAAAATTGTCTTTTACCAATTGTTTCCTTTGCAAATTCCGACCCTTTAAGTCGCTTTTCAGGCCAAGTGCACCAGCCTCCAAATCTGCTGCACTTGTGTCTTGGTGGATGCGAGACAGAAACAGCTTCGGATCGAAATGATCAGAGAAGTAAATCAACTTTTCTGCAAATATACCAAAGAGGATAATTAGCATTAAGAAAACTGGAAACTGTACATAGAACAAGCCCTCGGAGAAATCAAATACAACTCTAGTTGTAGGTATTAAGAAGAAAAACATACCCCGAAGTGTATTATCCACTTTCTCAGATTTTGATGGACTGCCTGACGACTCGGTGATTAATCTCAGTGTCTTGTTGTCTATTATCCTACATAGTAAGCAGAGTCAGGTTCAGATAAGTTTTATCATATCAAAGCCAGAGAATAAAGTATCTGACAAACGAGAGCAATTACCCTAATTTGAGAGGATCAATACATTCCATCCCACGAGGGAGTGACTGCAAACTAGTCAGAACCGCTTTCTTGCCAGGTGCAGATACCTTATCATCTAAATTCTGAACCACCGGTGCCGTTCTCGATTCCCGCATATCACGAACCCTACGTGCAAGCTGCCAAAACGTCGTCGGAATTAGTTATGGTTCTAACTTGTACCATCATCTGCTAATTTTCAAGCTCTCTACATCAACACCACTCTGGAAACTAAGGATAACATTCAGTGTCGTACAATTCAACAAATTGATCGAACAAGCAATTATCACTTAGCCTACATCAAATTAACAATGTAACAAGAACAATTTCGATCGTTCACACCCAGAATTTTGCCAAAATTGAATCCACCGGATACGTACCTCAGCTTCATTAACCCGTTTCCAACAATCAGGCTCGCCTCCATCCCAATTCCCATCGTCCTCTTTCCTCGCTCTTCCCTTCTCCCTGACATCGCTGCCTCTTCCTTTCCCCGGACCACCACTAGAGCCACCTCTCTCCCGTTCCCTCTCCAAATCATCATCCCCACTCGAAATGCTTAGCAATTCCACCTCCGACTCATCGTCGTCATCCATGGAAGGTTTCCTAACCGCAGATTTCTTCGGCGGAGGAGCGGCGGCAGCCACCGGCTTCTTCGGCTGCTGCACTAGATTGGCGACAGGCTTGCGAGCCGAAGCTGAAAGAGGCTTCTGATAGGTAACATCTCTCTGAGCCTGCTCCTTGAGCGCCATTTGTAGAAGCTCATCTTCGTCGCTGTCGCTAGACATGTTTCGGTGGTAATCAGATGATCGTCGTCAGTCTCTCTCTCCGCTTGAGCTAATCGTAGAGATCTGAGAAGAGAGCTTTTTAATTAGGAGAATTTTCTGTTTGTGATTTGTGTGACTGTGATGACAACAGTCCCTTTTTTCCTAATTTTGTTTAATTTTAAGATTAATACTGAGAAAAATCAAAATATGGCGATGATGATGATGATAAATATCTTCCGGTGTTGGTGGCTTTGGACCGACACATGTTTTGCTGAATAATATAACACTCCATTTTCTTCTTTCCAGCTCTTAGATTATCAGATTTTTAGATAAAATTTAAAGAGATTAATCTTGAAAAGTTGTTCGCAGAAATTATCGAAATAACTTTTGTTGGGATAAGATTTGTCATTTCTCGCATATACATAGCTTTGTTAATACTAAAAGCATGAACTCATGATTTCTGAAAGAGCTCTGGTGGTTCAACAACTAAAGAGTAAATGAATCTGAGTGTTAAGCCATGCAAAAACTGGTATTAGCTTCAGTCTTCAGTTTATTGAGGGGCTTAGAAGAAATTCTTGATAACATGTCGAAAAACGATCAAATGCAAGAACCAAATCATACTTTTGACATTCATGCAAAGGCGAGAGACATCTAAAATGGAAGACTACCAAATGTATCTTCGAAGATTTTTAACACGTCTAGTATTGTTTATAACCAGAAAAAAAATAAAAACGTTTATTATCCCAAAACACAATCAATCACAAAAAAATATTCTGTAGGAGAAAGAAAAAAAAAAACTAGCGTTTGTTTCCGTGTTGGCTTCCGTATTTAAGTAGCGTTAGAAATTTTTAGAATCGGAACGTAATTGTAACACAGCGTTTTAATTTTCTTTTTGCTCAACCCTAGGGAAGCTTCACGCCGGTTTCACAAACTTCTTAGTTTTTGACTATCTCTCTCTCTCTTTCTCTGCGCCGCGCTCTCTCTCTCTGAAGCTCGCTAACCTTGTCGATTGATTCTTCTCCGAGATAAGGTAACGCTTCTTCGATTCTCTTCGTCGACACACAGTATTGCTTTCTCATTTTCCGTTCGATTGATTAAACCTAAATTATTTTTTCCGTTCGATTTTAGAAATTTGTTCACCTGGATTAGTCGGAAAAGGGAATTGGTACCGGAACTGAAATTTATCAATGGGGCGGAAGAAGCCGAGTGGTCGAGGTGGTGATGATGAGCAACCAGCTGCTAAATCTAAGAAGAAATCCGTTCAAATCGATGACGATGAGTACTCCATAGCTACGGAGCTCTCTGAGGAGTCTAAACCTGAGGAAGAGAAGATTGTTATCACTGGGAAGAAGAAGGGTAAGAAAGGCGTTCAAATCGATGACGATGAGTACTCCGTAGCTACGGAGCTCTCTGAGGAGTCTAAAGCTGAGGAGGAGAAGGTTGTTATCACTGGGAAGAAGAAGGGTAAGAAAGGTAATAAGAAAGGTGCGCAGCAGGATGATGATTTTGCAGTTGAGGGAGACGATGTTCCGGAGAGTTCTTTTGTAGGGAAGAAGAAGTCGAAAGCTAAGAAGGGTGGCTCTGTTAGCTTTGCCCTGCTTGATGATGAAGATGATAAGGAGGACGATGCGGAGGATAATGATTCTGATGGTGACAAAGATGATGAGCCAGTCATCAGTTTTACGGGTAAGAAGCATGCGTCTAAGAAGGGTAAATCACCATTTGCGGCTTCAGCTTTTGATGCACTTGGTGGTGATGATGATAATGATGAGGATGAAGAGGAAGACGCGTCTACTATCACTTTCTCTGGCAAGAAAAAGAAGTCTTCTAAGTCTTCGAAGAAGAGCACTAATTCATTTATCGCTCCTTTGCTTGATGAGGATGAAGAAGAGACTGATGTTTCAACCTCTAGACCTGACGATATTGAAGATGAAGAGAGCCCCGAGATCATGTTTTCGGGTAAGAAGAAGTCTTCTAAAAAGAAGGGCAGCAGTGTTTTGGCTCCATTAGAAGTTGCTGAAGAAACTAGCGAAACTAAAACGTCTGATTCTAAGAGTGAGGAGGTCGTAGAACCTGCAAAGAGTAAGAAAAAGAAGAAGAACAATAAGAGTGGAAGGACAGTACAGGAAGAGTTCGATTTAGACAAACTTCTTGCAGAGCTTGGTGAAGCCCCTGCTGCTGGAAAACCTGCTTCACCTCCGCCCGAAGAAGAGAAAGTGCAAGCTCAGTCTGAGTCAGTTGAACCTGTAGAGAATGCTGGTGAGAAGGAAGGAGAAAAAGAGACAGCCGAGTCTGCTGCAGCGAAGAAAAAGAAGAAGAAGAAGGAGAAAGAAAAGGAAAAGAAAGCGGCAGCAGCTGCTGCAGCAAGCTCTTCTGTGGAGTCTGAGGAGGAAAAACAAGAAGAAGCAGTAACTGAGCCACTAAAGCCGAAGAAGAAGGATGCAAAGGGTAAAGCAGTTCCTAAACATGTTAGAGATATGCAAGAGGCTCTTCAACGGCGGCAAGAAGCGGAAGAGAGGATGAAGAAGGAAGAGGAAGAGAAATTGAGAAAGGAGGAAGAGGCGCGCCTCAGGCAGGAAGAGCTTGATAAGCAAGCTGAGGAGGCTAAGCGTAAGAAAAAGGAAAGGGAGAAGGAGAAACTGTTGAAGAAGAAGCTAGAGGGCAAGCTTCTAACAGCAAAGCAAAAGGCTGAAGCTCTGAAGAGGGAGGCTTTTAAGAACCAGTTGATGGCTGCAGGTGGAGGTCTCCCTGTTGCAGATGAAGCTGAGCCTACCTCAAAGCGTCCCGTTTATGCCAACAAGAAAAAATCAGCTCGCCAAAAAGGCAATGACTCTGCTTCTGTCCAGGTTGAAGAGGAGGTAGAGTTAAAAGAGAATCATGTAGATAAACCAGATACTTTAGGTGAATTGGGTTCAGTAGACACTGCAAAGGTTGATGTAATAGAGTCACCAGACACAGACGATAAATCAAGACCTTCTGATGTAGCTCAGGAGAATGGGGTTGAGGAAGATGATGAAGAAGAAGCTGGGTGGGATGAAAAAAGCTGGGATGATGATGATGTTAATCTCAAATTCAAAGGTGATTTCGATGATGAGGAGGAAGAAGCTCAGCCTATAGTTAAGAAAGAAATAAAGGACGCTGTATCAAAGACAAATGGTTCAGGTTAGAAGGAACTCTAGTTCTTTGTTCTTCTTCCTAGTGTTTCATCGGTTGTCTGTTTTAACCCTATCTTTTCAATTTTTACGCAGACCCTGAAGCTGGAAAACCAACATCTAAACCAGCAAGTACGAGCAACCCAACAGTACCTGTCACTAAAACTTTGCCTGAAGTGGAAGATGATGCACATACAAAACGTGCTACCCGGGCAAAAGATAAGGGTAAAGGTATAGCTGTGAGTGAACCTAAAGAGGGTGAAGAAAATCTCCGGTCTCCCATTTGCTGCATCATGGGTCATGTTGATACTGGTAAAACAAAGCTGTTGGATTGCATCAGAGGAACAAATGTGCAGGAAGGTGAGGCTGGAGGTATTACTCAGCAGATTGGTGCAACGTATTTCCCTGCGGAAAACATCCGAGAGAGGACTAGGGAACTGAAAGCCGACGCAAAACTTAAGGTGCCTGGTTTATTGGTTATTGATACACCTGGCCACGAGTCGTTCACGAATCTGCGTTCAAGGGGTTCAAGTTTGTGTGATCTTGCAATTCTGGTGGTTGACATTATGCATGGGTTAGAGCCACAAACCATAGAATCTCTCAATCTCTTGAGAATGAGGAACACGGAGTTCATTGTTGCATTGAACAAGGTGAGTCTGCTTGTCATTCTGCTAGGTTTAGAATGGAGTTTTGTTCTCTATTGTTAATTCCCTTGTGACTTTCAACTTTCAGGTGGATAGGCTATATGGATGGAAAACATGCAAGAATGCTCCTATCGTGAAGGCAATGAAGCAGCAAACTAAAGATGTTACAAATGAATTTAACATGAGGCTCACTGGGGTAAGTAATATGTCTAGAGTTTCTTATGAATGGTTTTAGCTATCACTTTGTGTACATATTATTCAAATTGTGGTGTTTCGTTGTTATTTCAGATTATAACCCAGTTCAAGGAGCAGGGACTCAACACTGAGCTTTATTACAAGAATAAAGATATGGGAGAAACTTACAGTATTGTTCCTACTAGTGCTATCAAGTAAGAATTTCTGTTTATTTTTTTTTCAATTTACATCTCAACAGACAGGTCATGCATCCTAAGTAAGTATTTGGTTAACTTTGGTTCTTGATATTGCAGTGGGGAAGGAGTCCCAGATCTCTTGCTGTGGTTGGTTCAATGGGCTCAGAAAACAATGGTTGAGAAACTTACATATGTTGACGAAGTGCAGGTCTCGCTCTCATCTGTCTTTTATGGAATATTTGTTTCTGCACTAATTCAGCATGCGAATTCTTATCCCTTTTGTTTTACATGGTTGAACAGTGTACTGTGCTTGAGGTCAAAGTTATCGAAGGCCATGGTACAACGATTGATGTTGTGTTGGTAAACGGTGTACTTCATGAAGGTGATCAAATCGTCGTCTGTGGGTTACAGGCAAGTAGAAACCTTCTGATCTAAAACCCCAAACAAGTCATGCACTAGGTATACATAAAAATAGAACTTAGAAAAGTGACATCATATATTCCTCCTATTTCAGGGACCTATAGTCACAACGATTAGAGCATTGCTCACTCCTCATCCAATGAAGGAGTTACGAGTGAAGGTACTTCCAGATTCTCCACGTCATGTGTCTTGTTCATGCAAATTGCTTCCTCATTCCTTTCTATACATAACGTAATTTCCTGGTCTGATGTTTCAGGGTACTTATGTGCATTATAAAGAGATAAAAGCTGCACAGGGTATCAAGATTACTGCCCAGGTGATTGGACCGATTCCACAACTATCATAGTTGCAATTAAATTTACTGCCGTTAGATGATCATATCTAAATATTGTTTCCCGTTTTTGGTTTGTGTTTAAAAAAGGGCCTTGAACACGCAATTGCCGGCACTGCTCTACACGTGGTTGGACCTGATGATGACGTTGAGGTAATCAAGGAGTCGGTTATGGAAGATATGGAGTCAGTTTTGAGCAGGATCGACAGAAGTGGTGAAGGAGTCTATGTACAAGCGTCTACACTAGGGTCATTGGAAGCTTTGCTCGAATTCTTGAAGTCCCCAGCTGTGAAGATACCCGTCAGTGGTATCGGCATTGGACCGGTGCATAAAAAGGATATCATGAAGGCGGGAGTGATGCTCGAGAGGAAAAAGGAATACGCTACGATCTTGGCCTTTGACGTGAGAGTGACAACAGACGCTCGTGAGCTGGCGGACGAAATGGGAGTGAAAATCTTCTGCGCTGATATCATCTACCACTTGTTCGACCAGTTCAAGGCTTACATGGAGAACATTAAAGAGGAGAAGAAGAAGGAATCAGCAGATGAAGCAGTCTTCCCATGTGTTCTTCAGATTTTACCGAACTGTGTGTTCAATAAGAAAGACCCAATCGTCCTTGGAGTTGATGTCATCGAGGGTATACTTAAGGTATCGTATTCTTACTCTGTAACTCTCTCTCTCTCACACACACACGTGTCCTTAGGATTCAAACTTTTTGTCTTGTTGGTTTCTAGATTGGAACTCCGATCTGCGTCCCTAGCAGAGAGTTCATCGACATTGGCCGCGTTTTCTCCATTGAGAACAACCACAAGGCTGTTGATTATGCAAAGAAGGGCAGCAAGGTGGCGATTAAGGTAATAATAATAGAGAGAGAGCGTTGAAACTTTTGCTTACAGCTTCACAGATTCACATTGTAATTGATGATTTCTCTTGTATATACAGATTATTGGTTCGAATGCGGAAGAACATAAAATGTTTGGAAGGCACTTTGACATGGAAGATGAGCTTGTGAGTCACATTTCGAGGAGGTCTATTGACATACTCAAAACTAACTACCGGGTAAGTGGAGAAGAAGTTTGATTTCTCCTTTGTAGTTTTTTTCTTTCAAATAAAAATGATCTGAAATCGAAACTCAAATTGATAATTGCAGGATGAATTAAGCATAGATGAGTGGAAGCTAGTTGTGAAACTGAAGAACATCTTCAAGATACAGTAGATTCCCGACAAACGTGTACTTTTGGAGCTTGAAACAACCACTCGGATGCCTTGTTATGATGTGTCTGCGACGATGCAGAACAAAACAGATATATTCATCTTCCTGCTTCTAGTCGAAGCATTCAGTTCACAGAAGAATTGAGAAGTTAAAAGAGTTTTGTTTCGTTTTTGTTTTCATATTTCCCTGAAAAAGTGCTGAATAATTGGTTCATGAATATGTTGGCAAAAATTGCAGGGAAGTCTTTCGAGAAATATACAAATATTATCCTTTATTATGCCCTTTTGAGTTATATCCAATTTTGTTGACAATAAAAATTAAACGAATAAAAATGCTGTGTTGTCTCGTTATGTCATGGGTTTTGTGCAAATCAAACCCTCAATTTAAAGTTGTGCAAATCAAACCTCTGAAGTCAAAATAACCCCGCAATATAAGACATCTCTATATTTGTGACAAAATTTAAAATGATTTTATGCAAAACAACTCGCGAACTATTTTTTGTGTGCAAATCTAACCTTCAACTTAAAAAATATGCAAGTCAAACCTGCAAAGTCGAAAGTCACTGCTAAAATGAACTTATATGTATTTGTCCATAACTACAAACGTTGACTCAAAACGTCATGACATTTATAATATTTTAACAATTTTTATTAAAAATACTTAAAACAATAATTCAATATTTCTTCTCTTTTTTCTCCATCAATAAGGAGAGGGTTAGGATTTTTAACCAAATCCAAAAAAACTAAACCGTAGCCAATCCAGAAAATCAAAACCGAACCAACTTACTCACAATATAGTTACTTGGAAGATCTGAAGTCCTATGTCTTTATGAGCCTCTCTCGAATAATTCTATTGCAAGTAAATTAGTTCTTATCTTTGTCTCTTCGTCGTCATTAGTTAATGAGATCATGAAGAAAAGAATCAACTTATTCGCGATAAGATTACTCGAGATAAATTTATTAATAAGAGGAGAAAGAGAAAGGAAATTAAAGATTAAAGTTTTTTGTTTTTGTTTTTTTTTAATTTACTTTTAATAAAAATGGTTAAAATATTATTAATGTCATGACGTTTTGAGTCAACGTTTGTAGTTAAGGACAAATACATATAAGTCCATTTTAGCAGTGACTTTCGATTTTGCAGGTTTGACTTGCATATTTTTAAGTTGAGGGTTAGATTTGCACATAAAAAATAGTTTGCGGGTTGTTTTGCATAAAATCATTTTAAATTTGTCACAAATATAGAGATGTCTTATATTGCGGGGTTATTTTGACTTCAGAGGTTTGATTTGCACAACTTTAAATTGAGGGTTTGATTTGCAAAATGAATTTAGTTTGAGGGTTGTTTTGCACAAAACCCTTATGTCATCTATGTGGTGTTAGATCTTCAGTTTTGGTTTTAACTTTTAAGAACAACAGTAACAAAATTACATCTAACATAGATCACTCGTTCACTATAGTATAAGATGTTTTGGCTTGACTTAAGTTCATCAGATTCAGGTTCTTTTAAACTTGCAAAATTTTATTTAGCTATTTTTCCTTTTGTTTTCTTTGACGGCACGAAAATATCTCTATCTTTTTTTTTTGTACGTAATAATAATACTGGGAGATGTATAGCTAAAAGTAAGCTGCTCCTCCTTTTATGGAGGGAGATATGAAAAGCATGAATCGAAATAATACATAAGATTATAGTATACGACAACAATTATAAAGTAGCTCTCTTTTTTTCTACTTTATGGATGTTGTCGAGATCATTGATATGTTATGTTCAATGTTTTGAGTGATCTATCAAACTTTAGTCCATTGCTTTACTGTGTGTAATATGATCCTATATTTTTCCATATATCATTTTCCGTCTATTTTTAAAATTATAATCTAAATATCTAACTGGTTCAAAAACTAAAAAAAAAAAAGTTACTATGTGAGTAGGTTTTAATTTCGCACCAAGAACAAGTAGTCAACTAGGCATACGATATGATCCAATAATATTGCTCTTTGCCTTTACCAAAAAAAAAAAAAAAGTATTGCTCTTTGCTTAAAATTGTACATGAAATTAAAGATTGGGAACTATGATAAATATTCAAAATAGTCGAATAGCTGTAAATAATCAATCGCAATCTAAAATCAGCACAAATAATTTTCAGATGAAATATTTTTCCCAAATAAGACATCCATATTTGGTTTTATCACATTTTCTACCAAGAATAAAAAAATTATTCGATTTGCATTTCAATAGACAACAAATCTCTACAGTAATACCGTTAAAAAAAGGTCTCTCAATTTATCATCATTCATTCATCACCAAAATCTAAAAGTTACATACATCTTACATAAAATTAAAACACAGCCGCATAATTCTAACAATCTTCGTTGGCACGAAGATCATTTGAAGTAAAAGAGTTTGTTTACGTACCGTAAACATACAGTTAAGTTTCATGGATCTTATTACAAGATTTCATCACAATCAATTCAAAGTCCATGCAACCCAATAAGCTTAGTCAACCCAAACGTAACAGCCATAGCCAACCACCCTCCAAACAAAACCCTAGCCGACGACCTAAGCACCGGTGCCTTCCCTAGCGCCGCTCCTAACCACCCAAAAGCCACAAGCGCCACCGTAACTGCTGCCACAACCGCAATGATCCTCACTCTATACTCCTTCACAAACGCAGCCGCCAAAAGCGGCACAATCGCGCCCAAGGAAAACGCAAGCGCAGACGCAGCAGCCGCTTGTGTCGGACTTGGAAGCTTCTCTTTCTCTATTATCCCACTCTCTCTCTCCATCTGAGCAACCTCTATGTCGTACTGAGAGTAAACGGAGACGAACTCTCCGATCGCCATACTACAAGCTCCGGCAACCATTCCGGCGAATCCGGAGAGGATCATGGCCTTGACGTCATGTTTCACGGCACCGACTCCCATCATCAACGACGCGGTGGAGACGAGACCGTCGTTAGCTCCGAGCACGGCGGCGCGTAGCCATTGAGCACGTTTGGAGTAGTCGAACGTTGTTGATTCCTTCTCGATGTCCATGTTTGAGTTACGAGCTTGATCCATTTCTTGTTTTTTTTTTAATAGAAATTTTATTCTCTTCGTGTACACTTTTGTTGAGTAGAGGATCTAGCAAGTGTGGAGAACACACGCCAAGCTCGGTTCTATTTATGGAGATCTTGAGGTTTACTTTTTGGCTTGGTGGAGACAGTATGTGGAGCATCACCATTAATTTGTTGTTTCTATTGATTTTTGAAAGTGGAAATATATTTTTTGTCCGGTGGACAAATATGATCAGGATACTACCATAGAATGATAGAGTGTATCCAGCTACGGTCCAATGGATTTGGTGGTCATGGTTTAGAAACAAATTATGCATTACCATTAATTTGTTGTTCTTTTGTTGCTATTGATTTTTGAAATTGGAATGTTTTTATTTTCTTACTTAAACGGTGCATGGACAACAAATTAATGATATTTATCAGTTTTTTACCATTAATTTGTTGTCCATGCATGGAAGGTTACACTGTATCCAGCTTATGTCCAATGGAATTAAGTGGTCCGAAAATATTAACATGCATGTTTGATAAGTAACGGCGAATTAGACATAATCAAATCGTTTTCCATTTGAAGTCGAACGAACAAAGTTCAAGAAACTAAAATGGCCGTCGGCGACCGATCAGCAAAGAGACAAAAAGCATTATAATACTTTGTTTCTATCCAGAAATTCGGTTCGAGACTTAACTTTGAAAGGAGCAAAAACGTTACAGATAAAATGAAATGGGAGTTAAAGAGAATGATGTGAAAACCAAAATTTTATGTGTTTCTCACAAACCACTTTTATATAATCGAGATAAAAATCCTTGGTGAGGCCAAAAAAAAGGCAGTTACGTAAGAAGCTGTTATGTCCTCTTCATGATGAAAGGCATGCATGTCTAATGTCTTCTAGGGAAAAAGAAAAACATAACTTAAATAAAAGAAAAAAGGAAATATCAACTTGGTCCATTACTATACGCAATCTTTAACCCAATTTTGTTGATCATATCTATTTAAACTTTCTTTTTTGTTAAATTTAAGTATTTTTCTCCTATATGAAACCACGAGTGAAGGAAAATTCTGCAGCTTGTAATAATAAATAAGGTAATAGTCTTGCAACATACAATTTTCAAAACGGCCAACGTATAATTTATTATTTTCTTTTTCCACTAAACTACAATTTCCTCATTTTTTCTAAGTAGGAAAATAATGAGAGCACTTTCAAATCAGTTTTTTTTTTGTTCTTCTGGTTAATATGAAATCAATCATTCTATTTTTTTTTTTTACTTTTTAGTTTCTTTTTGGTAGTTATTTATACTTTTTTTCTCGACAAAGAAAGGGAACCAAAAAAGGAGAAAAAGAACTAAAGAAGGGAAGAAGAGTAGCTAATCAATCACACTATTTATCTAATTTATGATTTTAGAAATGTTTGACCAAAAAGTTATCAATAATTTTAGTTTTTAGTAGTGTTTGACCAAAAGTTATCACATTTGAATGAATATATCACAATATTTAATATTATATTGAATATAAACTGATTATTTTGGGATGTGTGGAAACTTGAAACTTATTTAACCATTTATACTACAAATGCAGTTATATGTTTGGTTTAATTTGTTACGTACAACTAAGGAGTTAATTAAGACGTTCAAAGAAAGTAGAAGTGAACATACTACTACACTACATAATACTAATATATACTACAACTAAATATACAAAAAAACTTAAATTAACCACTACGAACTAAGTAATGAAGATAAATTTATTTTATAATAAAAACGAATCAGATGTTTATTCATACAACAAATTCTTAGATGCCCTGAAGATAGCAATGATCATCTATATCCGTTTGAAAGTGATAACCCTAAACCAAACAACAAATAGATTGTGAAGAGATGAAAGTAGGGTTTCGTGAAGTATAAAATAATAAAATATTATATAATAAATGGATTGATGAATCAGAAGGCACTAGGAAAATTAGAGTAAGATAAAATAATGGAAAGAGATTGATAATGAAGAAAGACGAAGAGTGTGGTTGCCACACGAAGAGCACCATCCTTCACCATCATCACTCACGCATCACCACACTTGTACATACACCACCACATGATTTAGCCTAAAACTATTATGCACTCTAGAATTAATTTAAAATTTTGTATCATTTACATTAAACTTTTCGTATCACGCAATGAACATGCATACGTACCCGCCTACGTACACGTACAAATATTAAACTCACGCGAGTCACGACGTTAAACCGATTTCTGACATGGTAAGACACATTAACTCCAACAATTTTCTTGTAACGTAAGATATATTTTCTTCAACGAGTTCTTTTTCTCCATTTGACCTTTAAATAGGTGTTAATATATATACATGATCTATGCATGCTGATGTAGTGATGTACATTGCAGCTGTATAGTTAAGCTGGGGTNTTTCGAGGAGGTCTATTGACATACTCAAAACTAACTACCGGGTAAGTGGAGAAGAAGTTTGATTTCTCCTTTGTAGTTTTTTTCTTTCAAATAAAAATGATCTGAAATCGAAACTCAAATTGATAATTGCAGGATGAATTAAGCATAGATGAGTGGAAGCTAGTTGTGAAACTGAAGAACATCTTCAAGATACAGTAGATTCCCGACAAACGTGTACTTTTGGAGCTTGAAACAACCACTCGGATGCCTTGTTATGATGTGTCTGCGACGATGCAGAACAAAACAGATATATTCATCTTCCTGCTTCTAGTCGAAGCATTCAGTTCACAGAAGAATTGAGAAGTTAAAAGAGTTTTGTTTCGTTTTTGTTTTCATATTTCCCTGAAAAAGTGCTGAATAATTGGTTCATGAATATGTTGGCAAAAATTGCAGGGAAGTCTTTCGAGAAATATACAAATATTATCCTTTATTATGCCCTTTTGAGTTATATCCAATTTTGTTGACAATAAAAATTAAACGAATAAAAATGCTGTGTTGTCTCGTTATGTCATGGGTTTTGTGCAAATCAAACCCTCAATTTAAAGTTGTGCAAATCAAACCTCTGAAGTCAAAATAACCCCGCAATATAAGACATCTCTATATTTGTGACAAAATTTAAAATGATTTTATGCAAAACAACTCGCGAACTATTTTTTGTGTGCAAATCTAACCTTCAACTTAAAAAATATGCAAGTCAAACCTGCAAAGTCGAAAGTCACTGCTAAAATGAACTTATATGTATTTGTCCATAACTACAAACGTTGACTCAAAACGTCATGACATTTATAATATTTTAACAATTTTTATTAAAAATACTTAAAACAATAATTCAATATTTCTTCTCTTTTTTCTCCATCAATAAGGAGAGGGTTAGGATTTTTAACCAAATCCAAAAAAACTAAACCGTAGCCAATCCAGAAAATCAAAACCGAACCAACTTACTCACAATATAGTTACTTGGAAGATCTGAAGTCCTATGTCTTTATGAGCCTCTCTCGAATAATTCTATTGCAAGTAAATTAGTTCTTATCTTTGTCTCTTCGTCGTCATTAGTTAATGAGATCATGAAGAAAAGAATCAACTTATTCGCGATAAGATTAATTGAGATAAATTTATTAATAAGAGGAGATAGAGAAAAGAAATTAAAGATTAAAATTTTTTGTTTTTGTTTTTTTTTAAATTTACTTTTAATAAAAATGGTTAAAATATTATTAATGTCATGACGTTTTGAGTCAACGTTTGTAGTTAAGGACAAATACATATAAGTCCATTTTAGCAGTGACTTTTGATTTTGCAGATTTGACTTGCATATTTTTAAGTTGAAGGTTAGATTTGCACATAAAAAATAGTTTGCGGGTTGTTTTGCATAAAATCATTTTAAATTTTGTCACAAATATAGAGATGTCTTATATTGCAGGGTTATTTTGACTTCAGAGGTTTGATTTGCACAACTTTAAATTGAGGGTTTGATTTGCAAAATGAATTTAATTTGAGGGTTGTTTTGCACAAAACCCTTATGTCATCTATGTGGTGTTAGATCTTCAGTTTTGGTTTTAACTTTTAAGAACAACAGTAACAAAATTACATCTAACATAGATCACTCGTTCACTATAGTATAAGATGTTTTGGCTTGACTTAAGTTCATCAGATTCAGGTTCTTTTAAACTTGCAAAATTTTATTTAGCTATTTTTCCTTTTGTTTTCTTTGACGGCACGAAAATATCTCTATCTTTTTTTTTTGTACGTAATAATAATACTGGGAGATGTATAGCTAAAAGTAAGCTGCTCCTCCTTTTATGGAGGGAGATATGAAAAGCATGAATCGAAATAATACATAAGATTATAGTATACGACAACAATTATAAAGTAGCTCTCTTTTTTTCTACTTTATGGATGTTGTCGAGATCATTGATATGTTATGTTCAATGTTTTGAGTGATCTATCAAACTTTAGTCCATTGCTTTACTGTGTGTAATATGATCCTATATTTTTCCATATATCATTTTCCGTCTATTTTTAAAATTATAATCTAAATATCTAACTGGTTCAAAAACTAAAAAAAAAAAAGTTACTATGTGAGTAGGTTTTAATTTCGCACCAAGAACAAGTAGTCAACTAGGCATACGATATGATCCAATAATATTGCTCTTTGCCTTTACCAAAAAAAAAAAAAAAGTATTGCTCTTTGCTTAAAATTGTACATGAAATTAAAGATTGGGAACTATGATAAATATTCAAAATAGTCGAATAGCTGTAAATAATCAATCGCAATCTAAAATCAGCACAAATAATTTTCAGATGAAATATTTTTCCCAAATAAGACATCCATATTTGGTTTTATCACATTTTCTACCAAGAATAAAAAAATTATTCGATTTGCATTTCAATAGACAACAAATCTCTACAGTAATACCGTTAAAAAAAGGTCTCTCAATTTATCATCATTCATTCATCACCAAAATCTAAAAGTTACATACATCTTACATAAAATTAAAACACAGCCGCATAATTCTAACAATCTTCGTTGGCACGAAGATCATTTGAAGTAAAAGAGTTTGTTTACGTACCGTAAACATACAGTTAAGTTTCATGGATCTTATTACAAGATTTCATCACAATCAATTCAAAGTCCATGCAACCCAATAAGCTTAGTCAACCCAAACGTAACAGCCATAGCCAACCACCCTCCAAACAAAACCCTAGCCGACGACCTAAGCACCGGTGCCTTCCCTAGCGCCGCTCCTAACCACCCAAAAGCCACAAGCGCCACCGTAACTGCTGCCACAACCGCAATGATCCTCACTCTATACTCCTTCACAAACGCAGCCGCCAAAAGCGGCACAATCGCGCCCAAGGAAAACGCAAGCGCAGACGCAGCAGCCGCTTGTGTCGGACTTGGAAGCTTCTCTTTCTCTATTATCCCACTCTCTCTCTCCATCTGAGCAACCTCTATGTCGTACTGAGAGTAAACGGAGACGAACTCTCCGATCGCCATACTACAAGCTCCGGCAACCATTCCGGCGAATCCGGAGAGGATCATGGCCTTGACGTCATGTTTCACGGCACCGACTCCCATCATCAACGACGCGGTGGAGACGAGACCGTCGTTAGCTCCGAGCACGGCGGCGCGTAGCCATTGAGCACGTTTGGAGTAGTCGAACGTTGTTGATTCCTTCTCGATGTCCATGTTTGAGTTACGAGCTTGATCCATTTCTTGTTTTTTTTTTAATAGAAATTTTATTCTCTTCGTGTACACTTTTGTTGAGTAGAGGATCTAGCAAGTGTGGAGAACACACGCCAAGCTCGGTTCTATTTATGGAGATCTTGAGGTTTACTTTTTGGCTTGGTGGAGACAGTATGTGGAGCATCACCATTAATTTGTTGTTTCTATTGATTTTTGAAAGTGGAAATATATTTTTTGTCCGGTGGACAAATATGATCAGGATACTACCATAGAATGATAGAGTGTATCCAGCTACGGTCCAATGGATTTGGTGGTCATGGTTTAGAAACAAATTATGCATTACCATTAATTTGTTGTTCTTTTGTTGCTATTGATTTTTGAAATTGGAATGTTTTTATTTTCTTACTTAAACGGTGCATGGACAACAAATTAATGATATTTATCAGTTTTTTACCATTAATTTGTTGTCCATGCATGGAAGGTTACACTGTATCCAGCTTATGTCCAATGGAATTAAGTGGTCCGAAAATATTAACATGCATGTTTGATAAGTAACGGCGAATTAGACATAATCAAATCGTTTTCCATTTGAAGTCGAACGAACAAAGTTCAAGAAACTAAAATGGCCGTCGGCGACCGATCAGCAAAGAGACAAAAAGCATTATAATACTTTGTTTCTATCCAGAAATTCGGTTCGAGACTTAACTTTGAAAGGAGCAAAAACGTTACAGATAAAATGAAATGGGAGTTAAAGAGAATGATGTGAAAACCAAAATTTTATGTGTTTCTCACAAACCACTTTTATATAATCGAGATAAAAATCCTTGGTGAGGCCAAAAAAAAGGCAGTTACGTAAGAAGCTGTTATGTCCTCTTCATGATGAAAGGCATGCATGTCTAATGTCTTCTAGGGAAAAAGAAAAACATAACTTAAATAAAAGAAAAAAGGAAATATCAACTTGGTCCATTACTATACGCAATCTTTAACCCAATTTTGTTGATCATATCTATTTAAACTTTCTTTTTTGTTAAATTTAAGTATTTTTCTCCTATATGAAACCACGAGTGAAGGAAAATTCTGCAGCTTGTAATAATAAATAAGGTAATAGTCTTGCAACATACAATTTTCAAAACGGCCAACGTATAATTTATTATTTTCTTTTTCCACTAAACTACAATTTCCTCATTTTTTCTAAGTAGGAAAATAATGAGAGCACTTTCAAATCAGTTTTTTTTTTGTTCTTCTGGTTAATATGAAATCAATCATTCTATTTTTTTTTTTTACTTTTTAGTTTCTTTTTGGTAGTTATTTATACTTTTTTTCTCGACAAAGAAAGGGAACCAAAAAAGGAGAAAAAGAACTAAAGAAGGGAAGAAGAGTAGCTAATCAATCACACTATTTATCTAATTTATGATTTTAGAAATGTTTGACCAAAAAGTTATCAATAATTTTAGTTTTTAGTAGTGTTTGACCAAAAGTTATCACATTTGAATGAATATATCACAATATTTAATATTATATTGAATATAAACTGATTATTTTGGGATGTGTGGAAACTTGAAACTTATTTAACCATTTATACTACAAATGCAGTTATATGTTTGGTTTAATTTGTTACGTACAACTAAGGAGTTAATTAAGACGTTCAAAGAAAGTAGAAGTGAACATACTACTACACTACATAATACTAATATATACTACAACTAAATATACAAAAAAACTTAAATTAACCACTACGAACTAAGTAATGAAGATAAATTTATTTTATAATAAAAACGAATCAGATGTTTATTCATACAACAAATTCTTAGATGCCCTGAAGATAGCAATGATCATCTATATCCGTTTGAAAGTGATAACCCTAAACCAAACAACAAATAGATTGTGAAGAGATGAAAGTAGGGTTTCGTGAAGTATAAAATAATAAAATATTATATAATAAATGGATTGATGAATCAGAAGGCACTAGGAAAATTAGAGTAAGATAAAATAATGGAAAGAGATTGATAATGAAGAAAGACGAAGAGTGTGGTTGCCACACGAAGAGCACCATCCTTCACCATCATCACTCACGCATCACCACACTTGTACATACACCACCACATGATTTAGCCTAAAACTATTATGCACTCTAGAATTAATTTAAAATTTTGTATCATTTACATTAAACTTTTCGTATCACGCAATGAACATGCATACGTACCCGCCTACGTACACGTACAAATATTAAACTCACGCGAGTCACGACGTTAAACCGATTTCTGACATGGTAAGACACATTAACTCCAACAATTTTCTTGTAACGTAAGATATATTTTCTTCAACGAGTTCTTTTTCTCCATTTGACCTTTAAATAGGTGTTAATATATATACATGATCTATGCATGCTGATGTAGTGATGTACATTGCAGCTGTATAGTTAAGCTGGGGTCAAAATATTTAATATTTCAACAGCTGTAGGCTGTAGCCTGTAGTTCATTGCATTATAACCTATATTCATCGACTCTTCGCAGCAGATGCATCCACATCTTACAAGGGCTCGGTTTCAAGAACTGATTTACAGTAAATCATTTACTTAGTTCCAATAATGCAAATGATAAGAACATGACTTCTGGTTGACGAAAAAAAGAGAGAAGAATATGACGTATGCATGGAACAACCTGTAGTGGAGGTTTTGGATCTGACGGTTCATGCTTTCCATTTCAAGGCTTCATTTTAATTGATCACTTACGTGTCGTCTCGTTTTGTCTTCCATTATAACGGAAAGAAAAAAGACATTCTATTTTACGTATAACCATTTCTTTATTGACCAATGAGAATATATACACTTTTATTTACTTTTGCTTGTGGACGGCCAAAAATGATTGGAAGATTGAAACTATGATAACAAACTGAGCTCTATATCCCTTTGAGTCAGTCATTGAGACTGCCGGCCCTAAGGTTTTTGGGGCCTAAAGCAAATTTTAAATATAAGTAATTTTGTAAATGTGTTTAATATTAAAAACAAAAATGATAAAAGTCATTGTTGACTACAAGGCTCGAACTCATATATGGGGGAAAGTTGAAGCGTAACTCAACCAATAGACTAAAGGAACTTTCAATAATGTGGCCTTAAAATTGATATTTATTGTGGTGACCTAAATCACAAGCTTTACCAGCCTTATGGGCGGGCCGGGCCTTTTGTTAACTAATCTGTATTGCCAAAACAAAATAGGATGAAACAAAGTGGGCCTCAATAAATCAGAACATTTTATATCGGGCCTCAATAATTAGTAATTATGTGGGTCATTAATTGAGTTCTCTAAACATGCTTAAAAGCTAATTCCTTTTGTGTTCTACAAAAGTTGAAAACTCGGATGAATAAATAAAAGATGACATTGTGCTTAGTTTAGTACCTGTAACATCTTATTTTTCTCTTGGAACGAATGAAACTAATGACTATGACTATAAGTGACATAAACAATGTTGAACCTCCGACTAAGCGGAATCCTAGCTTGATTCTTCTTATTTGTCTAATTTCATCATTATCTTCATCTGAATCCATCTCTTGAATTACTTCAGCTTCCCACTCTTCTTCTGATTCTTCATATTCAATTTCTAACTCTTCTTCGTCATCTTCACTTGTTTCCTTATCATCCGGTTCTTGGATCTTTTCTCGTTTGTCATCTCTTCCTGGTTTGGTTGATTCTTCTTTGTCTGTCTCTGGAATATTGTTAGAGCTACCATCTTCAAATTCAGTTTCTCTGTAACAGCGTGTTCTGTCTTCCGCCAATTCTTTGATCGTTCCTTGTTCTTTACGTCTCTCTTGTTCTCTTGTTTCTTCTTCTTTGTTCTGATGAATCTTTCTTGATTCATTATCCCTGACTTTTGTTTCTATCTTTTCACTTTCTTCATCTTTAAGTTTATCTCTTAATCTTTGTTCCCTGCTCTCGTCTTGTCCTTCAGGTCCTTTTGATTCATGTTCTTCAGATTTTGCCAAGACCTCCGTAATCATGCTCTTCTTGTCTTCTTCTTCTTGGTTTTTTATTTTCTTTTCCACCAATTCTTCAATCTCCTTCAAATTTCCTGGCAACTTTTCCTCTGCATTTTCCTTACCATGCTCTTCTTGTTTCCTCTTGTCTTGGTTCTCATTTTCTTTACCACTTGTGTCCTTTTCCTCAAGTGATTGCTTCTTGTCTTGTTCTCTCTGTCTCACTTCTATCGCTAAGTCTTGGTTTTCAATCTCTCTTACCTCTGCTCTGTTTCCTTCTTTTGCTTCTTTATCATCGCTTGTTTCTTCTTCTGCAAGTTTTTCAATCATCTCATGTCTTTTTAGATTAACCGAGTTTCTTTCTTCACGTTCTTGAATCTTCCTTGAGCTGTCATATTCATCTAATCTCTCTGCTTTCCCAACAACCTCCTCTTCTTTGCTCTGATCACTTGTTTCTTTTGCCTTTTCCCCTCTCAAACCCGTAGATTCGTGTCCTTGAGTTTCATTCTTTTTTAAGGTCTCATCATTAGCTTTAGACTCCACCTGTGGAAGTCTCTTTGCCTTCTCCATCTTCTCTCCTTTTTCTCTTGTATCGTATTCTTCTTTCCCTTGATCCCCAGTCAATAATAGTTCTTCGAGTTTTTCTTGTTCTGCATATTTCTTTGGCTGATCTGATCCCTTCTCCTCAACATCTTGAGACTGGCTTGAAGCCATAGACTTTTCCCTTAGCACTGCACTATAGTCTCCTCCTTCATTCATTTTTTCTTCCACTGTTTCTTGGATATTGTGCTTCTCTGGGATCTCACTTGGTTTTTGAGGTTTCTCTAATTCATTTTCAATTTGTTGAGATTTTCTTGAGCTAACATCCTCACCTGTTCTCTTCACCTCTTCTATTTCTCTCACCGCACTTCCCTTTTTTGGAAACTTGTCATGCTCTCCATCTTTCAGAAGCTCATATGGTTCTTGTTCTTCAGTCTCTTGGTTCTTAGTTCTGCTGTCAATCTTATCTTGCATCACCAATTCTGCAATTTTCTCATTTTCTTCTTTTTCTTTTCCAGGAGAATTGGTTTCCTCTTCTTCTTTCACTGGTTTCCCAATCTTTGTCTCTTCTGATTCATCATCCAGCCCCTGCAGTTCAAGCATTTCAAAGTTTCTAGAATTACCATCGTTGATTTTTGTCTCCACCTCTGCTCTTTCTTCATCTTCTCCTTTTTCCAACTCCTTCAGTTCTTGAAATTTTTCTTGTTCTACTGGTCGTCTCTTTGATGTATTTGGTGACTCCTTCTCCAAAAACTCTCGGCCTTTACTAAGAGTATCATCATCTTCAGCCACCATTGTTTCCTCATGATTACTCGTTTGAGTCGTTTCTTTCCTCTCAAGTTCTTCGATTTGATTTTTCTTTTCATCGCTTTCTTGCATTGTCGTCTTTTGAATCTCTCTCTCAATCTCACTTGACACTGTCTCAACATATTTCCCTTGTTTGCCTTTTTCTACTCTCCTTCCTTCATCATCGCCATCTTTGCAATCCTCTGTCTTTCCTTCAAGCTCTTGGACATTTCCTTCTTGGTCTTTTGTCTCTTTCTCGTTTTCTTCTTCTTTCACTTCAGAAACACTTGTTTCGGGGATATCTTTTTGTTCCTTGTGTTCTTCTGATTCCTTTAGTTCTTGTTCTTTTATCGAGTGCAAATTTCTTGTTCTCTCATTGTTTGCCACCACAGCTGCAGCTTCCTCTGCCATTTTATCTTGTTGATCCTCTGTTTCGTCTTCCACAAAAGCTTGGACTATGTCTAGTTTCTCGTGCCTCTCCGATTCATGTGAATTTTCTTTTTCAGTTTCTTGAATCTCTGTCGTATATTCATCGACGAGATTTTCTTCTTCTTTTTCGCCATCACTTGCAGCCTCTCTTAGTTCTTTGTTCTTCCCTAACTTATTGTTGATCACATCCTCAACTTTTTTCTTAGTCTCTGCAACTTTCTCATGTCTTTCTTCTTCATGTTCTCTATTTCCTCCTGTGCGTTTATCTCTGGGATCAGTTACTTCTTCTTTAAACAAGTCTTTAATATCTTCATATGACTTCTGTTTCCGAAACTCATGAAGCTTGCCTGAACTATGACCTTCCATTTCTCCACCTGGCTCTGAACCTTTCTCCATTTTTCCTTCTCCTCTATCATCTTCCACTGATTGATGAATCTTTCTTTCCTTACAATGTTTCTCAACTTCACCTAAATCCAGTTTCCCACTCTCTTGTCTTCTTAAGATATCATCCTCATGTTTTCTCTTGACTGTTTCTCTGTCATCACTTATATCTTCTTCCCCATGTCTCTTATCTCTACCCATTTCTGGATCATCACCTTCCCGAACCTTTCTCAAGCTACCATCATTAGCTTTTGTCCTCCTCTCCACAGTCTCATTCTCCTCCATCGCTCTAGTTTTGTCATTTTCCTCTGTTTCTTGCATCTTATCATGTTCCATAGATTCCTGTTTTTCATTCTCCTTAACCCTTTCTTCTTGTTCTTCTTCTCCACCAGTGTGTCTATCTTTGGGATCAGTCGCTTCCTCTGTAACTAAATCTTTTCTCTTTTCTGGTGTCCAATCATCATATGATTTTCCTTCTTCAAACTCATGAAACTTGCCTGAATGATCACCTTCCACTTCTCCCCCTGGCTCAGCACTGTTCTCCACTTTTTGTTCTTCTTCCACCATTTGAGGAATGTTTCTTTTCTCGCCGAGTCTTTCAAATTCTTCCAAATCCGGTTTCTCAACCTCTTCTTGGCTTCTTAAGATTCCATCATCCCCATCTTGTTTCTTGACTACTTCTCTGTAATCAACTGTTCCCATTTCCACTGGTTCTTGGATCTTGTCTTCTTCTTGTCTCTTATAAGGCTCACTCAGTTCTATATCTTCATCATCTCCAAAACATTTCAAGCTACCATCTTTAGCGTTTTCCTCTGTTTCTTGCATCTTGTCTTGTACCGTAGATCTCTTCAACAAATCATGTTCCTGTTTTTGAATATCTTGAACCTTTTTTGAGCTATCCTCAGTTTCCAGTTTTGCCTTGACATTCACGTTTTCTTCATGTTGCTCTTCTTGATGGTCAATATGTCCTGCTTCCTCCACTTCTTGAATTTTGTATCGTTGCTCATGGCTCTCTGGCTTGTCAGGCCGTTCTTCCTTCATCTCTTGAACATCTGTAGAGTTATCATGCTCTGTTATTTTCTTAGACGCTACAATTTTCTCCTTCTCCTCTTCCTCTTTTTCTTGACCACTTGGTTTCGTCTTTGGTTCATGCAACTCCTGTTTTTCACTAACGTGTAGCTTACGTAATCCACCACATTCAGCTTCTATCTCCGACTCAGTGATTTTCTCTTCTACTACTTCTTTAATCTTGCTTACATGGTCCCTTTTTGGTTCATGTAACCCCTGTTCTTTGGTACCTTGAACCTTTCTTACAACATCATCGTCGGTTTTGTCCTTCTTCTCTTTTTCTTGTTCATTTCGAAAAGTTTCTCTGTGTTCGTGTAGTTCTTGATTCTTGTCTCCTTTACCATATTTTACAGATACATCTGAATCTCTTCTTTCAATCTTTTGAGCTTTTCTCGCACTATCCATGATACTTTTCTCTGCCTCCTCTATTTTTTTCTTCTCGTTCTCCACATCTTTAACTTCTCCATGATCACTTGCTTTCTGGAATTGTTTTCTATATATTTCTTCTTCATTTGATTGTTCTTCCTCAATCTCTTGAACTTTTTTTGACCTATCTTCATTATCATCTATTGTCTCTGCCACTGCGATGATTCCTTTGCCACCATCACTTAATGTTTCTCCTTGTCCTTTCATTGCGTCTGAATCTCGTTGATCAATATCTCCAACTTTTCTTTCCACATCATCCTCACCAAATTCTGTTTTTCTCCCTGCAATTTCTTCTTCCTCCTTGAAATTTCTTGCAACTTTTTTCTTCTCCTCAGCAAGTTCTTGGATCTTGTCTTGTATTTTTGGCCTATATGAATCTTGCTCCTTTGTTTCCGTATCTGAGATCTCTTTCTCCTCACATGTCTCTGACGTATCCACATTTTGTTCTTCAATATCTTGAACTGGTTTTGGAGTTTCATTCGCTTCATTTCTATCTGCCTCTGCAGTTTGATCTTCCACCACTTCTTTGATATTTCCTAGTTTGTTGTGTCGCTTGTGTCCATGAAACGGTTGATCTTCAGTCTCTTGAATTTTTTTTACTAAGCTACTGTCTTCTCTTTGTCTTATCACCTTAGCATTGTCCTTTTCTTCCTCTTTCTTCTCAACCGTTTCATGGATCTTATCTACATCATCATCTAACTGATCAGACTCAATATCCTCAGCTTTTGTCTCAGTTTCTGCAATGTGTGTTGTGAATCTTTCTCCCATTTCTGAATCAACCTCTTCTTTGGCATCTGATTCTCGAACTTTTTTCGAAATATCATCATCACCAGATTCTGTTTTCTTCTCTGCAATTTCTTTTACCTCCTTAACTTTTCCATTTTTTGAAAAGTTTTTCTCCTCCTCAGCTGTTTCTTGGATCTTTTCTCGTTCCCTGAGAATTTTTGGTCTATATGACTCTTGCTCCTCTGTTTCTGTTTCTGAAATTTCTTTCTCTCTTCTCTCAACATCATTTGTTTTGCTCTTCCCCAATTCTGGAGTCTTGCTTTCTTCCTCGCATCTTGCTGCTGGGTTATCCAACTCTTGTTGTCTGATAATATCTTGAACCTTTCTTGCGCCACCATCATTAATCTTTTTCCCCGTTTCCATAGTTTTCTCTGTGTACTCTTCTGGCTGATTCTTGTTAGCCTCTTGGAAAATTTCTTCAATCTTGTGTCTTCCCTCACACCTCTCCTGAAATAGTTTTGGAGTATCATTTGTCTCTGCATCTGGACTCTGCTCTTTGATCTCTTCTTGTTTTTCATGTAGCACTTGTCGCTGAAATTGTTGTTTCTCAGTATCTTCTTGAAGCTTTGTTAAGCTAACGTCTTCACTTTGTCTTCCAGCCTTAGCATTTTCCTCTTCCTCCTCTTTCTTGTCTTGTATCTTGTCTATCTCATCTGCTTTTAGTTTATCAGATTCAAACTCTTCGGCTCTTGTCTCAGTTTCTGAAATGTTTGATGAGAAATTTTCGCCCAATTTTGCATCAACCTCTTCTTTGGCATCTCCATTATTCAAATCCCTCTTTATAATTTTCTTATTCTCCTTTCCTTTTTCCCCTTCATAACCAAACGTAGCCACCTCTGGTACTTCAATCTCTTGAGCTGGTTTTAGAATGTCATTCCCTATATTTTTCTCTGCCTCTAGAGTTTTCTCTTGTCGCTTTTTTCCCTTAGAATGTTGTTCTTCATTCTCTTGAATCTTTTTTAAGCATTCACTTTTACTTCCCACCTTAGCATTTTCCTCTTCCTCTTCTTTCTTCTCGACCAGTTCATGTATCTTATCTCCCTCATCTGATTCAAACTCCTCAGCTTTTGTCTCAGTTCTCTCAATGTTTTGTATGAATCCTTCTCCCATTTTCTCATTAGCATCTTCTTTAGCACCCGTTTTACCTTCTCTCTTCATATTTTCATATTTGTCCTTCTCATGATCATCTGTTTCCCCTTTAACCATTTCTTGAATCTTGTTTTCTTCATTGCCTCTCTCTGGTTCTTCAATCCCTTGAACATTTCTCAAGCCACTATCATCATCAGTCGTTTTCTTTTCCATTTCTCTTATTTTTCTTGTTCTATCTAGCTGCTCATCAGGTTCTTGTGCTTCACTCTCTTCAAATGCTCTAGATCCAAAATCATCAGTTTTAGTCTCTACTTGTGACTCTTGCTGCTCCACCACTTCTTGGTTATTTTCTTGTTCTTCAGTGTCTGGAAGCTTTCTCAAGCTTCTGTCCTCACTCCCTGTATTTGAATCAGCCAACTCTTGTTGACCATTTCCAAACTTTTGTCCTGTTTTCTCTTCTTCTACAAATTCCAAAATCTTGTTATGTTCGTCAGTCTGCTGAATCTTTTGCAAGTTATCATCCTCAATTTGAGTGTCTTCTTCATCAAGACCTCCACTGAAACCCTTTTCTTCCTCTCCCAAAACTTGACTCTCTCTTTCTTTATCTTCCATAAGCTCTCCAAACTCTTCTTCTCTCTCAATCTCAGAGCGTTCATCACATTTTTCCCTTTCTTCAACTTCTTCTCCATTTTGTATATCGCTGTTCTCAACTTTACTCACATCTCCAAAGTCTACACTTTCTTCTTCTTCCTCCTCCTCTTCCTCAATCTTGAATCCAGAAATTCCCCTTACTCTCTTCGGCATTGTGATCGTAAGAGTCGCATCATCATCGTCAAATCTTGCTTTAATCTTGTCTAAATCAACAATATCAGGAATCAGAAAAACTTTCCTAAATGCCCTTAATTCCACTTCTTTCTTCCATGCCATCCATCTAATCATAACCATTTCTTCAACAGGTTTTCTTCCTCTTATCGTAATCCTATCTCCCTCTTTGTTTATCTCAATCTCAATACTTTCCTTTTTGAATCCTGCATTTTCAATCCTCAAATCAACTTTCCCTTACTCAGTTCTCAAATCTTTACTGAGCTAAACCCAATCAACCCTAAAGAAAAAGAAACAAAAAAAACAAGTATTGAAGGAAACTTAAATTATTATTTTTCTCACCTTTAAGATGAATGATGATGATGAACCTTGAATCAGTTTCTCGAGAAAGCACCAGAGGACCAAATGGGTCTTTGGAGAAGCGAAAATCGACAGAGGAAGATACATCTTCTCTCGTTCTTGTGACTTTCAATCCCAATTCCAACTCCATTGTTAACCTTTCTTTCCTGTGTTCTAGAGATTTTTAATAGGTTTTGATTTGTTGATGCTTCGATGTTACACTAAAAGAGTAAAGGGAAGGAGAAAGGACTACATATAATAGATTCGTTACTTCCTCTTAAGGACTTGAAAAATAGTCAAACGGTCAACGCATTTCCTCTTTTGTTGCCTTGAAGAACAAGCAACCTCTTGCTTTTGCATTTTCATTTCATACTGAACATAACATGATCAAAACTATTTACGTGTTGTTTTGTTTCGTTTTGTAACCATTATGCCGAATAGGTGACTCCATGATAAAGATATATTCCGATCGATTCATTTAACACATAATAACAACTCACAATACAAAACTCATCCAGATTTTTCTTACAAAAACAGACAACAAGTAAACTGGGTTCTGTCCTTAAAAACAGTAAAGAACCACTGTCCTAAAACCTAAGTTGTAAAGAAATCTCATTTTCTTTTGGATTGAATCAGTTGAATAATGAAAACAATAATTGACATGAGCAGAGTGGATCCTGCAACAAATGGGAAACAACACTTTTTTCTTTTCTTCCTTCTTGGTTTACTCTCTTCTTCGATCTTTTCTTCAATTTCTTCCTCCATGATCTCTTCTTCGATCTTTTCTTCTTCCTCTTCCCTCTCTGGCTCTTCTGCTTCCTCTTCCCTCTTTGGCTCTTCTTCATTAATCTCTGGTTTCGTCTCCTCTTTGATTTCTTCTTCAGGCTCTGTTATTTCCTCTGTTTTCTCTGCTTCCGGCTCTGTTTTTTCCTCTGTTATCTCATCTACTTCCTCAATCTTCAACCCTAAGATCCCCTTAACTTTCTTTGGCAATGTAACCGTCAAAGTCCCATCTTCTTCATTAAACCTCGCTTTGATCTTGTCAAGCTTGACCATCTCTGGAATCCGAAACACTTTCTTGAACTCCTTAACTTCTGTTCCCTTCTTCCATTCCACCCACTTTACCAAAACCATTTCTTCTACTTTCTTTCTTCCGCTTATCTTAATAAGACTCCCTTCTTTGTTTATCTCAATATCAATACCTTCCTTCTTAAACCCTACATTTGGTTTTCAGGTTTTCAATCTCTAATTAGGCCAACACGCATTTACGTTAAGTCCTAACATTAATCATATATATACGTATATGTCGTTAGATAACACAATGCCAAATAAATTATTTGTGTAACAAAAAATTTACCAATATGATTTAATAAAATAAACAAAAACATATACTTATGAACTCATAACTACAAAATAATAAATAAATGGTAATAGATAAATGCGGAATAAAAATGTCAAACAAATTATTTGTGTAACAAAATATTTACAAAGATGAATTAATAAAATAAATAAAAACATATACTTGTCAACTCATAACTAAATAGTAGTAAATTAATTAAAATATTTAAAGAAGAGACCAAGGTTTATACAAAACTGTTTGAATGATTTGAATGAGTTCAAGTCCGGCCTTGTATGTACCACATCCGCACAAAGAAGTTGTCAAATAAAGGCTGATCAGTGAAGAGAAGAAGAGCTGAAGGATTTGAAGGGCGAAATTCAAAAAAAAATGGAAAGATCATGTCACAAAGTTTAAGAGTTTCAACAAACAATTTTCAGAGCAAGTGAAGAGGGAGATTGGGGCTGTGAAGCAGGAGAAACGTTCGATAGAGGAAAGGTTCTTTTTTTTAGGGAGAGGGAAAGAGTGAAACTAGATAGGGAGAGAGAGATGGAGCGTGGGAGGGAGAGAAAGCTCATGAGAAAGATATTGGAGATGGTGACACCCAAAAGCTTAGTGACCAAACTGACAAAGGAAACATTGCGGAGGAAGAGCATGGTCGTTCTAAAGGTTAGTCTTCTTCATTTTGGTGATGTTTTTGTGAAGATTCAACCTCTATTTTCCAATACTGTGTTTTTTTTTCTTTCTTAAATGCACTTATTTCCACTTCTTTCTTCCATGCCATCCATCTAATCAGAACCATTTCTTCCACAAGTTTCCTTCCTCTTACCGTCCGATCTCCCTCTTTCTTTATCTCAATCTCTATACCTTCCTTTTCGAATCCTACAATTTCAATCCTCAAATTAACTTTCTCCTACTCAGTTCTCAAATCTTTACTGAGCTAAAACACTAAACCCTTAAACTCAAATCAACCCTAAGAAAAATAACAAAAATTGGAGATTTTTCTTACCTTTAAGATGAATGATGATGATGAACCTTGAATCAGTTTCAGGAGAGAAAACCAGAGGACCAAATGAATCTTTGGAGAAGGGAAAGTCGACAGAGGAAGATACACCTTCTCTCGTTCTGGTGACCTTCAAATTTCTTTCCTGTATTTTGGAGATTTTTTAATCTAGATAATAGATTCGTTACTTCCTCTTTAGGACTTGAAAATAGTCAAACATTTCCTCTTTTGTTGCCTTGAACAATAAGTAACCGCCTGGTTTTGCATTTTCATTTCATACCGAACAATTATCATCACAGTTATTGATATTAGTTACATGCTGTTTTGTTTTGTTCTATAACTCTATAAGCTTTATGCCGAATCGGTGACTCAAAAATATAAATATTTTCAGATTTCAAATAACTCACAAGTCACAAATACATAATAATCTTTACTATTTTTTTTCTTACAAAGATGTCCTTAAAAACATGAAAGAACCACTGTCCTAAAACCTAAGTTGTAATCTCATTTTCTTTTGGATTGAATCAGTTGAATAATGAAAACAATAATTGACATGAGCAGAGTGGATCCTGCAACAAATGGGAAACAACACTTTTTTCTTTTCTTCCTTCTTGGTTTACTATCTTCTTCGATCCTTTCTTCAATTTCTTCCTCCATGATCTCTTCTTCGATCTTTTCTTCTTCCTCTTCCATCTTTGGCTCTTCTGCTTCCTCTTCGCTCTTTGGCTCTTCTTCTTCTGCTTCTTTTTCCTCAGGTTTTGTCTCCTCTTTGATTTCTTCTTCAGGCTCTGTTATTTCCTCTGTTTTCTCTGCTTCCGGCTCTGTTTTTTCCTCTGTTATCTCTTCTTCTTCCTCAATCTTCAACCCTAAGATCCCCTTAACTTTTTTTGGCAATGTAACCGTTAAAGTCCCATCTTCTTCATTAAACCTCGCTTTGATCTTGTCAAGCTTGACCATCTCTGGAATCCGAAACACTTTCTTGAACTCCTTAACTTCTGTTCCCTTCTTCCACTCCACCCACTTTACCAAAACCATTTCTTCCAATTTCTTTCTTCCCCTTATCTTTATCAGATTCCCTTCTTTGTTTATCTCAATATCAATACCTTCCTTCTTAAACCCTACATTTGGTTTGCAGGCTTTCAATCTCTAAACAAAAAAATGCGCAAGAAAAATGGGAGGATATTAAAGATGAACACCTTTGAGATGAAGGATGAGGAAGAAGACAGAATCTGTTTCTCGAGAAAGCGAGAGCTGACCAGAAGAATCTCCGGAGACTCGGAAATCTGTAGAGGAAGAGACATCGTCTTTTGTTCGAGTGATCTTCAGACCTAATTCAAGCTCCATGTTTCTTCTTCTTCTTCTTTAGCTACATGTGTTTTCAAGTATTTGTTTAAAGTCTCTCCCTGATCCAAAGTTTTTCTTTTGTGTAATTAGACCATTTCATAAGTTTCTCTTGGAGAGACCCACACAAGAATATATTCGTTACTTCCTCTTTAGGCAACTTAAAAAAAATGGTGTCCTGAATACTAACAACGGTCGGCTACTTTCTAACTGTCCCAGAAGTGTTGGCGGGAAGTAACGAATAGTGAAAAAAAAACAAAACATATCGTCAACAGCAGGGTTCGAACCTGCGCGGGCGAAGCCCAACAGATTTCAAGTCTGTCTCCTTAACCACTCGGACATATTGACTGTTACGACTAACTTCGTATTAGAATTATTTTGTATCTATCTATCCATCTGTGGTTGCATTTACAATGACTTTAGTTTTACAAAATATCCGAAAAAAAGATAATATATTGACAGTCAAAAATCTGAAGATGAGATAATATATCATCTGTTGAGTATGGTTTTACAAAAATCTGAAAAAGAGATAATATATCATCTATAGGATCATGGCAAAAACAAACAAGTTTTGTCCCATAAATATATAAGATTTCTAAGAAAGGGATCTTTAGATGTTAAAACAGAAAAAAAGGTTCAAGAAAAATTATTGATTAAAAACAAATTTATAACCAAATGTAGTTTTTTGATGTAAATATCCAGGGCCGGCCCGGAGCTAAAGCCCGTGAAGCATGGGCTTTAGGCGCCAAAATTTGCAAAATAGCTTAGAGCGCCAAAATATATTAAAATTTTAAGAGCATCATAACCAATTAGGTCATTTAGGTCTATTGGCTGAGTTCATAGTCTAAGCAGCTGCCGCCTCTGGGTTCGAATCCCCTCAATGTTTTCCTTTTTTTTTTAATAAGCAAATAGATCTGTTTTTTTTTTCCAACGGAGTTAAAAGAATCAGATCGATATCTTTGACTATATGGTGTTTCTATACTTTTTTATTTATTTGAAAACAATTTAAGTTTAAAAAAAAATTATATAATTTTGACTATATGCTGTTTAAAAAAAAAATATTGATGCTGTTAAAGGGCAACAAATTTTGTGAACGCTTTAGGCGCCAAAGACCTTTGGGCCGGCACTGTAAATATCAAATCAATATGGCAAAAATAACCTACCTAATGTGCTATACATGTTTGCGTTTATGTGGGCCCTAACATATAGTAAGTGCACACGACCGTAGTGGATCAGTACTCATTTCTAGTACAGATCTGTCATTATCCTTCAGAGTTTCAAAGTACAACAAATCTTGGTCGTCAAACCCAAACAGCGACGTTCTCTCCTTCCGTCAAGTGTCAAACTTTTTTTTTTTTGGTTCTCTGCGGAAAATTTTCAATTTCTTCTTCAATGGCGTCGATTTCTCTCTCGTCATCTACGATCCCGTCGCTGAATTCGAAAGAATCCTCTACCGTCTCTCCTTTCGTTTCGCGGTCTATCTCTGCCGTCAAGTTTCAGTTTCCGGTTCGTCGGGTTCGAACCGGAGACTTGAAGTTTTCCTCCTTCTCTTCAAGGAATCGATCCACTCCTCGCCCTGTAAATTCTCCTTTCTCTGACTCTGCTTTTAAGCTTCTACTCAAATGCTTATAGAAGTTAAATTCTAGGCTCTGCTCTATGTGACGAATCTAGTGAAAGTGTCTTCCTTTATCAATTTTTTTCTCGAATTTAGCTTGAGCTAATTGATTACCCAATTTCATAACTACTTCAGATTGAAGCCAAGAAGCAGACATACGACTCGTTCGAGGACCTTCTCGTCAACTCTGACAAACCTGTTCTTGTTGACTTCTATGCAACCTGGTGATGACTCTGTTTTCTCTGTAAAGTTTCAATTTTTAATGTTAAAGTTTCAATTTTTCTCATTCGTTTAAACAGAGGAGTAAAAATCAGAATGTAATGTTCGTTTTGGTAGGTGTGGTCCGTGCCAGTTCATGGTTCCAATACTGAGTGAAGTGGGAGCAACCTTGAAAGACAAGATCCAGGTGGTGAAGATCGATACAGAGAAGTATCCGATCATTGCCAATAAGTACAAGATCGAAGCACTTCCTACAATCATCCTCTTCAAAGATGGAGAGCCTTGTGATCGCTTTGTATGATTTGACTCTTCATGTCTTTCAATATCTTTTGATTTTTACTTTCAAGGTTCTTAAGACTCATAAAACGTTTTCTCTTACTTATGAACTTCCAGGAAGGTGCTTTGACTGCTAAACAACTCGTCCAACGAATTGAAGATTCTCTTGAAGTGAAGCCATAGTTATGTAATCTTGATCTCATTTTAGTTTCTAGTATGTTTGCTAGATTTGCAAAAAGCTTTCTATGAGTAAACGATCTTTTATTATTATCAAGCTGTTACATTAAACATGTCTCATAGCAAGTGTAAAACTTGAACCAAAGCGATTCAAGGGTTAGAAGAAGATCTAACAACAGTAGTAGTAGGCTTGAATTTGACGGAAAGAGGAAGTGGTGAGGAGGCAAGAGAATGTTGTTGATCACCATCATGTTCATCACAGTAGCCTTGGAGCATGTCACCTTCTTGAGCAGTGAAGCCAAGAACACCAATCATAGTAGGCCAACACTTGCGTCCAACGGTTCTTATAGCACTGCAACACCCTGGACCAACGTAAGTCTCACCGTTGAGGAAGAAGAGTATGAGCTCTCCAGAGCAGTGTTGGAGCTGCATCAGTGAGTCCCAGCAGTAACCTGTTTCTTCATCGAGCCTGAGACGGTACAAAAGGCTTGTGGAAGGAGAAGATGGTGCACTAGCCACGGATGTTGGTTTCATGAGAGGTCGAGCTGTGGAAGAAGCCACCATGAGCATGAGCATCACAGTGAATGTAACCACGGAACTGGACTTGGTAGCCATTTTTTTCTCTGAAGGTGTCAAGAAGATTAGAGAGGGAGTGAGTAATGGTTGCTTTGTTTTGTGTTTGTGATGAGAAGTGAGTGATGACCTTAGGGAGTTTATATAGATACACTTAGGACCTTGACTGTTACAAGTAAATGGTAGAGTGAAAGGTCTAAAGTAAATGCGAGGGAAACTCATTAGACACACCTCTTGTGAGATAATTAGTGCTTAGTGGCGTAGTGGCTATTATTAGCGTATTGATTATGCGTTATCAAGTGGGATAATGGGTTTGCTTTAGGGTCTAATGGGCCAAATTAGGACCATATAATCTGGATGTTGTAGAGAACACAATGAGAGAAGTTTAGTACAGGCGATGTGAGGTTGTATGTGGCGAAATTGATCTATTAACAAGTACTTGGCTTGATTTATAGGCTTTGATGGTAATGAGTTCCTAAGTATGTGCAAGAACTCGATAAGGATTGCAAAAATACAGTTTCCTGAATGAAGAAAGATCTAAGATCATTTAAACTCAAACAGATAAAATGACAAGCATAAACAACTATGAAAACAAACGGGGAACTTAGGATTGCGCCATAAGATTTAGAGAGTTTATATTAACTCCAACAAAAAATCGAAGAAAAGTTGCTAACCTAACACCAGAGAACAGGTTCCGGCAACTTCAAGGTGGCTGGAAATTTCACCAATTGTTTCGGAATCACCTTCAAGATTTACTGCATCCATGATTGTCTCTGCCCCCACAATGTCAAACTCAGAAAGACTTACAACACTCGTTGCCTGAGAGCCTTTTGGTGTAAACTCTGCACCTGCAGTTTCTTCCCCGGCAATAAACTCATCATGGCTGTTACAAACATTGGATGCGATGATACTACTACCACTTGAATCAGCAATGACATTTTCATTGAAATCCAGAGCTGCATCTTGACTTTCCAAAACCACACAGTCGTCCTTCAAATCAACTTTGGGAGAAGAAGCATGATTAAATGTCATATAACGTCCAGCAGGGACGACTAGCTCAGCTTCAGGACTGTTTACTGCTAATTGCACTGAAGCGGGTGATAAGCGCTCGATAACAAGTGATGATACTTGCTCTTTTCCCTCCTCAGTCATAGCCATCAAAACTGTGTCTCCTCCCTCAAGTTTCTTGTCACATTCTCCTTCCATAATTTCAGAATTCAACTCCAGAGTGGTTCTTCTTTGAGAACTATCAACTGACTTTTCCAGTGTTGTAGAATCCAAAACATTCTCAATAACCAAAACAGATTCTGCAGCGTTCGCTGAGTCCTCAATTATTCCTTGTGGCTTATTCTCAATGCACTCTTGATCCAATTTCTTTGTCTTCTTTTTTGGAGCCTTCTTTGTCTTTCTTTTGACAACCTCACTTCCATGACTATTGACTGCTGCTGCAGATCCTTTTGACAGCTTGTTACTCTTTCTTTCTTCTTTACTTTCCTTAGGTCTACCATCAGATTTGTTCCCACCTCCCTTAGCTTTAAGCCTTGTTGACCTTCTATGATCATCCTCCTGAGTACTGCTCTGCACATCAATGTCTACAAGCCGTTTAAACCGCTTAGCAGGTAATAAAGTTTCTGCCTTTAATGTCAACCGCGTAGACCGTCTCTCAACCTCTGTATCTTCAACCTTGTGAGCTTCAGTAACATCCAACGAGCTACTTACTTTATCAGTCCCAGCAGCAATCCAATTTGACTCATTTCCACTAGATCCAGCTACTGTTAACCCCTTGGCCACAATCCGATTAGATCGTCTGAGCTCTATTCCATCTTGAGCAGGTCCTTGTTTACGAGATTTAACATCCTTCCGCTGAAGTTTCTTAAGAGATCTAGTGAATTCGAAAACTTGATTCTCATCGTTGAAAGTTACTTTCTTAGCCACTCTGTTAACAACTAGACTATCCTTTAAATCATCATCCTCAACAGAAACCTCATGCGACATTGTAGTTTCCACTACAATTTCTTCAGTCTCCTTCTAAGCAAAAACGCACAAACAAACAAAATTGACGAAATGTTGTTCGATTCTAAGATGAATTTGCAAAACCCAGGAACAGAAAAGAAAGAACGTAGTGGAAATCGGAAGAATTTGGATCATTGCAATCACCTGGAAAACAGAAGCGAGTCTAGTAGCCATCTTAGTGGTCTTCAGATTCGCGGGGATTCCATGCTTTTTGCAGAGAGCTTGTAGATCCTTCCAATTCACTCCGTGAAAATCCATCTTCCGACGAACAGAATAATGTGAAATTTCTTCTCTCACCATAAAATTACTAACACCTTCAAATGAAGAAATTATTGAGAATCGATGGTGGAGACTGTGAATCGTCGTCTCTGAAAAGCTTTTTTTTTTTTTTTTTTTTTTTTTTTTTAAATATTCCCATTTAATAGTTTGGAAAATTTCAAAACTACACATTTTGAGGTACCAATTTTCAAAAATACACCTCTATGGTGCCTATTTTCAAAACTACACTTTTTTCATTTAGTAAAAGAACTCAAAACCCTAAAATCTAACATTGAACCCTTAAATCTAAACCCTAAACCCCAAAATATAAACTCTAATCTAGGATTAGTGAACCCAAACATATATATTTAAACTAGAAAAAATTGTATTTTTGAAAATTTTCATATTATAGGTGTAGTTTTGAAAATTTGCACCTCAAAAAGTGTATTTCTTAAAATTTCTCTTAATAGTTTGGGAATAAATATTTAAATTTGAAATTTGGAAACCCCGCTCTAGTAAAAGTAAAACGCTAGTAGAATGAAATATTTTCAGATTCATTTGATTTAATTTTAAAACATAGTAATATTAAATGGTGAAATTTAACTATTAGACCGAACTCATTTGTATCATTTCAATCGAACCGGTTTATCACTTCTACTACCATCAAAATCTTTGCAAGGAATAAAAGTGGGCTATAAATCAAGTTAGTACGTAACTAAGTATGCATAACAAAGGGTAAGTCTATTGGTGGTAATAATCTTGCTGCAAAACACAATTTTGAAAAGTTGTAACGAATTTAGTACAAAGTACTAACACAAGAAACCGTTTCTGAAATACATAATACGTTCAGAAAAATGTTTTATGAAGCAAAGAAGAAAAATCTTAGAGAAAACACTTATTAGTCAATAGTGCATGAGATATGCATGATATTCCGTCTTCTAGTTGTTCCTCAAGTCTTTGAGAGGCTGTCTCTTTGAGGTCCTCCGAGCTGTGACGTTAAGATGATCAACAATCTTTGAGCTCGGTGCATTTTCTTTCATATCATGCCATTTAGGCTTCACTTCTGTTCTGTAAATCAAGATCGGGTCGTCTCCTCCTACTTGCTTCTCAGTTTCATCAATGTTTTCAATCATTTCCTCATCTGCAGCTATTTCAAATGGGGAAAAAGGTAAATAATTCTAAAGGTACTTGAGCGACTTTTAGTTCATCTTTCTTGAAACTAAGAGAGAAATCTAAACCAACCTTTTTCAATCATATTATCTTGAACTGTAATTTCATCAGGAGTGAGAGTGATGGCTTTCACTGTGATCATGGATTGAATCAAAGGTAAATGATTCTGTAGATTTATTGAATCTAAGAGACACTAGATTGTAAGAAATCTAACCTTGTTCATCTTTGTGATTATGAAGAGTAGATTCATCGAGATCCAGGGAGCTGTCTTTCTCTGTGAGAATTGAGAATGTATTGAATAGAGAGATGTTGTAATCACCTGTTATTTCCATTTCCTCCAATGCATCATCATTTATCTGACTCTGAATGTCTGTGAAAGGAGCAGATTCTTCTGCGTTTTTCAGGGATGAAGGAAGAGAACAGAACAACGTTAAACTCAACTAGTAAAATCACAAGCATGATAACTTATTTCAGTAACAAAAGGGAAACTTATGATTTAAGACTACATATCATCAACTCCAGCAAAGATTTAAGAAATGTTGTTCACCTGACACCACGGAACAGGTTCCAGCAACTTCAAGGTGGCTTGAGATTTCACCAATTGTCTCGGAATCAACTTCAGCTGGCAAGGGAAGACCAACATTTCTTTCAGTTTCCGTGGCTGTCTTTGTCCCCACAGCGTCAAAATCAAATAGATTTAGAGAGTAAACATGTGGAGAATGCCCTCTGCTTTGCTTTGCAGTCGCCTTTGTGGCATCTAGACACACAACATTTGTATTTTTTTAAGTGTTTTGCTGAACCTTGGAACACAAGATATGTAAGAAATCTAACCTTCCTCGTTTGTGTTATCCTCAGTAGTGAATTCCTTAGGAGTCAGAGAGATGGCTTTCTCTGTGAGAGTGAATTGAGTAGAAACAGTAATTTGGTTAAGAGATTTCCAATAAGTAAATAACTCCTGAAACAATGCTTAGATATAGATAAGTAACTTACCAAAGGGAGTTGTTAAAGTAATTGCACCAGTTGCTTCATCTTCTTTAGAATGATCACCTTGGTGCTTATCCTCCGTTCCACCTAAGACGCATGTCTTTCTAGAAACAGAAGAGCCATGATGGCTTTGATACTCGCTTGAGCCAGACTTACCATGACCAAGTCGGTCCTGTCCAGACTCTCCCAAAAGCAAACGACTGTCCACTTCCTTTTGCTCTTGCTTTCCAACAGTATGTGGTTCAGTGTTTCCTGAAAGCTGGTTTCTCTCTGGAGAAGTAAAACCAAACGACTCTTCACAAGAAGTGGCTCCTGTATGATCTTTAATCATTATTGTTCCGTCTAGTCCAGAGTCCACAGACACTAACTGTTTCTCCAGGTTAATGGAAATGTTAGATTCACTCAGCAATTCCACAACCTTGTTCTCTTTGTACTTGTTTTCAGCTTCCTCTGGTTCAAAGACTCTCATAAGAGAGTGGCTCTCAGAAGCAGTGAGAACACCAGACAATTCATGAGACTCCTCCACTTTCATTACCTCAGCCAACACAGTCTTCCTTCCGCCTTCCTTGACACAGTCTGACACGTTTTCTTCCATCGGAGAGACCTCATCCATCGTTTCCAAGTCTACACAATGTTCAAGACTGATACGACCAACCTTACATGTATCCGCTTGTTCTTCTACACTGCATTCAGAGAAGCTTCCTTGTAGTTTTTCTTCTTGAAACACATTCTCTAATGAACCTTTCTCGTCATCTTTGCTTGAATGATTCTCGTTACAACTTGCAGCTGAATTTTCCAGGTTTGCTGTGATTAAACGTCAGAAAGAAACACAGATTTCAAAAAATTATTTAGCAACAATAAGTGAAAAAATAATTCAGATCAAACGAATTCAACGTACATACCTTCTACTTTAGCCAACTTAGCTACAGAGTAATGCTCCTTAAGCTCAGATCTAGGAGTGCAAATAAGAGTTTCGTCCTGGGTATTGGTTACTTCCTCAACACTCATTGTTGAAGCAATATCCTTAAGAAGGATACGGCCAGTACGGACGACTAGCTCAGCTGCAGGACTTGTTATGGCTAATTTCACTGAAGCTGGTGATAAGCGCTCGAGAAGAAGTGATGGTACTTGCTCTTTCTCCTCCTCAAACAAAACTGTGCCTAGCTCAAGTTTCTCTTCACATTCTCCTTCCAAAACATTCTCAATAATCAAAACAGATTCTGCAGCTTTGGTTTCCGAGGAAGAAGATTCACCAGGCTCATGAATCTCGTTGCAACATACAGCTGAAATTTCCACGCTTGCTGTGATTAAAACATCAGAAAGAAAGAAAATAAGATAACATAGCTTGAGGAAATAGTGTAAAAGTCAATTGATAACGTAAAACCATATGAGTTGAGAGAATATACCCTCTGCTTCTGCTAACTTGGCTACCAAGTTATGCTCCTTAACAAGGATATGACCAGCAGACACGGCTTCAGGGTTGCTCACTGCGAAGTGTACTGAAGTAGGAGGTGGAGTGGTTTCTTCAAAGATCTCTGCTTCATGGATGCTAACATCTAAGCGCTCAGTAAGTAATACAGGCAGTGATGATGATGCTTCCTCTTTGTCCTTAATCGAATCTCCTTCAGCTGTTTCAAGCAGTAGATGTTTCTCGGCGCTAGTGAAAACGTCACAGTCAACTTGCAACTCCACAACTCTGTTTCCTTCACATTTTGCAGCTTCTTCCGGAACAGCAGACTCGTCATGAAACTCTGCAGCCGCTTTTCCTGCTTTCTTTATTGATCAGAGTCTTCATGCAACAATTGTCTCTCCAGGCTTGTAAAAAGATAACCTTCACTAGCTTTATCTTTGTTTCCTCCACTTTTCTCTGCTCCATCTGACTCAAATTTTCCCAAGAGTGCATGACTATCCGGGCTAATGCAAGTGAGCTCAACAAACCCATTTTCTTCCTTCCATTCGATTCCATCTCCTTTAATGTCTCTCACACCGGAGAGTTGTCTCAGTGGACTAGTGGCAATGTCAGACTCCTCATGAAGCTCAACAGCTACACTCTCTCCTTCATTTCTAGCTTCATCAGTGAGAACATCAGGTTCTGTGGCTGTATGTTCCTCTTCCTTTCCCACATCATCTAAACCAGAATCAGCCACCAATGAAACCTTTTCAGGAATTGTGAAAACAACAGCATGAGACTCTGCTGCTTCATCGTCGTGATGGGTCACTGAATCAGCTGCACTCGTCTTCCCATTTTCTTGTTCCATCAACATTAAGTTTCTTCCCTCCGGAGTAACGAACACCTCTGATTCGTCAAGGATGCTACAAGCAGCTTTGCTCATTGTTACTGGCTGGGATAAAACTTTCATCTCGTCTTTGCTTGAATGAATCTCGTTGCAACACGCAGCTGAAGAATAACAAAACATAGCTTGAGGAAATAGTTTTAAAGACAGTTTATAACTCTTTAACCAAATGAATTAAAGAGTACATACCCTCTGCTTCTGCTAACTTGGCTTCCAAGTTATGCTTCTTCAGCTCAGATCCAGGAATGGAAACAAAGATTTCCTCCTTGGCTTCGATATCTTCATCACCAATATCCTTAACCAGGATCTGACCAGTAGACACAGCTTCAGGGTTTTTCACTGATAAGTGTACTGAAGTAGGAGGTGGAGTGGTTTCTTCAAATATCTCTGCTTCATGGATAAGAGGTACAGGAAGTGATGATGCTTCTTCCTCTTTGTCCTTAACCTCAGCCATTAGAACTGTGTCATCCTCATGTTTCTCTTCACCTCTCCTTCCAAAAGTTCCAAGTTCAACTTTTGAGTGTTTCTTCTTGGTGAAATATCGACAGGTTTCTCCACTGAAACATTCTCAATAACCACCACAGATTCTTCAACAGCTATGGTTTCCGAGGCAGAAGAAGGTGAGTCATCAATCTCAATGCACTCTTGAACCATTGTCTTTGACTTCTTGTAAAAGCCACTAGCTTCCACCACATTGACGACGCCACCTTCTTCTTCTTCTTGGTCAAACTGAGCGTGCTCAACCAAAAGCTTTCTCAGCGCTATATTGCCTAGACTTGATGCACTTTCCTGCTTCTTCCTCCTGGTAATAGTTTCATCAACGAGGAGGAGCTCACTCACACTCTTTCCAAGTTTCCTAGACTTTCTTGGAGCCTTGACTCTTTCATCCACCAATGGCACGTTGACGTTTTCCCCAAGTCTTGCAACATCCTGAGCTCTGCTGCAATCTTCTCTATTGTAGATCTCTACAAGTGGTTTAAACCGTCTCTCAACGTCTTCATCTTCAATCTCTTCCAGATCAATCACCTCAGCTGCTTTCTGAGTCTCCTTCTACGTAAAAGACACACACACACATACACAAAAATTAACGAAATATTGTTAAACCCTAAGATAAAGTTGTAAGTGATGATCAAAGTCGCAAAACAAAAGTCGCTTTCTATTTTCCAGATCTAATGAGTATTGAGAACCAAACCTAGGAAAGGAAAAAAAGAAATAGGAAAATTAGTATAATTGACAATCACCTGGAAAAGAGAAGCGAGTCTGCTAGCCATCTCGATATTCTTCAAATTAGCGGGGATTCCATGTTTCTTGCAGAGACTCTGTAGCTTCTTCCTCTTCATACCGTGAAACTCCATTTCCGACAGAACACAAAAGTCTCAAACTTTCTTCTTATTTCACAGTAAGATCCTCAAAATGAAATGGATTGATTATATAGAGAATGGAGAATGCGAATAGTCTCCGGAAAAAAAAGTTTTTAGGTTTTCGGTGTAAATGTTTAAATTTTGAATTTTTTTTGCGAACTGTATATATATCTCGTAAAACGCGAGTTGAACGGAGCTCTGATTGGTTACGTGACTTTTAAATTTATTTAATGAGGGTTTAAATGGTTACGCGGTTGAAATTGAGGGGGTTTAAAATAAAAATCCCGAAGAAGACGAACAATTACTAATCTAGGCCGATTTTGGGCTAAAAGGCCCAATTTCAAATTTTTGATTAGTAACTTCAAAGTGTAATTTCAGCGGGAACTAAACAAATGATCTAAGCCGTTGATTTCTTATCTTTTAACAAGAACACTGACAAAGCTGAGACCTTTCGAAAAAACCCAATCTGGAATCGGGTTTCAACTGGATCATCCAACAATGATCCGATTATCTCCAGGATTTGCAATCAATCACCGTTTTCAATTCAATTCCCAGAAATCGAACTTTTTTCCCGCTCAAATCGCGTCACGACGGAGGAACTTCTCCAGAATCGGATCGGAGAGCGGCGACGGCGTCGCATTCGACGCTGTAGCTTACGAGTCTGAGCGGCTGAGCCTCGACGCGGCGGCGATGGAGGATATGGCGGAAACGGCGAGGAAGGAGCTTGAATCGGAATCGGAATCGGATCCAGATAGTGATCCGAAAGCGTGGAAATGGATAATCCGAAAGAAGATGTGGGATCTGATGGAAGCTCGGAACTACTCCATGAACCCTAGACCCGTTCATCATCGGATCCCTAATTTCGTCGGCGCATCGGCTGCCGCAAGAAAAGTGCGCTAATTTCCTTCAATTGTTTTTATTTGGTGGATTTGAGAATTTTCGAAATTTTGATTTCTTGTTGCAGCTTGCTGAGCTTGAAGCTTTTCGTATGGCTACGGTCGTGAAAGTCAATCCCGATTCACCGCAAAAGCAAATCAGGTTTCTTACACTTTCCGGTTAGTTAATAGATCAATGTCTCATCAATTCATAGAGAACCTTAAGTCTTTAGTGGAATCAGAATTTAGACAAGTTTGTGTTCTGTGATTGTAGGTGACAAGAAGCTGTTGACTCCTCAACCTAGGCTAAGAACAGGATTCTTCTCTGTACTAGAATTGAGTCTGTTGAAACCGGAAACGATCAATGAAGCTTGCACATCGGTCGGAGTAGCCAAGTATGGAAGAGCGATTGGTTTAGATGAGAAAATCAAAGTGGATCTCATTGTTATCGGTTCTGTTGCGGTTAATCCACAAACCGGTGCTCGGTTAGGGAAGGGAGAGGTAAATTTGTTGTTACAAATTTCAATTTCGGTTAAAGTATAAAGAGAAACTCAAACTGAACAGAAGCAAGCTTATGATTTATGTGTTTTTAAGGGTTTTGCGGAACTTGAATATGGAATGTTGCGTTACATGGGAGCTATTGATGATTCCACATCCGTTGTTACAACCGGTACATGAAAACAATCTCTTGTTTCATTTTTTTTTATGATCTTTGTGACTCAATGACTTGTTTTTGCAGTGCATGATTGTCAGCTAGTGGATGATATACCTCTCGAGAAGCTTGCGATTCACGACGTTCCTGTGGATATCATTTGCACTCCTACTCGAGTCATTTTCACTAATACACCAATACCAAAACCGCAAGGTCTTTAATTATTTTCTTATTAATTCAAGATTTAGTGTTTGTCTATGTTTCTTGAGGGCTGATTGTTTTGTTTTTTTGTGTAGGAATTTATTGGGACAAACTGTCGCCGGAGAAGCTACAACAGATTCGGATACTGAGAGAACTAAAGAAGCGGTTGGAAAAGAAGACTGGCGTTAAACTACCGACAGGGCCATCGGAGAAATTACCTCCCACGGCTGAGCGCAAACGCCGTTAACTAACGACTTCTAGTTTTGGCAAATTTGTTTTTGTTCAACTAAACCGGTTGGTTGTCTCTGGTTACTCTTCTATACGAGAAAACAATCCATGTTCATGTGTGTATATGATGGATTTCAGTAGCGAGAAGGTAGTGGATTAATTAATACCAACAAAACAATCATACATGTGTACACATATTTTATTTTACAAATAATTCAAACAGTTTGTATAAACCGGTATCTTCTTTTAAACATTTTAAATCATTTATTATTATTTAGTTATGACTTATGAGTTGACAAGTATATGTTTTTATTTTATTTTATAAATTCATATTTTGTTACACAAATCATTTGTTTGGCATTTATTCCGCATTTTTCTGTTACCATTTTATTTACTATTATGTAGTTATGATTTCGTTTATTTTATATAATTCATCTTGGTAAATATTTTGTTACACAAATAATTTATTTGGCATTGTGTTTTCTAACTACATATAGATATAGATATATTATTAACGTTAGACCTAAACGTAAGTGTGTAATGGCCTAGTGGTTTTCCCGTGATCCGACTTTGCAAGTTCGAGCCTCGCTGAGCTCATTTTTGTATTTTTTTTTGCGAGGACAAAGTCGTAATTGACAGTGTACTTCTCCTTCCCTTTGATCAGAATCGGCCGTCCAATAGACCTAATTCCTTCTAGTGGCGATTCGAATCGTAATTAGTGGCGAAAAATTGGGGAATCGTCCGCAACAATGTCATTTTCCGGTGATCCTGTAACTGAGATGCCAATACCATACCGAGACATTTCCCGAAATCACTTCTCCTATCGAAGGTAAGAGAATGCACTAAGTTTTTCGGTTTCTCTTCTAAATTGTATCTTCCAATTTTTGTTAAACACATATTTGTGCTAATGCTTCTAGGCACAAGAAACAGAAGGACGAAGACATTTCAATCTGCGAATGCAAGTTTGATTTCGGAGACCCTGACAGTGCATGTGGCGAGAGATGCTTGAATGTGATAAAGAACACGGAGTGTACACCTGGATTTTGCCCTTGTGATGACAACTGCAAAAATCAGGTAATTGTCTCAAAATGGTTGCTGTGACGCTTTGGGATTGTCTTAGAAGTTCCAGTTTCGTACTATGTGCCTGAATGTATATTACATGTTTTGGTGGTTACAGAAATATCAAAAATGTGACTACGCCAAGACAAAGCTGGTTAAGTGTGAAGGTCGTGGGTGGGGACTAGTGGCTTTGGAAGAGATCAAGGTGAGGACTCAAAGCTTATTTAGGGTTGTGTCTTGTCATTTATGAAGTGGATTCTCAATCAAGTACTGGTTGTGTTTGATGTTGTGATTCAGGAGGGACAGTTTATAATTGAGTACTGTGGAGAAGTAATATCATGGAAAGAAGCAAAGCGTAGGGCTCAAACATATGAGACTCATGGTGAGTAGAAACTTTAACAGCGATGATGAGTATTGATAGTTTTGTAAAGCTTTAGGAAATGTATGACTTGTGTGTGGTTACATGGGCAGGTGTTAAGGATGCATACATAATATCTCTCAATGCATCTGAGGCTATTGATGCCACTAAGAAGGGAAGCCTTGCATCTGTGTCTTCCTCTGTCGACTTTCCCTTCTCCATAAGATTCATTTGGTCCTGAAACTGATTCAAGGTTCATCTCCAATTTCTGTTATCGATGAACCTTGAATCAGTTTCAGGACCAAATGAATCTTATGGAGAAGGGAAAGTCGACAGAGGAAGACACATCTTCTCTCGTTCTCGTGACCTTCAATCCCAATTCCAACTCCATTATTAACTGTTCTGTCCTCTATTATGGAGATTTTTATTAGGTTTTGATTTGTTGATGCTTCGATGTTCCACTAAAGGAGTAAAGGGAAGGAGAAAGGACTACATTAATATAATACCATTCGTTACTTCATCTCTAGGACTTGAAAAATAGTCAAACGGTCAACGCATTTCCTCTTTTGTTGCCTTGAACAACAAGTAACCGCCTGGTTTTGCATTTTCATTTCATACCGAACAATTATCATCACAGTTATCGATATTAGTTACATGTTGTTTTCGATAACTCACTGTATAAGCTTTATGCCGAACCGGTGACTCCAGAATATAAATATTTTCAGATTTCAAATAACTCACAAGTCACAATACATAATAATCTATATTTTTCTCTTACAAAGATGTCCTTAAAAACATGAAAGAACCACTGTCCTAAAACCTAAGTTGTAGAGTAATCTCATTTTCTTTTGGATTGAATCAGCTGAGTAATGAAAACAATAATTGACATGAGCAGAGTGGATCCTGCAACAAATGGGAAACAACATTTTCTTTTCTTTTCTTCCTTCTTGGTTTACTATCTTCTTCGATTTTTTCCTCACGATCCATTGGTTCTTCTTCCTACACCACCTCTTCTTCCATCTTTTCTTCTTCCTCAGGTTTCATCTCGTCTTTGATTTCTTCTCCAGGCTCTGTTATTTCCTCTGTTTTCTCTGCTTCCGGCTCTGTTATCTCCTCTTCTTCCTCCTCTTCTTCCTCCTCTTCCTCAATCTTCTGCGTATTTTATTATCTCAGTTTGGCATGCCTAATCATAAGCTAAACGAATATAAAATATGAGTAGCAAATCCTTTATCAAGAAAAAGAGTAGTGGTTGTTTTTATCTTCAGCAAATAAAAATGTTTTGGTTAGCAGAAAGTTCGATACCCGAGGGCGTCCAGTACAATCCTAGATTCCAATAAAATGTGTTGTAAATAAATTCTCGAATCATGTAAAAGAAAAGAAATTAATAAACGTCAATCGCAATGATGGGATGATTCATAGATCGAACTGCACTAAAAAGTGCATCCACAGTCCTAAGTTTTAGTGGACATAACATCACATCACATAACATAACTATTTTATTTTATTTTGAATCAAATTGGCAATGATTGTTTAAAAGGGGGTGGTCGGTTCATGCTGTGTCGCACTAAATATGGACATGAGTACTTCTACTTCCACATCATCCTGGTACTTCCCGCTTTAGGTAAACTTCAAACTATTTAGTCTAAAACTATTTCTTGACTCTTCTCAAACTTAGAATACACATTATCTGATCAAATGGAAAATTTGGTATCTCTCTGTACTCATCAAACATGGGACTAAGAAGATCATTTCCAAGTCTTAATACCTAAACTCATCATAGTTATAAAAAACTACTCAAAATCTACATTTTCTCCAGCGTCTCTTCTTCTCCTGCTTACCATTTCCAACTGCAAATTTCAAACATAAAAAAACATCAGACAGTGAGTTTACAAATGGTGCAACAGTAGAACTTGACTGCCGAATTTGAATCTTTCATGCTCTCATTACAAGACTATACTTCAAACGTAGCTAATACTCCAATGGACATGTCTAGACTTTTATGGGAGTTTCATGCACTGAATATAAAGAAATCTCTTTTGAGCAAAAAAAAAAAAAAAAGAATAAAAAGGCATCTCTCACATTCAAGAGAATCTTATGTAAAAATACTCAGACTGGATTGAACAAGAGGAGCAACGAATGTCAAAACAGTAAACCAAAAAGATAACTAAACCAACTCTAATTACCTTCGTGGACATCTCACGCTCTCCTTGCCTCTCTTGGGTTTTTCTTTCTCCACTCCCAAGGCTCCTCTGGGTTTGGATAACCCCACAAGCCAATGCCCTTCTCCTTTGCCTCCTCTTGCCACTGATGTCCACATAGTTAGAACCGATGATTCGTTATCAAAAAGAAAGAAAAAAGATATTGAAGAGACAAGAGTATACATCACAAGTTTTTTTTACTTGCCTTTCCAAGTATCTTGCGCGGATCATGATATCCATCATACCAAGCACAACCGTTCTCAAGCATCGGCTTCTACACAGGAAACCAATTCTCTATTTTCTGAAAAAGGTTCGTTACAGAATGAACATGTGACAAGTGAATGAACTTGCATTACCTGAACAAACTCATCACTGTAGTAAATATCTGCTTCACATCTGTCATATTCATCTTGTCCATAAGGCAACACAGTCAATTTCTTCCCTTCAACAAGTTTAGTGAGCTCTGCTTGTGCCTCTTTCCCATAATCCTGCACCTTGTTTTTTGGTTTACCATCATCAACATTACCAATCAAATTCCACAAGACGAAAACCATAAAAAAGATGGAGAATATGCAGTTTGATCGATCAAGGAGTTCAACTCTGTGCGAATGTGGTACATACAAGACTTGAACTCATTCAAAAAGTTTTGTATAAACATTGGTCTTTTCTTTAGATATTTTAAATAATTTATTGTTATTTAGTCATGAGTTGACAAGTATATGTTTTTTAATTATTTTATTAATTTATCTTGGTAAATATTTTGTCACACAAATAATTTATCTGACATTTATTCCGCATTTATATTATTATTTTAGTTATGAGTTCATAAGTATATGTTATCATTTATTTTATTATTTAATCTTGGTAAATATTTTGTTACACGAATAGTTTATTTGGCATTGTGTTTTCTAATAAACAAATTAATGGATTTAGATTCGCTAAACGAAATAAGAAGACGAAATGCATTCTCTCAAGATTCTCGAAAGTTGAAAAGTAGTCATCAAACGTACATGCGATTCAGACAAATAAGTAAAATGTGATGTGTTCTTATTGAAAGAGAACAAGAAAAGAGATATGAAACGAACTTGGTTCTAAGTTCTAACTAGGCCTTGATGGATGACATGTCTACTTTCCGAGATGCTTGGACGACGTTCTTGTTTTCCAGGGAAGGACTTGCGGGAGACATAGACATCTGAACGTTCAGATATCTCAGAGAGGACTTTCCGGTTCAGCTGAACGTTCTCTTTCATCAGTCCGTGGATGAAGTTACCGTAGTTGAGCAATATTAGGCAGATTCAAGAGGTTTGTTCTTGGATCTGAGGATCGATTCATTTGAGAGAGTGTGATTCTTTGATGATTTTTTTTGTAATCCCCTTTGTTAACAAGGACTTGGTATCTTAACACAAGACCAGCTGAGCAGGATTCTCTTGTCACAAACAAACAATGAGCCTTCTTTTGACCCAATTCTGTTTCAGACAAATATCTTGCGGTAAAAAACAGAACTCGTAAACTATCATTTAGTCTAAAATACTTAGATTGGATTGAACAAGAGGAGTATCGAATGACAAAACAGTAAACCAAAAGATAAACAAACTCTAGTTCCCTTTGTGGACATCTCACGCTCTCCTTGCCTCTCTTGGGTTTTTCTTTCTCCACTCCCAAGGCTCCTCTGGGTTTGGATAAGCCCACAAGCCAACGCCCTTCTTCTTTGCCTCCTCTTGCCACTGATGTACACATAAATAGAACCGATGATTAGTTACAAAAAAAGAAAAAGATATTGAAGAGACGAGAGTATACATCACAATTTTTTAATTGCCTTTCCAAGTATAATGCGCGGATCATGGTATTCATCATACCAAGCAAAACCGTTCTCAAGCATCCACTTCTACACAAGAAACCAATTATCTTTTCAGAAAAAAAGTTTTTGTTTTTATAGAAATGGAATGAAAATATGGCAAGTGAATGAACTTGTATTACCTGAACAAATCATCATGCCAGTAAATATCTGCTACCCATCTGTGATATTCATCTTGATGATAAGGCAAAACCGTTAATTTCTTCCCTTTAACAATTTTAGTGAGCTCTGCTTGTGCCTCTTTACCATAATACTGTCCACTCTCTGGTGCATCCATTCCCCTGTTTCCATTTCCATCAACAAGAAGGTTTCTCAAGACACTGGGAGCTTCTATTCCAAGGAAACAAAGAAGTGATTTTTTTCTTACCTTAGTCTGATTTGAAGAGGCATACCAATAACTTCTTGGCCATGAAGCTTCAGCAATCTGTAACCATGAGATGCAATTGTTTTCATATGTTGAGTTGCTTCTTCATAACGTTTCTTCTCTAATGCTTCTGCACTTTTAACCCATGCTTCATCTACTTTAGCCTTTACATCCATTACTTCAGCCTTTACATCCTCTTTAACATCCTCATACAGTGGTGACAGGTCCGGCTCCAAAGTGTTGACATAGACTGTGAAGCTGTTTCCATCTGTCACATCCTTTTCATCCACCTTGTTTTTGGTTACGATCATCAAGATTAGAATTCAATTCCAGAAGATGGAAAACATCAAAGATGGAGAATAATATATGCAGTTGATCTTCTAACCGGGAATGTTTCCAAGAGATATTTAACTCCTTTAGGCAGAGTAGTTTTCTTCATCCGCCGCTTAGCCTCATAATTGGCATATACGGCAAGCTCGTCAAACTTTGATGTAATGACCTCCCGAGTGATCTTTAATTCACGGATTGTAATAGACGCAAGCCTTGAGTCTAAGCTATTAAAGGCTGTTTCAATGAAATTATGGACATCCTGAAAGATTGATTTAATGCCAACCTCCTTCAGCATCTCCTCAACCATCTCCTCCACGTCTTTCTCAGATTCCTTTTCTCCTGTCGAATCCACTAACAGAAAGAAAAAAAAAATCAAACCGAATAAGATACGCAATTGAATCTAAACGAGAAATCAGGAAGAACCCTAGAAACATGAGAAAAATCAATAACATCAAACCGAATCAGATACGCAATTGTGCGTTTCTTATCATATCAGTTGTCAATAAAAGCTTCTTCCTCATATCTCATTTATTCAAAGAGAAATCTAATTACCTTTTCTATTTTATGTTTTCATGCAATTCTAAAAAAAAAAAAAAAAAAAAAAAGAAGAAGTCAGAGAACACAACTCTCTGCTACAAACAAGTTTTCACTTTTCAGACTATGTTAGGAATGGGATGAAATATAATACAAGTCAACACGGGAGATGATTTTGTGTTTGTGTTCAACATTATGTAGGACGTGAAAATAAATAATCTACAAAACAAGGGAGAATAAGAGGAATTGTGAAGAAGAAAACAAAATCGAGATGCATAGCTTAGTGATTCCACCTGGTCTAATACTTTAAGTCTACTTCTCAGTAACCAACTTTACTCATGAGATAATATGTTCTCGCTCCCAAAGAGACAATCGTAACGTGATTTTGAAATAATGTATGACTAAATTCCTCAGGTAATTATCAGATGAGAGAAATTAAAAATAAAACTAAGTGGAAAAAAGGAGGAAACAAATACTAACCAGAAGGAGCGGTATCCTCTGTCTTATGATCCTCGTTATTCATTTAGACGAACTTATGTGTACCCAGTCTGTGGTTTGATCCTGAAAAACCAAACAACTAACATCGATTAGTCAAAGCTAAACTTGAGGACTAAAAAGAGAAGAGTATTGTAGTTAAGTTATGGGACCAATGGTTCATCAACATAATTAACATAGATCACCGAAATTAGATCACACTAATGTTCACCGCAGATATGATATTGTCATCTATAACCGAGCTACAACTGACAGATGAAATCAAACAATGGCATAAAAAGAAAAATCAGAGCGCAACACACTAACCTGTTGGAGAAAACTAGGAGGTCAAAGGACGAGTTCGAAGAAGATGCCGAATCAAGTGCGACGAAAGACGGCTGTGGTGAAAAGCTGAGGATAAAAAGACGGGGAAGAAGAAATAGGAATCAAGAGCTGAGAAAAAGGAAACAGAGTTGCACCAAATAAAAAGAAGGAAACAGAGAAGAAGAAGAGAAAAGAAAAATTGTCGGCGTATTTTTTGGCTATAAAAAAGGGAAACTATAGTAAAGGTGACAATAAAAAAAAAAATGTCAATATTAGGTTAAAACTGCCGTATTGATGCATGGTTAAAATATTTTCTGTATATTATGTATTAATGACTGAAACTGTCCTTTTTTCTTTTTCACTTTCACGTCACTTTTTTGTTCAATGAAATAGTGTCTCTGTTTTCCACCGTTGTGACTTCTCGTGAATATGATTCCCATCGTTTCTCATGGGAATACAATCTTTTTTTTAGCAACATTAAAAGTCTTCCGAGTATTATTTCTTATGCTCATTGTAACGTCCAACTCCAAATGGATACTAATTATTGATTTCAATATTAGATTACGGAAAAAATGAAGCTGAAATGTTATTTTAATTTCACTAATCTTATTTCTTTATTTTAACTACGTACGTGTTGACTTTGACTTTACTTTTGTAAACAAATAAGATTAGTGAAATTAAAATAACATTTCAGCTAAACCTTAACATTTCAACATTACCTAAACCTTCATTTTAATTTTAAGTTGCTGTAATGTTGTTCTGTTTCTATCGCATCGACTTTCCTTAAATCTAAAGTTTGTTTTTTTTTTTTTTTGTGTTTCTATCAATTAGTCTATTCACACTGTGGTCTAGGCTTGATTACTTTTTAGTAGTGTTGCTGGAGTTTCAAATGTCACATGACTCGTATAAATTTTGCTGCTTTTGTATTTACCGAGCTTTTAGATCATCACTTAAACATCTCATATTATAATTTTATCTTCTTTAGCTAATCACATTGTTAAGATCTAACGTACAGGAAAGAAAAAGGTGAGTACATCAAGATAATATTAGGGATAAATATCCCACATCGGAAGTTGGAAGGGATCTCAAGTAGTATATAAGGGATATGGGCCTCTCCACTCATTGCCAATTGGTTTTGAGTTGGAAGCCCATGTAACTTAACAGTATGTATCTTGTTAGGGCTTTAAAGTCATTCGTTGGTGTTTTGTTCTCTATTTTTGTAACTTATAAAAAAACAGTTGTCTATTTTTTTTCGAATACTTAATTATGAGTTTTTCTGAATGAAGTTATTATCTTACTCTTCACAATTCGTATGATGCTTTTTTGAAAGTCATTTTGGTGTTGTTTCTCTGATGCAAATGCACATAGCTTTTGGTTTCTCTTCTCAATTGAATCTTCCCATTGTTGTTAAGCACACATTTTTTCTACTGCCTCTAGGCACAAGAAACAGAAGGACGAAGACATTTCTATCTGCGAATGCACGTTTGATTTCGGAGACCCTGACAGTTCACGTGGCGAGAGATGCTTGAATGTGATAACGAATACGGAGTGTACACCTGGATATTGCCCTTGTGGTGTCTATTGCAAGAATCAGGTAATTGGTTTAAAATGGTTGATGTAACGCTTTGGGATTGTCTTAGAAGTTCCAGTTTGATGTAGCGCAGGCTTAACATATAACTTAGTTTGTTGAATGTATGGTACTTAGTAGTGTTTACATGTGTTTCTGGTTACAGAAATATCAAAAATGTGAATATGCCAAGACAAAGTTGATTAAGTCTGAAGGTCGTGGGTGGCCAGGTGGGCACTAGTGGCTGTTAAGAGATAAAGCTTATTTATGGTTGTGTATTGTCATTTATGAAGTGGATTCTCAATCAAGTACTGGTTGTATTTGATGTTGTGATTCAGGAGGGACAGTTTATAATTGAGTATTGTAACCAATTGATCTAGTAACGCAAAGATTAAGAGTATATAAGGCTACACATCTACTCCAAGAAACATTCGACAAAATTAGCTAGTCTACTGAGAAAGACACATGATGTCAAAAAGAAAAGCTCGAATATATATTACTATGTTTCTAGTATAATTCAGCATCAAGTCGGAGTCCAACAAGGTTTTCCATATACTAAGATTTTATAATATTTTATTTTAAGAAGAAAAAGTGTCGAATACACGCAAAAAAAAAAAACAGTTCAAGAAATGAAACACGAGTTATCTCTCGAATAATTGAATCGTGACGCATTCATGACCATGACATGTACGGATGACCCACTTCGCTGTTTGTTGTTAATTAAGCAACTTGCTGAGGATAACTAACACAAGTGGGCAGGCAAAAGTTTTTAATTGTTATCTTTTTCACTCATTTTCTCTTATTTATCCTAATTCCTAGTCGTTGAGAGATGAGACTGTTAAATTCAGTAGCTATCAAATAATTAAGCTTGAAAAATACTAACAACTAGGAAGCACAAAAGAGGTTCCCTAACTTAACAGTTAACAATAACCAAAAATGAGAGGCAACTACGTATATACAAAAGATTAATGATATAATGTCATGTTAAGAAGACATTCTTTGACTTCTCCTTGACGTTGACTATCCCACCCTCCTAAACCTTTGCGTCCAAGCCACGTAGGGGCGGTCTGGGTGGGCTCCACAGTAAAATAACGTGTACGTGGAGTGTCCTGATTGGTTTAGAATATAACATTTCTTGGCTAAATAGATTATTACGACGACGACGACGCGGTTCTTTACAGTTCTCTGTATTCGAAGGTTTTTTTTTTTTTTTTCGTTTTTAAGTTATTAAAACACAGGAAAGACTCTTTGACAAGGAAAAGCTAAACCCTTCACATGTTGGCGCATTTGGTAGTTAGTGTTTAAACTTATCCAAAAACCTTTGACTCTTTTGATGATAAATATATTTTATCTGAAAAATGAATAACCTCATTGAATGAAAATTATAAGCATTAAGTTTTTAATCTAGAAAATAAGCAAGCAACTGAATTACAAAGCACAGTGAAAATAAAACCTTTGGACAATATTATCTTACAAGGTCCAGTTCGTAGTAGTTTCAGGCTTAGCATAGAAATTGGTTACTTAGTAGTTTCTACATGTTTTGGTGGTTACAGAAGTATCAAAATCGTGAAAAGTTGATTAAGTCTGAAGGTCGTGGGTGGGGACTAGTGGCTGTGGAAGAGATTGACGTGAGAAGTCAAGCTTATATATGTTTGTAACTTGTCATTTATGAAGTGAAAATATATATAATCGAGTACTGTGGAGAAGTAATATCATGGAAAGAAGCAAAGCATAGGGCTCAAACATATGAACTCATGAAGAGTAGTAATTCAACAGAGATGATGAGAACTGATAGTGTTGTAATGCTTTTAGGTCATATAAAAAATGTGTGTTATCACATTTGTCAAGGATGCGTACATAATATCTCTCAAATCTCAATGGGTACGTAGACATCCACCATCATTCCGATGAAATCTTATCATTCATACCTGTTGTAGTAGATAGGGGTGGTTTTAGACTCTTGAGGCAGCATATTGGCAAAACAACCTTTAATGGCAATCATTAGTTTAGCCTCCAACGCATCATATCCTTCTCATGCTCTGACACTACTCCATTGCATTTTTTTTTGTAATCGCATCCATGATATCCTGCTTCACAGTCATGATGTTCTTATTCACGGGGTCTCTGCAAATCGGTTGATCATCGTCTTATACTTTTCCTCTGTTTCATTACAATCTTTTTGAATCCCATCCACCTGCTTCTTCACATCCGTGATCTCTATCATTTCCTCAAATTCCTTTTTTTCACACATACTTTTCTTTCATTTCCTCAATCTCCTTTTTCAACTCCTTCACGGTATTGACCAAATCTTCTTCTTGAGAATAAGCATCGCTTGGTCCTTCTTCTGTCAAAGCCTTCTTCTCCTCTTCCACTTGCTTCATTGCTGAGTAATTGGAGCTTGAATAGAAGATATCTGAGTGAAGATGTGAGGGTTTTTAGTTTTTACTTTGGTGGAAGAAGAAGACTTGAATAAGAAGACTCTCTTTGGTGACTCTCTCTCTCTAATTCTGATGTTTGGCATGATCTCTGAATGAGAAAGGATGCCTCCTTATATAGCCACCAAGTCTCTGTAGTTTCCATTTTGCTTCTGGAAATTTCCCCTTCTTCCTTGTTGCTATTTTGTTTCACAACGGTCAAAACAGAACAAAAAGGAAATAACACATTTATTGGACTCTTCATGTTGTAGTAATTAAGTCAGTTGCTTCACCTTCGAGAATTTTGTGATCACTTTTCACACATGTTTTCCTAGAAACAGAAGAGTCCAACATGAGATTTCCCTTGTACTCTCTTTTCGTATAATTCGTTACGTTTGCTTCTATTAGCTCCTAATTCATTATTGTCTACAAATGATTGGACATAATTTAACTATTTTGGACTTATGTAATTTAAAAGAGAAATTTCAAACTGAACAAAAGTATATGATTATTGTCTTAATTCTCACCAACAATTTTCTTTTTGTGTAAGCGTATGAGCTTGTTATTTCTCTTGAATTTTTTTGATGTACCGTAACACTATAAATGTGGTATTTAATAAATAAATAAAACTAGAAATGTGTTCAAATATATCTAATACTAATTAGATCATGATATATGTTTATATGTGTATCTACTATTGATTAGTTGATAACATATGAATAAGTTGATCTAATACTACAAAAAAATTACAAAAAATAAATAAAATTTTGGTAATTTGTCAATATTTTAATGAAAAATTAAAAAATTATACAAATATTGTTAGCCGCTTTTCTATTGCAAAATTAACTATTGCAATACCTTCTTGACACCCAATCACAAACTCAGTAGCAAGTTTTCAGGCGTTAGTATCCATGCACCAGCGTAAATTATAGGTTGGGAAAAATAACTAATTAACAAAGTAGATTTTGATTCATAATAGACTAAGTTTCTTACCAATCTCTTTGTGTGATTTTTTTTTCACCTTAGTCTGATTCTAAGAGGCATACCAATGACTTCTTCACCATGAATCTCCTGAAATCTGTAACCATGAGATGCAATTATTCTTACATCCTATGCTGACACGTTCGGGTCTGAACCGTTGACATAGACGGTGAAGCTATCTCCATCTGTCACATCCTTTGCATCCACCTTATTTTTGGTTATAAAAATCAGTAGAACAAATGTGTGCTTAACAACAATGGGAAGATTCATTTGAGAAGAGAAACCAAAAGCTATGTGCATTTGCATCAGAGAAACAACAAGACCAAAAGAAAGAAAGGCTCTTACGTTCGATACGAGAAGTAATTTTGGGAAATGTCTTCGTATTGTGGCAGCTCATCTTCTTCTTGATCCTAAGACAAAGGCATATGGACAGTTTCCATCAGTGAAATTCGCAAAATGGTAGATATAAAGCTATAAAATCAAAATCGATATCTCACTTACAAGATCACAAGAGAATTGCATTTTGTTTCGGACTATGCTTCCAAATTTTAGTGAGAGCAGCTCTCAGCAGTCTCGCATAATCTACAGATCCAAGTAGATGCAAGCTTTAACTCTAGGCTATCAATGGTTGATGCAATGAAATGAAGGACACATTCAAAGCTCGTGACGATTTTAGGTTGGGAAAAATAGCTTGGTTGTTTTTCGAATTACATCCACTAACTCTTCCTTCATAGCTCCAATCTTCCTCTTCACTTCCTCTGAAAAATGCTTGGTGAGACTCTGAAATCTTGTGGCTTGATCTTTCAGTTTTTGCTGAATTTCGACCTTCCCATCCTAAAATGTGCGGATATGGTACATACAAGGCCGGACTTGAACTCATTCAAATCATTCAAACATTTTTGTATAAAATTTGGTCTCTTCTTTAAATATTTCAAATAATTTATTATTATTTAGTTATGAGTTGACAAGTATATGTTTTTATTTATTTTATTAATTCATCTTGGTAAATATTTTGTTACACAAATCATTTGTTTGACATTTATTCCAAATTTATCTATTACCATTTATTTATTATTATGAGTTCATAAGTATATGTTTTCGTTTATTTTACTAATAATTCATCTTGGTAAAATTTAGTTACACAAATAATTTATCTGGCATTGTGTTTTCTAACGACATATAGGTATATATATTATTATTGTTAGAACTGTTGTAAATGTGTGTTGGCCTAGTGGTTTTCCCGTGATCGGAGAGATTGCAAGTTCGAACCTCACTGTGCTCATTATTAGATTTCTTTTTTCCGTTTTATCTTCAGTCGAGGACAAAGTCGTAATTTACACTTCTCCTTCTTCCCTTTGGTCGATTTTCTGCAGATCGGCCGTCTCATACACCTAATTCCTTCTACTGGCGATCGGTGGCAGAGTCTGATTCCGCGAAAAAACTAGGAGAATCAAAATGCAATTCTCTTGCGATCCTGTAAGTGAGTTACCGATATTGATTTATAGCTTTATATTGTTTCGCATTTTCGCTGATGGCAAAACGGATGCCTTTGTCTAAGGATCAAGAAGGAGATGAGCTGCCCCAATACGAACACATTTATCAAAATGACTTCTCCTATCGAAAGTAAGACCTTTTTTTTCTTTTGGTCTTGTTTCTCTTCTCAATTGAATCTTCCAATTTTTTTTTTTGTTAAGTACACATTTTCTATACTGCTTCTAGGCACAAGAAACAGAAGGAAGAAGACATTTCAATCTGCGAATGCAAGTTTGATTTCGGAGACCCTGACAGTGCGTGTGGCGAGAGATGCTTGAATGTGATCACGAACACCGAGTGTACACCTGGATATTGCCCTTGTGGTGTCTACTGCAAAAATCAGGTAGATGTAACGCTTTGGGTTTGTCTTAAAAGGTCCAATTCGTACTATGTGCCTGAATGTATATTACATGTTTTGGTGGTTACAGAAATATCAAAAATGTGACTACGCCAAGACAAAGCTGGTTAAGTGTGAAGGTCGTGGGTGGGGACTAGTGGCTTTGGAAGAGATCAAGGTGAGGACTCAAAGCTTATTTAGGGTTGTGTCTTGTCATTTATGAAGTGGATTCTCAATCAAGTACTGGTTGTGTTTGATGTTGTGATTCAGGAGGGACAGTTTATAATTGAGTACTGTGGAGAAGTAATATCATGGAAAGAAGCAAAGCGTAGGGCTCAAACATATGAGACTCATGGTGAGTAGAAACTTTAACAGCGATGATGAGTATTGATAGTTTTGTAAAGCTTTAGGAAATGTATGACTTGTGTGTGGTTACATGGGCAGGTGTTAAGGATGCATACATAATATCTCTCAATGCATCTGAGGCTATTGATGCCACTAAGAAAGGAAGCCTTGCTAGGTTTATAAACCATTCATGGTAAAACAAAACTAACAACTTGCCTCAGATGATTCAAATAAAGCCATATCTAGAGAAAATGTCGTTAATGTTTTCTTGCTTTGTTACTCTGCAGTAAACCAAATTGTGAGACGAGGAAGTGGAATGTGTTAGGAGAAGTAAGAGTTGGAATCTTTGCAAAAGAGAGCATCTCTCCCCGGACTGAGTTGGCTTACGACTACAACTTTGAGTGGTACGGCGGTGCCAAAGTCCGTTGTCTCTGTGGTGCAGTCTCTTGCTCTGGATTCCTTGGAGCCAAGTCTCGTGGCTTTCAGGAAGATACATATGTCTGGGAGGATGGTGACGATCGGTAGGTTTCTTTACACGCACCAAGAATGGCCATAGACTGTGTGGGAATGTATTTCTGATCTTGGACTGGCAATTACTTGTTGTCCTCAGGTACTCAGTTGATAAGATTCCAGTCTACGACTCTGCAGAAGACGAGCTTACATCTGAGCCTACTAAGAATGTTGAGTCCAACACAGATGGAGAGAAAGATATCTCTACTGCTCTGATTGTTCAGCAACAGGATTCAACTCCTATGGAGGAAGATGTTGTCACGGAAGCTGTTAAAACCGAAGCACCTGAAGAAGACATGAAGCTGCTCTCACAAGATTCACAACAAGTTTCATCGCAGAAAACCGAGATTATCTCACATGTTCGTGGTGATAGTTTCAAGGTCAAGTCTGTGCCTGTTCCGAGAAAAAGAGGCAGGCCACCTTCAAGCGGAAAAGCGAAGACTGTAGCTCAGAAGCACGTTGACATAGCGAACGTGGTTCAGCTACTAGCAAGCAAAGAAGCTCAAGATGAGATTCTCAAATACGAGGTAAAAAGAAAGTGTTTTTCTGTTAATGTGTTGTGGATCAAATTAGAAACCAACCATAATGCTTGAGATTCCGTTGCAGGAGGTGAAGAAGGAAGCAACAGAAGAGCTTTCGTCGCTGTACGATGAGATAAGGCCAGCGATTGAAGAGCATGAGAGAGATAGCCAAGACAGTGTAGCGACAAGTGTGGCGGAGAAATGGATACAAGCAAGCTGTTATAAGCTCAAGGCAGAGTTTGATCTTTACTCTTGCGTGATCAAGAACATCGCTTGCACTCCGATCAAGCCACAGGACAACACAAAGAACAAACCTGTGGAAGCAGGATATGATGACCAGAGTAAGACACTGGAGTGATGCTTAGCTTAAAGGAAGGTTTTTTGATAAACTAAGGATTATAATTGTATCAAAAAGGTGTTGACTTTATTTCTCTCCATAATTTGGCGGTAAATACATTGAATAGTGATTTTATTTGAGCATTTCCTTATTGTTGGTCGACATCGATTCTTCATCTCTAAGATTATTTTGTGTATGAAGACTTGAATGAATCTACGGAAGGAAAAAAAAGGAAAATTACAATCAGAGGCTGACGAAGAACCGCGTGGAGAGAATATATGAATGTCCTTTTTTTGCCAATTCAAAAAAGTAAAAGACTTTTCTTTCTTCTTTGACTCGACCAGCGAAAGCGAATTAAAAAGGAAAGGAAAACAAAAAAAGTAAAATTGAAATCATTCGTCGGCGGCGCGTGGAGTGTTTTCGTCGGACTTGTTCAAGAGAAGAAGAGAAGGAGTTTCCCGGTGGTCTTCTGTCTTAGTTTTTGCTGTTGCCATCTCCGGCGATCTGGGTTAGTGTGATTCGGTGATCAGAGGATTAAAGAAGAAATGGTGATGGAAACGGAGTACTACGATGTGCTCGGTGTTAGCCCAACTGCTTCAGAGGCTGAAATCAAGAAAGCGTACTACATCAAGGTTTGATTTTTATCTTCTTTCTCTTCTTCTCTGTTCCAATACCGAATCTTTTTGATTTCAAAGTTTCTGTTTTGGTGTTTTTGGTGTTCGTAATTCGGTGAAGGAGACTTTTAATTGTGTCTTCTCTGTGTTATTTGGATCCGGTGAGTTTGATAGTGACGATTCGAGTGGAGAAACTAGTCTCTGTAGTGAGATTATTGGACAATTCCAGTTTGAAATTTTTGAAATTGAACAGTAAGTTTACTGTATAGTGATTGCTGGCTCGTTTGTTTATGATACTCAGGCACGCCAAGTTCATCCAGATAAAAACCCTAATGATCCTCAAGCGGCACACAATTTCCAGGCAAGTTCAGATTTTTTAACAAGTTATAGGTCTTAACAGTTTCCATTGTTACTTGGTGATGATAAGCTTTGTGTATTGTAACACTAGAACCAACTTTTGAGAAAGTTAGTATTCTTTGTTCAGGTGTTGGGAGAGGCCTATCAAGTGTTAAGTGATTCAGGTCAACGCCAGGCTTATGATGCATGTGGGAAGTCAGGGATCTCAACGTTAGTTAGTCTCTCTTTTCTCTTCTTGTGGAGTCTACTGAGATGGATCTTTTCGTCAGTGTTTAACTAGTTTACTATGTTGTTCCTGTTTTTCAGTGATGCAATCATTGATCCGGCGGCGATATTTGCAATGCTTTTCGGAAGCGAACTTTTCGAAGGGTACATAGGACAGCTTGCTATGGCGTCGATGGCTTCACTTGATATCTTCACTGAAGGTGATCAGTTTGATACCAAGAAGATACAAGAAAAAATGAAGGTAAGTTTTTGGAATTAGTAATGTCCTCTCCTCTGCTCAATCCAAGCCTTTCGTTGTAACTAAATTTTGCTAAGAATGTGGATGGTGTTTGGCTTTCAGGCTGTTCAGAAAGAAAGAGAAGACAAGCTTGCTCAGATTCTCAAAGACCGACTTAACGAATATGTGGTTAACAAAGACGAATTTGCTAGTAACGCTGAAGCTGAAATGCTAAGACTCTCTCATGCAGGTAACAGACTATGTTAACTGTTCTTTGTTTATCCCATCTCTGTGTTGAAAAGAGTCTGATCTCTTCCTACTTGTATTTTCTTCAGCTTATGGTGTGGATATGTTGAACACAATTGGGTATATATATGTAAGACAAGCAGCAAAAGAGCTTGGGAAAAAAGCTATTTACCTCGGCGTACCGTTCATTGCTGAATGGTTTAGGAACAAAGGTCACTTCATCAAATCCCAGCTTACTGCTGCAACAGGTTAGTGGCTTAGGAATTTGCATTGTATGTTAAAAAAAGGAGAAACTAAATGAAGAAAGTTCTTGTTAAATTTCTTGAAGCAAAACATGTTGTGATTTTGCTTTCTTGTCCTTGATGTTTACTGTCATGCTAGGCGCATTCGCTTTGTTCCAGCTTCAAGAAGAAATGAAAAGGCAGCTAAGTGCTGAAGGAAACTACACCGAGGAGGAACTTGAGGAATATCTTCAGGCCCATAAAAGAGTGATGATTGATTCACTGTGGAAACTCAACGTTGCTGATATCGAAGCCACTCTCTCCCGTGTTTGTCAGCTGGTTCGTCTAACTTAACTAATACTCTCTTGTTCACTCTATCTTGCATCTTTGTTCAATTTCTTTGGTTTGTAAACCTATTTACGATTCTTGTTGTCTAGGTTCTTCAAGATCCTGAAGCCAAAAGAGAGGAGCTTCGTACAAGAGCGAGAGGATTAAAAACTCTTGGGAGGATCTTCCAGGTAAAAATCTGGTTCCATCCCCTTCTTATAGTGTAGCACGTCTTGAGAAGAAAATACTGATCGAATGGATTTCACTTTTCCCTCATGCAGAGAGCCAAAACAGTTAGTGAGACTGATCCTTTATCAAGAACTGAACCTCAAAAATTAAACGAAAACGAAAGGAACTACGATGATGAGGCTTCTACATCGCCAAAATCCAATGAAGCATCTCACTCTACCTCTGCTTCTCAGGTATCTTTTCACACAAACTTTTAAAACTTTATCTTGAACGCTGCTTTAGTCGTTTCTGCTTAATAAAAGAACAAACTCTTCTCCAATGCATTTTGATAAAATGTTTTCTTCGTTTGGCAACCATAGGAACCAAAAAGCCCCTACTTGGAGGAAGAACCGAAGCTCGGAGATAAACAATTCAACCATTACTTTCCAAGACCCGCACCACCACCTGGCGCAGAGAAACACACTTCAACTGGCTATGATTGATTCAGATGAGAGTGGAGATATCTCTTCAGCATGTTTCTTCCTTGTACATAGTCTATAATAGTATACACCAAGCAGTCTTAGCTTATTGATATAGCAGTTGTGTGCCGTTATGTAAGATATATTCTTTTCTTTTCCTTTGTTCTTTGGTTTTGGGGGATTTGATGTGTATTTGACGTTGACGTTGAAAGCACATGAATAAGCTCTTTTGTGATAATAATGTGTTACAATTGAGACATACAATGAGTTTGAAGTATAAATTGCAACACTGTCCATGGATAAGTAACTCATAACATGATTAAGCTGTTGTTGAATCAAGAAAAGGGTAATCTGTGTAACCAACGACAGGATCAGAAATGTAAAACGTTGGTCTATCGTACTTATTCAACGGTGCATCCACTTCGAACCTCTTTGGCAAATCCGGGTTAGCAAGAAACCACCGGCCATAAGCCACCAGATCAGTCCGTCCTTCAGCCACCGCCTTATTACCGTCTTCCCTCGTGTAACCTCCGGCGGAGATGAAAGTCCCTTGAAAGGCTTTCCTCATGGGGATAAGCGTGTGAGGACAATCTGTTATCTCTCCCAATGTTTTCATTCTTGCTTCAACCGCATGGCAGTAGAGGATTCCGTATTTGTTGAGAGACTCCGCCATGTGAAGAGCTAACGCCTGTGGGTTTGTGTCTCCGGATTCCATGTAGTCAGCGAATGGAGACAGCCTGATGCCAACACGGTCTGGTCCGATCTCGTTGGCCACTGCTTCAACTATATCTAAAGCGAACTTGCAACGTTTTTCCAATGTTCCACCGTATTCGTCTGTTCTGTCGTTCACAGTGTCCTTCATGAACTGGTCTAGTAGATAGCCATGAGCGCCATGAATCTCTACTCCATCGAAGCCTGCAACAACAACAACAACAACATTCAAGGAAACATATATAAGAGTCTTGAGATAACTTGCTTAGTTTTCGTTTCTTTACCAGCTTCCATAGCGTTTCTTGCTGCGAGCCTAAAGTCGTTGACAATGCCTGGGATTTCTTCGGTGCTTAGCCGTCTTGGAGGGGTAAACAGGGCTTCGTCGATGCCATTAGCACGGATTTGAGGCTTCAGTGACTTGTCCGAGCAAGAGATGGGAGCTTGACCATTTGGCTGAAAGTCTCGATTGGAAACACGGCCAACATGCCAAATCTGACAGAAGAAGATGCCACCTTTGGCGTGAACAGCGTCTACGATTGACTTCCATGCTTCCACATGCTCTTTAGTCCATATCCCAGGCGTATCTTTATAGCTTCAAGAGGAGCAAATCACATAAAAAATGTAGGATGTTTAGTTTCATAGTCACAGATCAAAACCCACAAGTAAAAACTTAAACTTTAATCAAAATGAGTGGGAGATTTAGTTTCATGTCACTGATCAAAACCACAAATAAAAGCTTAAACTTTAATCAAAATGAGTGGGAAGTTTAGTTTCGCAGTCACAGATCAAAACCCACAAATAAAAGGATAAACTTTGATCAAAACGAGCAGAGAGGAGAGATTCATTAGTTACCCTTGAGCTGTATCTGAAACTCCGGTGGCTTCAGAGATGAGAAAACCTCCAGGGCTCGTTCTCTGAGAGTAATACAAGACAGCGTGAGGCTGAGGAACGGCTCCGTACGATCTCTGCCTCGTCAATGGCGCCAGAACAACCCTGAATCACATAACAGTTCGAAAACAAAAAAGGATCAAGCTTATCTTCTAAGGATGAGAGTTTTTCAGCTGGGAATTTCATCGAAGGTATAAGTAAGTAATTACCTATGAGAAAGATTGAATCTTCCCATCTTATAGGGCGTGAGGAGAGGGATACTCTGTTTCAGTACTGCGTTTTCCATTTCCATGAATTTCTGATCGAAAGATTGGCACTTTTCAAGTCTCCGTGGAATGTGGAATGTGGAAGGAGATTGATATATCCGCCGATATTTATACAGATTGATTAGAGAATCTAGGTGAGAGGAGAATTCTCATTCGTGTTTTATAAATGTGGACGTCATTGAGGACGCATCCATTGATGATGGAACCCACACCTACTTGCGCTTTCATTCGTGACGTATTCATTGACGACATTAGAGAGTAAAAGTGCTTACTTTGAATTTAGCCCATTTGTGTTCCTCCTCCTTACATTTCGGATTTCGAGTTTTGATCCATTGGAGCTTATAGGACATAAACGAGGCCTCATTTGGTTTGACTTTACCCAATCTTTGACCACCGACAAAGAGAAAAAAATAGCTCAAGTGTTGTTGGAGTAAGATGCTCTGTTTCTCTGACGTACCATATCAAAAGAATGGGCATTGAGATTTAATGAAACATAAAGACATACTAAATCGTGGCATTATCACAGAAACAGAATTAACCAACCAACCATATATGAACCATCCCGTTAAGTTGTGTTTTTGGTCACACCACCTTGTTGAATGGTCTAGGAACAAAGTTCGGAAGAGAAGGAGCTCTAACATAACGTTTTGGATGTCTTGAAAGTAACTGTTAGATAAGCTTATGTATTGTAAGTTTGTAACATAGAGATTTGCTACCTCTAGTCATTAGTACTAAGTTTTTCTTCAAGATGCTTGGACTCGTTAGGTTTATCACTTTGCTTGATGAGTTTATGAGGTACACACAAAGTTTCCACACTCCGGGCATAGATCATGATTTGGAAAACTTCAGAATGAGAATTATTATGTTGACAAAACAAAACAAAAAAAATGAAAATTAGTATTTCTTCAATTCAACTATTACTTTCTTCAAGACCTATGACTCTATTCTAGGAATGATTCAGGTGAGAACCGGAGGTCCCTCTTTAGTTCTTTCTTGCCTATTCAAATTCTTGATATTGTATGCCATTATGTAAATATTATTCCTCTTTTATTTTTCTTTGGTTTTTTTGGGGATTTGGGCTTGTTAGAAGAAAATGAAGTGATGATGTTGAAAGTCACATGAACAGCTCTTTTGTAACAACAATGTGTTAATGTTGGAGATCATGTGGTCTCATTACTATTTGTGGTGAGGCACAACCTAAGATTTGCAGGTTTTGTCCTCTTGATTAAAAACCACTAACAATGTTATTAGCTGTCCTTTGTTATTTGCTTAATGCCTTATTTGAAAAACTGCACAGACCCATCATTCTTTCTAAAACTAATCATAAAACACATTACGAAACTGGTATATTATAAATTAGTGATTTTGTTTATATAATCGAATACTTGCAAGCAAGTTGGAACAGCTGGAGGAACAAGAGACAAACTCAAATAATTTTATTAGTGTCGATTTCTTTGGCTTCGAGTGTGAGCGTGACGGTGCGAGTGTGACCAATTTAGTCGAAATTATGATCTTTTGTTTTCGACAATTATGGTTTTAAAAACGAGAAAACTACTCCCTTAATTTTCTTGTTTTAACTTGTAACTTGTAGTAAGTCAGATATTTTTCTAACATTGTCTTCACATAGAGATCTGTAATAGCCGTTGATGCTATTATACACTCTTTTAATTCAAAAAAAATTCAAAAAAAAATGGTTAGAAAAAAGTCGTAATCATATATTATTATGAGTTGTCCATCTCGATATGTTTCAATCAAATTAAATACTGTAAAACTTTCAAATAAACAATACTCTGTTTAATTACCCGTTAAACGTTTGCTTTCATCAGTTCCGTGTGGCTTAATTTAAGTATTAAACCTCTCGGTTAGTTGATTTTTTCGAAAAAAAATTAAAAGCATGACGTTACCAATGGGAGGGAAAATACAAAACTATCCTTATATAGTAGTCATTTTGAAATAAAAACTAAATGGTCCAAAACAGGAAAAGAAGGTCAAATATGGTAAACGGACACACGTCAATGAATAATCATAATTAAATGACTTTCCTTAATATATATATTTTCGAAATCTCACAGAGAGTTAAAAAAAATTCCAAAGCAAAAGGAAAAGCATCAATGGTGGAAGAAGCTTGCTTGTGAAAAAGCCAGCGACGACGAGTGTAACTGTGTACAAATAAGTAGAGAAACTTCGAGTGTGAAGAGAGAGAGAGACGTGTTCGTGTGTTTCTGCGTTTATTTGGCTTTCTTCGCCGCTTCCACAGAAGGAATCCCAACGGCGTGAATCCGACTTTCTCCAGATCTCATTTTCCTTTTCGCGTTTGATTCTCCAAATCTGCAGGCGAAATCGAGATTTCCAGATCTCGTCTTCGCTTGCACGAGGTTTATTAATCCAATCGAGAGATCTGATAGTGTCGGTGCTCAATTTCGCAATTCGAAACGATCCAATTGTGCTAAGATTGAATCCAAATTAGTCGGAAATGGAGAAAACGGAGAGCGAGAAGAAGTCGTCGGTATCTGACGTCGGCGCATGGGGTATGAACGTCGTCAGCTCCGTCGGAATCATCATGGCTAATAAACAGCTCATGTCATCCTCCGGTTTCGGATTCAGCTTCGGTAACGTCTCTCTCTCTCCATCTCATCTCTCCGATTGGATCGATCTCTCACTGCGAAAAAGCTTAACCTGACGAATCGATTACTGTTTATGTTCTTCTCTCGCAGCGACGACGCTAACGGGATTCCACTTCGCGCTCACCGCGCTTGTTGGTATGGTGTCAAACGCCACTGGACTATCGGCATCGAAGGATATCCCTCTCTGGGAGCTTCTCTGGTTCTCGATCGTCGCTAACGTCTCCATCGCCGCCATGAACTTCAGCCTCATGCTCAACTCCGTTGGCTTCTACCAGGTAACAAACACCCCCTGGATTTTCACATCTCTGTATTCGATTTTGAAATCGTTTGTCTTTGATTCATCTCCTCCGTCGTTTTCTAGATTTCGAAATTGAGCATGATTCCGGTGGTGTGCGTGATGGAATGGATTCTACATAGCAAGCATTACTCTAGAGAAGTGAAAGCAGCTGTGATGGTTGTGGTTATGGGCGTTGGAATCTGCACAGTGACTGATGTCAAGGTTAACGCCAAAGGCTTCATTTGTGCATGCACTGCCGTTTTCTCCACTTCTCTTCAGCAGATTGTAAGCATCAACGCCCATCATCATCTTGTTTATGTTAAGATATCATTACCCTTCATTCTTGAAAGTTGAAACACACAAGGCTCAAACTTTTTATCCCTTTGTTCTTGATTTAGGCTTCTTAGTACAGTACACAATTCTTTAGTGCTGGTATCTTGAATTTGTCAGATACTCTATGGTGTGTCAAGTGTTTATCTGATTCATATTCCTTTTTGTTTATGTAAACAGTCAATAGGATCTCTGCAGAAGAAGTACTCAGTAGGATCTTTCGAATTACTGAGCAAAACAGCACCAATCCAAGCACTTTCACTCCTCATCTTTGGCCCATTTGTAGACTATTTCTTGAGTGGCAAATTCATCACTACGTACAAGATGACTTACGGTGCCATCGTGAGTAACTCTCTCTTTTTCCCTTGTAAGATGACTCAACCTAACACAAAAATCCTTACTCTATCTCTCTCTCGCTTTGCAGTTTTGCATTCTTCTCTCCTGTGCATTAGCCGTTTTCTGTAACATAAGCCAATACCTCTGCATCGGAAGATTCTCCGCGACGTCTTTCCAAGTGCTAGGCCACATGAAAACAGTCTGCGTCCTCACGTTAGGATGGCTTCTGTTCGACTCCGAGATGACGTTCAAGAACATCGCCGGGATGGGCTTGGCCGTCGTCGGAATGGTGATCTACAGTTGGGCGATTGATCTAGAGAAACAGAGGAACTCGAAGTCGACGCCTCACGGGAAAAACAGTATGACGGAAGATGAGATTAAGCTACTCAAGGAAGGAATTGAGCATATCGATTTGAAAGACGTTGAGCTCGCTGAGACGACGACGACGACGACGACGACTAAAGGATAAAAGAGAAAAGTGTGTGGCTTTATCAATTTCAAAATTACACGTCCAAAAAAAAAACGTATAAAAAAGAAAGCTCCTCTTGTCACGTAATTCGATTCTTCTTCTTTCTTTCTTTGTGTGCCGTTTATAGTTTTAGAGCATTTTGGGCCTTTGGAGTATCTTGAATCCTTTGTAGTACAAGGCCCATCATTATTAAATGGACAATAGTACAAAAAATGTCAACTAAACCATGTGATTTTCATCATTTTGATATATATAAAGTTATAAAACAGATCTTTTGTGTTATCAGTATGATTTAAATTTACTGGCATGAAAATTCAAGCAGCGAACCAGTTTTCCAAATGTTTCATTTTCGTAGAAACGAGCATCATAACTCAGGACATGTGATGTGTGTTTTGAGAAAATTACAAGAAAGTACACGTGATGTGGTTTAAAGCTATAAATAGTAGGTGATTACAATAGTTTATGTGATTCACTGGAGCAGTTAATAATTCTTGTTAACAGTTTATGATTGGTTGATAATTTACTGGAGTGTAGTTAAAAAAACAATAAATAATTACTGTGGTTAGAAGAGGAAGAAAGGGAAAGAATGAGATGAGAGGAGGTCCCACTAATATGAAACCAGACCCCAAAAAAGATCCAAATCCTACAACTAGGTACCATACTATTACTAGGCCCTCTTTTTCCTCTGCTTTAATGTCTTTATTGGAACCCTCAAAACCTATAGACAATTCATAAAGATCAAAACAAAATTTTCGGGAAAAGAATCACCTTTTTTTTTTACATCCCCTCAGTTGCCAAAATATGACCAATAATATTAGAGATTAGTAAAAAATAATTATATTTTACTCCTCTTCTTCTGGTTTAAAATCTTTCTAAACTAAAGTTTTAATTTTTCAACTATCAAAGCCAAGAAAATCACAACAATCTTGTTGTTCTGATAAGAATATGCATTTATTAACTTGAATGGTCGCTTGACCTAGCAGTTACACTGATTTTGGACGTGTTTTTAGACCAAACCAAAAAGAAAACAATAAATTTGACTTTTACATGTTACTTAACCCTTATTAGTAAACGTCCTTCACGTGCTCAGGGAATCAACTTTTTAAAATGGTTTACAAATTACATGTCTATTTCACCCATATTAATAACCGACTTAAGTGCAAATGCATTCATAATAAAACCTTGAAATTTCGCAAAACATTTCCAAAAAACGAGTATGAAATAAATCTCTGAACCCATAAACATTTTGCTATTTTCTTCAAAGAGATTTAACTCTAACAGAGATTTTCTTTCCTTTTCTCTTTTCTTTTTTTCTATTTATTTCTTCTTGAACTTTTTGTGTGTGTGTGGCTTTTTTTTTGTTTTATCTTTCACTTTCTTTCTGGGTCAGTCACATTCCTGATTAAAAATAGAAATGCTTTTCTTTCGTAAGGATCATCTTTTCATGCCGATTGCAGCAGTGCAGATTTCCATTTTTACTCCTCCCTTCTAAAATTTTCCCCTCTTTTTTATCTCACCATTTTTCTTAATCTCTCCCACTCCAGTGAAATTTTTTTTTATCAACTTTGTCTTTCCCAAAATCTCTTTAATCTTTTTTTCCCCTTTTTCTTTTCCTTTAACTTTTCTTCTTCTTTCTCTGGGTTACTTCTGGATCGTATTAGTAAGCTGGAAGAGAAATTGTGAGAGAAACAATTGGAGAAAACCCAGATTATGAATTTATGATTACGTCTTTGACCTGAAACTCTTACTCAGAATAAACGCAGTGGTTTTCTGACGAACAGACACCTAAAATGGGCTCAGAGCAGCATAGATTTCCTCAGCAGGAACAGGTTTTTCTGCTAAATTCTTTTACTTTCTCACTGTTTCGTTCTAAATTCGCGCTCCTGTGGTTTTACTTCTCTCACTCTCAAGTCTAAGTTTTTCAGATTCTGAAAGTCTTATTTTTTTGGGTAAAGTTTGCGTTTTTTTTTTTTTGTTTCTTAGATCTGACTATTCGTCTCTGTTCACACTAGTCTACTTTTCACACTTGATTATGCAATGTTCCTTAGGGTTTATGTTGAAAGTCTCCAACTTTGATCACTCTGTTGTTGATAACCGTTACTGGAATCGCTTAATCATATAGTAATGTAATAATTGTTGATAGATATTAGGCAAATCCTGTATTTATGATGGTTGATACAACTAGATAACGATATGTCAATCCAAAATCAGTTGTGATTTCAAAAAAGTTAGACATTTTTACCTAGAAATCACCCAGTGAATTAGATAAAAATCGAAGCTTTTAGGGTTTTTGATCTAGATTCCATGCGTGTAAGCTTCAAAGTTTGAAGCTTTTTGTTCTGGAGAGTATACTTTAGATCCAAAACAGTTGATTCACCGTCAAAAACCTCATGGCAGTTATCTTCTTGCTTTCAAGATCTCTCTTTTACAAACTTCTCAGCTTACATTTGTTCTGTGTGTTCTTTGGCAGAGGAAAAGGTGGGGAGGATGTTTAGGAGTGTTCTCATGTTTCAAGTCTCAAAAAGGAGGAAAACGTATTGTGCCTGCGTCTCGGATCCCTGAAGGAGGCAATGTCTCAGCTTCACAACCTAATGGAGCTCATCATCATCAAGCTGGTGTCTTAACTAACCAAGCTAACGGAGGAGTCAATCCATCTCTTTTAGCTCCACCTTCCTCTCCTGCTTCCTTCACCAATTCAGCTCTTCCTTCAACCGCTCAATCACCAAACAACTACTTATCTCTCGCTGCAAACTCTCCTGGAGGTCCTTCATCGAGCATGTACGCCACTGGACCATACGCTCACGAAACACAACTCGTCTCTCCTCCTGTATTCTCCACATTCACCACTGAGCCATCAACTGCTCCTTTCACTCCTCCTCCAGAGCTTGCACATCTCACCACTCCTTCCTCACCTGATGTGCCTTACGCTCGCTTCTTGACTTCTTCCATGAACTCTGGCAAGAGCCATTTCCCAAACGATCTTCAATCCACATACTCTCTTTACCCCGGAAGTCCAGCGAGCACTCTTAGATCACCGATCTCTCGAGCTTCAGGAGACGGTTTACTCTCGCCTCAGAACGGTGGTTATGACACAAACGGAGCCTCCACGCCTCTGCAGGAGTCAAACTTCTTCTGTCCTGCAACGTTCGCCAAGTTTTACCTCGATCACGACCCTTCTGTTCCTCAAAACGGTGGAAGATTGAGTGTGTCCAAGGACTCAGATGGATATGGAGGAAATGGCAGCCAGAACAGACAGACGAGAGTTCCTAAGCAAGACATGGAGGAGTTAGAAGCTTACAGGGCTTCCTTTGGTTTCAGTGCAGATGAAATCATCACAACTAGTCAGTACGTAGAGATCACTGACGTGATGGATGATTCTTTACGCACAGCTGCGTCTGCTGCTTACTCGCCTAGCGATGGACAAAAGCTGCTTAGAAGAGAAGCGAATCTGCTGAGTCAAACAAGCTCCAAGTCAGAAACTGATGTTGATTCACAAGTTGTAGACTTTCATTCACCAAAAGGATCATCAAACGGCTACAAAGGTGAGTGTTTTCATTATTAATCTCAATCTCTTATCATGAGTTTGTTTCATTCTGTGCTAATTGTTTCTGTATGTTTGTGTGGCTCTTAGATCACAAACCAAGAAAACACAGGATCCACGCAGATGAAGAGGCACTGTTATCAAGAGTGGGGTCTGTGAAAGGAAACAGAAGCTATCCTGCTGGTTTCTCAAGCTCTGATGCAGAGATCGAATACAGAAGAGGAAGAAGCTTAAGAGAAGGCAGAGAGAACAGACACAGGATAGGCTGATTCAAGATTCAAGACAAGTACAAAAGCCAAGCTCTGTTCTGTTCTTAAAAGGTCTTCCTGAGTTCCAAAGTATGATCTCTGTGATGCTAACTCTTGAGATAATAATCTAGTTTTTTTTTTCTAAGTATATATAGATATATAAATATATGTTACAGATGGTTTTTAGTAGAATGATGTTATATATAAGCAAGCAATGGTTTTTTAGTTTGACATGGCTTTTTTTGTAAGACCAATCTTTTTTATCTAATTGCAGCTATCTATATTTGGGGTTTTTTAGTGTCCTCTTCTCTCTTTTATGCATTGTTTTGAATGGTTACTATTAACTATTAAGTATTATCTCACAAGGCATAGAAAAATTCTTGATTAGATAACTTAAAAAGCACTCAAGAATCAAGATTTATAAATTTCTGATGAGTTTCTTGATTTCTAGAATGTTGATGGACCGGGTCAATAACATTGGGCCGATTTAAATATTGGATTGTCGGCGTTGTTTACGTTGCGTTATTAGTTATTACTGATTAATCGATCCATTAAATTATGCAAACATTACCTTAAATGCTCTTGTCTGCGACCGTTTTTTAACCGTTAACCACTAATTAAGAAAAACACAAACCTGTTAACCGTAACCATTGGCGGTTGTTCCTATGTGCATAGTGTAAACGAGTGCCTCGGTTTGCGAGAAATTAATTTATTGTCTCAAACCAATCATATCCATACAAGTAGTCAACCAAATGTTTACCTTTCTATATATTTTTTGGCTTTCTTTAATAAGACGAAAGAAGTGAAGCTTCCAAGCGCCCACCGATATCAATCTCGTGTTGCTTGCAAGTGTCAAAAACAAGTGGCTCGTCTCATTATTATTTATATATTTCAAAAAATATCACTTTTCCTTGGCCTAATCCAATTAAAGAGGAAGAAAAAGCGTGTTTTAACCAAGAACTTGAGACCTAACCAAATATAAACATGAAAATATCAAAACACTTATCTCCCACGTCTCATACACACTTGATCATCTTTATATATATATATTTATAAGTCTCCATTCCTTTACCACAACTTGACCACACTCCTATATATAAACACACAAACCTTTATATTTCTCATTCACTTTTCCATTTCAAACACAAAACAACAACAAGACAAAAACTACAATCTTTTCTCATGAAGAATAGTACTCAACCTCAATCATCATTCAAGAAACTATGCAGGAAACTCTCACCGGAGAGGAAAGATTCATCATCACAGAGACAACATGATAACAATGGTGAGGACAAGAACAGAGACTTAGAGGCTGTTTTTGCTTACATGGACGCAAACAGAGACGGTAGAATCTCTCCTGTTGAGCTTAAAAAGAGTTTTGAGACGTTGGGAGAGCAACTCTCTGATGAAGAAGCCGAAGCTGCGGTTAGATTGTCTGATACGGACGGAGATGGGATGTTGGATTTTCAAGAATTTTCTCAGCTGATCAAAGGAGATGAGAAGTTTACAGAGGAAGAGAAGAAGGTGGAGCTCAAGGAAGCGTTTAGAATGTATATAGATGAAGGTGAAGAGTGTATAACCCCGAGAAGCTTGAAGATGATGCTGAAGAAGCTTGGTGAGTCAAGAACCACTGATGATTGCAAAGTTATGATTCAAGCTTTTGATCTCAATGCTGATGGAGTTTTAAGCTTTGATGAGTTTGCGCTTATGATGCGCTAAGAGTTTATCTTTCTTGTAGCTTCTCCTTTATTTCTTGTTTCTTTTATTTTGATTGGTGTATATAATATGATTAATAGCTTGTGAGGCAATAAACACGATTTTAATTTTACTAATGTTTTTAAAACTTAGTTATCTTATTCAAAAAGAGAGATTATGTAATAATAAGAGATGATTCAACATGGAGAGTCTATTGAGGTTTTTGACCATGTCATGTTCTTTCTTGAAGCACACATTTCAAGACAAAAATCTGTGCATGTGGAATCAAAATAATATGAAAACTAGATTCAAAATGAGGTTTTTAGTCATATCTTCACATAACGGTAATGATTGAGGATTCTTAATCCTGATTACTAAAATTTTAATAAGAAGAAAAAGCGTGTTTTAAACATGAGGATGTGACATATAAGGCTGTATAAATTTTCTTTTACTAGATGAGATCTCAAAGACTAATAATACCATTTCTTCTAGATCTCATCAAGACTAATAATATTTGTTTTCTTCTAGATCTAATGACTAATCCTGAATCTCCCACGTTTGATACGTTTTCAATTTCCTTTTTTTTAACAAGTCCCATTTCTATTCTTGAAACTTGAATCATCCTATATATACACAGAAACCTTTTAGACATTTTTCTCATTCAATTCCTAAATCAAAACAAAAGAAGAAAACTTGTAGCAAACCCTCTAAATTTCTTTGCCCTAGCTCAAAATGAAGACTACTCAACGTCAGTTATCTTCATCTTTCATGAAACTCTGCGAGCGACTGTCTTCAGACAAGAACAGAGACTTAGAGGCTGTCTTTGCATACATGGATGCAAACAGAGACGGCAGAATCTCTGCTGAGGAGCTTAAGAAGAGTTTCACGAAGAGAGCAACTGTCTGACGAAGAAGCCGAAGCTGCGGTTAAACTGTCTGATACAGACGGAGATGGGATGTTGGATTTTGAGGAGTTTGCTCAGTTGATCAAAGGGAACGATGAATTCACAGAGGAAGAGAAGAAGAGCAAGATCATGGAAGCTTTTAGGATGTATATCGCTGAAGGAGAAGATTGCATTACACCGAGAAGCTTGAAGATGATGCTAATGAAGCTTGGTGTGTCGAGAACGACTGATGATTGTGTAGTCATGATCAATGCTTTTGATCTCAACTCTGATGGAGTTTTAAGCTTTGATGAGTTTGTGCTCATGATGCTTTAAAGAATCAATCAGTAGCCCCTCCAATGCCTTCATTGTTGTTGTGGCTTTGTTACTTCGTCTTTACTTATTTACATATATGTTTGATTGCTGTGTTAATATGGCTTTGCCAAGCAATAAACATGTATGTTATCTGTAAACTCTCATATGCAAATAAAGAAAGAGACATGCTTATAGATCTCATATATCAATAAAAAAACTACACGTCAAAGGAAAGAAACAGAACACGAACTGCTCTGTTTTCCTCTGTTCTCAGCTAATGGTTATGGGATGTTGAACAAGCTTAGGCAAGACGTTCCAATACCTTAAACAAGAAGGGTTAGTGTGAATAGCTCTAAGCACCCATTTCTCAGGGGATTGACAGGTTTCAATCCCTGAAGAGGTTTCAGGTCTGTCTTCTGATTGTCTTGCAAGTACATGCATCTGGAAGTAAACCTCTGCAGGTCTCATCTCTGTCCAAAGATTAAGAAACATTTTCAGTTTGTGCACAAAGTAAGGTGAAAGAAAGAAGAAATAGATAGAAGAGAGTGACACAGTAGTACCTGGTGGCCAGCAGAACCAGTCAAGACGAAGATTCTTCTCCCATTTCTCTTTAGAGCCAAGACTGCCATGTGCTTGAGCTAATAACGCATACACTATAGGCAGAGGAAACAAGGAATTCGCTTGAACTTTGCCAAGACTCTGTACGGCTCGAGAGAGGAACTGCGAGTCGTTATACTGCCTAGCTAGCTCCATACAGACAGCACCATGGCAGAGAAGTAGAGAGCTCTCTGAATTACCCAACGAACTAGCTTGTGCAAGGAACTCCTCTGCTGAGAGATAGTCTTCTTTCCCGATAGAAACTAAACCAAGAGCTGAACTGTGTACAGCCATCCACTCTTTCCATGAATTCTTCTTCTGGCTCGAGCATTCTTGTAGGCTCATCTCTAAGAGGTTAGCATCAGCTTCCAGATCAAACTGAGATTCTAAGAGCTTCAGGCAAATCCAACCAATATTTGAGTCAGTCTTGAGCTCCAAACACGCTCTGTATTCTTCTTGCATGTTTCTGGTGCTCCCTTTCGCTGCGTAGGCACGGGAAAGCTGCAAATGTGCTAGAAAGAGGTAGCTATGTGGAAGCGAAAGAGAAGAAGCCTTTTGAGCGTGCTCAATGGAGTCTGCTATATTTCCCTTCTGCAAACTGATCTCAGAAGCACAAAGCAAAAGCTGGAACTTTTGGTATTCGCCTTCCTTCGAACATGTCTCATCAGCGAGTGCCACAGAGATTAGACGCTCAATAGCACTACAAAGCTGGCGAGGAAACCTCTGCTCACGGGCCTTCTGCATGAGATTCAGGATAAGCAAGTATCTTACACCGCTGTTCCAAGGTTCTTGATGCAAGAATCTGCGCATTGGAATACAATTTAGTACTTTAAGAGATTCAAATCCTGAAAATGCTAGGACGATGTAGAAAGATTCTCAAATACCTTTGCAGCTCCACAACAACAACAGGAGCATTCAGACACTGACAATGGCAAGTCGGAAATGAGAACCTTGGAGCCGTGTTGCCAATAACATTGCAAGTAACAGATCCTCCACCAAGGACCTCTAGTGCAGACTTCAGACCTTCCTTATTTGCACACTGAGAGACATTTATGATACAGCATCTACTAGCAGTATAGGCGTCTTTCGTTCCTTCACCAGCTAACAAAATATATCCAAGCAAGTTCCTAGTTCCAACAAATTATACATCCGAGTTATGATCACAATAACAACATATCATTACACAATTTAAACCTAGCGCGCTTGATCAAAACCCACCTTAACAAATTACTATGAGGATACATGTGAAGAGCTTTTCTGAGGTGGGCAATCCCCTTCTCAGATCCAAGGACATCTCCTTCTCCAGTTTTCAGCTGCAAATATTCAGAGTGGAGTCATTTTAATTCAGAGTTTTAAATCCAAAACAAAGGGGTTGACATAATAACTGAGATCAAAAGGCTCACCAGTTTGCTGAGTGCTATCAAATAGTGCATTGCGACTATGTCTTCTTGTGATGTTATATAGCTACGAGTGCTCGCAACAATGGACTGAAGTCTATCACTCTGATCAAGAGAATGGATGGCAGATACTATAAAGCTGATTTTCGAACTCTGGAAGAAATCTTTTGGCATTTTCTGGATGCTGGTGATGGCAGAATCTAGCCCAGATATACGGTAAAGCAGACTACAGATGAAGCTGATTGGGAAGGCTATTGAGGTTTTCTCCATTGTAGAAATCCTACCAGCCAGATCTCGAACCACTGAGAGAGCCGAATCATTCTCACCAATCTTCCACAGAGAGAAAGCATATATTTGCAAACCTCCGGCATCAAGCAAACCTTTTGACTTCAAATTTGCGCATTCCATGACAGATTCTTTGAATCGTCCTGCCTGAAAATATACTTCAAATGAGAACTAAACATACATTTCTATTGACTATTGAACTGAATTTGAACTCATCCCATAGGGTGGGGGTCTCACCTTGCTGAGTGACCTGACCAAGTTGATAGATATTTTTCCAGCATGAGATTTCACCGAATTTTCGGGGTAAACACTCATTGCAGCTAGTGTTAGCCGGTAAGAAGCAATGGCCGTGTCATAATTACATCTTGCCTCGCAGACTAGCCCATGGAGGTTATGGGATTCAGGGTAATCAGGGGTCCGCTGCACCGCCTGCTCAATGCAAGCAAAAATCTGCAACACAGTTTCATGAGGAGGGATTACTTTAAAGCTCCTTCCGATTTAAAACCCTTTCCAAATACCAGAGAATATCTATGTGTTCATACCTGCGGAGATGAAATATCTCCCTGCAGCAAAGCAAGCCATGCCAAACCAACCTGGTACTCCGCGAGCTGGACAAAAGAATATCATCACGCCTTAATTAAAGCCATCACGCTTACATGTAAGTAAACCACAGTTAAAGCAGAACTTACAGGTGATATCTGTGCAGCTCGTAAACAACTCTCAAAAGCCTCATCTGATATCGACTCCCTGAGGTTTTTCATTAGTCTACAGGGGCTAAATTTAGGTTGAAAAACATGAGAATTCTTTTGTCACATAAAAAGTATCTACCTAGCATAAGTATCAGCTGAGCCTGCCCAAGGTAGTGCAAGTGTAGGATCTATGCTTCTAGCACAATCAAAAGCCTGCTTTGCCAATTTCATTTCATCCGATTCCCTGAAGATCTGTTTAATGCAACCAAGATTACAACCAAAAAGAGGGAAACCGTAACTGAACTTATGAACATAGGTGAAACAACAATGCAAGCTACAAAGCCAGAAAGCCAGAATAACAAATGGTAAGGCACAATACCTGGCCCATAAAACCCCAAGCAACGGCTAAAGATACATCCAAATGCAATGCCCGGATCAACGCATGTAGTTTCAAAGCACTGTTATCCGACATACAACCCAAAGCAACCCAGAACTCGGAATTGTCACATTCCAGCAATAACGCGCCCAGCGCCATCTTTTCTGGTAACTTCCTGATATAGTTGTAGACTATCACAAGGGTGCGCATGAAAAAGTAAGAAAATGCCAAATAACACTCAGTATAATCTTACCAAGAACTTGCAGTTTCAGAGTCATCGCTCAAACTTGAAACGAGATCACAGGTTGTGGCTATGTCAGTATATAAATTGGCTTGCCAAGGGGCTAGATGTAAAGCTCTCTGGTAAGAAGCTTTGGCTGACAATGCAGCTGAGTAACAAATACTTCTCCAAGAAAGGATCGAGTCATTAAAGGTCTTTAAATTGATTTCTGAGTTTTCAGCTCCACCAGACCATGGAAAGCATCTTGCATATGTAAGCTGCTCAAAGAACCAAACATTAGATGCCTAGATAACAAAGGAGCTGAAACGTAAAATACAAGGCAGACCTCAGTACCTGAATATCTCCATGCAATTTCCATATACAAGACATGTTGCTGGCCAGCTCAGTGCTTGCTTTTGCAGCTTTACGAGCATCCTACAGTGGATTCGCATTAAATTTCCTCTTAGGTGTATACTCAAATATGAATAAAAGGAGAGCAAAATCAGATGAGGTTATTATTACTAACCTCTAATAAAGAAGCTGCCCATCCAAATGCGCCCAAATCAATGCATTCCTTTGACCAACTAAGCAATCCAGAAGCAAGGCCATAGAGCACAGAAACATTCTGAGGTGAAATCTTCAGCGCTTGCTCAAAGAGTTCCACACCCTATACAAATACTATATGAGACTTCCCGAGCCACACAAACAAACTTTCCAAAGAGGTCATTATAAGCAGACAAGGATAGAAAGACTGATTACCTTTCTATATGAACCAAGCATCAAAAAAATGTTTGCACTCTCCACTAATGCGAAAATCTTGGTCTCAACTAACTCAATGGCACGTCCATACGCCTATTGTATCATTGAGAATTAAGGTCACAACAGAATCAGCAACAAACCAAAAACCACTTCAAGAAGGAAGCAGCGTCTTTTACCTTGATAGCAGCAGTGAACATTCCAAGTCGCTGATAAGCCAGGCCCAGAGCCTGCAATCACACACACACACAAAACATATTCTTGTCAAATTCGTTATCATACTATAAACAGTGTAACGTAATGAAAATAAACTGAGGACGAAGAGAGGAAAGGGCAATTACTTCCCACAAGTCAGACATTGTAGGATAACCTCTAATTGCATGTTGAAGGCTCTGAACAGCTTCTGACCACTTCTTCTGATGAAGCTGTTATAGAAGCCACGGCCATGGATTAGCAAGCAAGATGATAAGAGACTACAATAACGGAGCAGGACACTGAACAAACCTGAATGTAGCCTAATCTACAAAACGCCCAGAAAGCCTTGGGAGATTTCTCAGAAGCGTCACGGCAAACCGCAATTTCCAGGATCTCTTTCCCTTGTCTGTCAAACAAATCGCAGAGAGCTTCTCCGGATTCAGAATCGTTAGGGTTTAGCAGCACTGCTCTCTGGTAACACTTGGCAGCTCGATTGAGATCGAGCGTCACGCGTAAGTAGTAATGCCCCAAATACTTGAACGCCGCCGCATTATTCGGGTTTAACTTCGCCGATAGCACAAAATGCTCCGCCGCTTTCTCGGAATCTCCACCGTTATCCCACAGATACAAACCCTGAATTCAAATTGAAGTTGGAATTTTTTATTTTCATGAGCAATTGATATGAAGAGAACGCATAGGAAAACGAATTCAACAATCGTCGGGAAACAGAATTACGAGTTCGAATTGCAGAGAAGGATCGTCTGGATTCGCCTCCACAGACTTCTCCAGTTGCTCCAGGTCCATCTTTCACCGTCTTCTTCCTTCGGAAATATTTTTAGTGGAGAAGATGGCGCAATCCACGAATTCGAAAGTTTCGAAAGTAGGAGAGATTGATTTCAATCTGAAGTGAAAAGAAGACTGATTTATCATGTGAATTGCTTCCTTCTTTGTTTACTCTCTCTGATCAACAAAAAAAGCCTAACTTTTCTTCTCACCGGAAAACACAATCGGCGTCACAAAGCAAGGTACAGAGGTTAGCAAATTGTGTGCAGAACCTTGTATTATTGTCAAAATCAAAATTAGGTCCCTCATTGTGTTTTTTTATCTATTAAACCCTGAAAATGGAAATTTTATCAGGCCCATAATCAATCTGACCAGATTATTTAAGCCCCAAGTATCTACGTTCCATTTTTATGACCCGGTTTGATCTATCGATTTCAAACCTAAGTTTTCGGTTTAATATGGTAAAATACGATTATGCAAAAAAAGAGCAAGTTTTATTTTCTTCAAACACCAGTTTTACAGTTTCTCATCACTTGAAAAAAATTTACTCTTGCTTTACACCAGTCTGAAAAACCAAAACTGAACTTTAAGACACTAATTGTCTAATTGTAATTTTAATTATTTAATCACATAAGGAGGCCAAAAAACAAAACTTTTATGGAGATATATGAACCATCAAGTCTTATTTTGTCCTCCGACCAATTCGCCGGCGATGACATACCGGAAACTCAAATTTTCCGGTAACCATTCAAAATTCTTACTCTTCTTCTCCTTTAAACATTTATCAGCAATCCTCCTCGCATCCTCTGGTAAACACTCGGCTGTTGTTTCCATGAGCTTGGACACATCCATTGACATGTCTTTAACATAATGCTGAAAGATCTTTGGCAACAAAATCTTTGTCCCTTTGTAAACACGTACATTACTTTTTAGAAACTCTTTTTTCGCTTGTCTTAGATCCCTGAAGATTCTATCCGCGGTGTAAACACGAACCTAAACAATAATAACTTGGTTTCAAATCAAGAAGTACACTAAAATCATTTAAAGAATTGCATTGGTTTGTGTCTTTATGATTGTTACCGTAGGATCTGTGAATGCTCCTGAAGAAATCGCGAAATGAGCTAAAGCCTCTGGATATTCCAAAGCGTAGATGTGTCTCACATTGCAAGTTTTCGACTTTCTTGAAGGTGAAAACAGCGTCTGGAGTAACTGAAAAATGTAAATTACACGTATGATTACTATGCGGTGAAAGTAAAAAGGTAAAAAAGTGAATAGCAAGAAATGAAATGGCATACAGGAGGTGGTGATGAGTAATGAGGTCTGATTCCTAAGATTGAGCTTTGGATTATGAAAGGGTTTATGCGATAGCCTCCAACATCGTAAGCTGCCTGAGTTTATATAATTTAAAAGAATTGCTTAGAAGACTAAAAACATTGAATAAATGTTGTTATATGTTTAAGAAGACTAAAACCTTCAAAACCGAAGTGTTTCTTGCGCGGTTATGAGTCCCATAAGCTAAGTATGCCTGAAATATTAAAAGATAACATTAACAAAGAAACATACAAGAAAGAAAAAAAAATGACAAAAAAAATTTAGAGCTTTGTTTATAGTTACTTACATGCATAACAAGAGCATTGTGAATGTTAATCCAAAACGCAAGCTTTTCTTCGCGTTTCATTCTAGTCGGATCAACTTTTTCAAGATTTTGAACCAATGATCTACAAAAACAATTTTTTCATGATGATACCAATAAATATTAATTATGTATGTAGTAGATTTTTAGGAATTTACCTGAAGTTTTGAAGCATAAGAGCAGCGTAACGAAAACTACCATCATCCAAGTGTACTCTAAGAGCCTCTATCACAACAACACCACAAGGCAAAACATTGCCTTGATCTTGACACTGATTCAGCAACTGGTACTCACCAGCGCAATGCTGGCTCCATTTATCATCGTAATTGGATTTGGATGAGAAAATGGTGGAGGAGTTTGACATTGTTGAAACCGGAGAAGCAGAGAAACAAGTGGAGTTTCTACTAGTTGAGCTTCTTGAAAGTGTACAATATACAGAAGATATGCATCTCATTATATCTTCAGAGAGTTTATTCGGGTTTATAAATGTTTGATCGTCAAGTAAATGAGATGATCCTAGAAGCTCTCCAAGACTGTGGTTACCAGATATTTCTCTAGTCCCTTCCTGAAAAAAAAATACAAAAAAATACAAAAATAAGTCAATTTTAATTATTTGTTAAAAACTTTGATTGAAGTTTAATTGTGTTTAAATTACCCTTGAAGATAAGGCTTTTAAGCTAGTGTTGAAACTCCGAGGATACGAGATTGGTTTTTGGTAAGCTTGATAGTGTTTTGGAAGAGTTAGTGATGATGGTGAAGTAGTCGCTGAACGAGGTAAAGTTGTTGGAGAGAGATTAGAGAAGGAAGAAATTTGCTGTTCGAAAGATTTTCTGTATAGAGATAACAAATATCTTTCCATGTGAAGAATCTCTAACTCGATTGAAGCAATCTCCTTCTTCAAATCTTCTGAAGACTGTAAAAAAGAAAACATTAGTAAGAGATATATCAAAACAAGAAAGTATTAAAAATCAAGAATGTGATTATTGCATTATACCAACCTTTGAAATCAGGCAGAGCTTGGAATTTTGGTGGGTTATTAAAGTCTTCTCAATTGGTAAAATCTGCCATTTGAGGGAAAATAAAATACAGAAGAGAAATGAGATTTCTTCATGAAAATTGCATAAAAACCATATAAAAAAGCAGAGATTTTTCAAATCCTTTAACAAAAAAAAAGGCAGAGATTTTCTTTTTGGTTTTGTTTACGGTAAAGCATTTTTAGAAACTTTTTGCTTTTTCTGGAAAGAACAAAGAAAGTTGAGATGATTTCGGAACAGTACAAGTTTGTTGTCGGAGGAGAAACTTGGAGGTGACACATCAACCACACTCTGCAAAACCATGTTCTCTCTGTTCCTACAAGCCAAAACGTGAAGAGAAATTTTCATAAGACTTAGATATTCGCAGATTCGTTATTTTCAGTGAAGAATATAATGCAGATACAAAATACAGTCTCTTTTTTGTTGTTAAAGAAAATACAATCTCTTACGCAATTGAAATCAATTACCTCGGAGAAGAAGAAGAGGATGAAGAAGAAGTGGAAGAGGAAGAAGAACAAGAAGAGAAAGATGAAGCACAATTCATAAGAGCCATCATTTTCTCGCACTTTGAAAGCTGCCTACAAGAATCTTAGTCGGAACGTCAAGATCATGTTTCTAGAGAAAGGCAAAGCTCCAGCCTTTTTGCTCTCTGTGACTTCAAGAGCTGAAAAGGGAATGCCTTTGTAACTTTCCGGGAAAATGAGCTAGAAAAATAAGAAGTGATGCCGACATTTTTTTCCCGGAAATTCAGGTTTTTACTCCACGCTCTTTCGTTGAGATCTGAATTATATTTATTGGTTTTATGTCCTTTGTTTTCATATTAATGGCATAGGTTTTTTTTCTTGCAGTGTGATTACATTTGTTGATAGTCCGTTTGCATGTCTAAAATCATTTATATAACTCATAAATTAGACCTACATAATATTAAAATGCAGTTAACAAATTTATTCGCTAAATATAAAAACGAATCATAAACGATGAGTGATGTATAATTAGTGGCATAAACCATACATAGTGGCATAACTTGTGTGACAGTAGATTCTGCAAATTAGTGTTTCCATAACAAGGAGTTTGAAGAAGAAGAAAAAGTTAGAACAATGCAGTTAATGACTTTGACCTAATAAACAAGTAAGTTAAGTGGGGACAAATTACTACATAATAGTTGACATGGGGTCATAAGAAACCATTAAATATGTTCCGATCACTTCTATACGAAATATCGACACTACTTTTATATCCCGAAATAAATATATAACTGTCGACCTGGACTTGGTTAAAAATAGTTCTTGTTTTTGTCAACAGGTGAGAAATGTGAATATTCGAAGCTCACGTACGAAAGAAAAAAAATAATGACAACCGAGCAGTGGCATATGATTTAAAGTTTTAAACTATATGCTGAATCTATTAAATTAAGAAAAATAAAAAAGGGAATTGAATAAGTAAAATTTGTAGAAGAATCTAACAAGAATATGACTAAAATGTGCATCCGTGCCATTGCATGTTAGTGGTCATAAATGCATAACTACGACAACTGTCCCCATAAATTATGATGCCACCCTGTCCAATTTATTTATTTTCATTTTATTTTATATATTTGTATCTATTAATTACTGCTATTAATACGGGTTAGAGACTTTATAACTTTAGAGTGAAAAATCATAAAGAAAAAAAACGAGCAAAGTCATATCGATGTCAATCTCTTTTAAGTTGGTTTCGTACTCGAAACGGTTGGAGTAGTAAATAACAAAATTTATATGGAGTTTAGAGAAGAAAACAATTCGCTAATCTGTACTGTATATGGCATTATTGTTTGTTTCACTTTCACATATACTTCTAATGAATTAGATTAGATATGCTAGGATGTTGACCAAAAAAAAAAAGATATGCTAGGATGTTCAAAAAAAAAAGATTAGATATGCTACATAACGCCTCAGAATTATAATCTCCAGTATCTCGAAACTTTAGTAACATTATGTATATGATAAGTTTATACCATATATTATTTTGCAATTTTCATAGGCAGATCGACTGGCTCCGAGTTGAAAAAACTCATGCGATGCAACATTAACACCTATAAAGTTCAATGTGTACTTCCTCTCACACGCAGTCATGTGCCAGTAAATATATCACACACACACAAAATTATATTTTGGGTAAGTGTGAGATTCTTCTATCTGTGATCCTTAAGCCATCTGAAGACAGATATAGATGAGATCCAAGAATGTGAATGTACAATATTGTTTTCTCTACGTACACATAAATAGATTGTATGCAATATTATTATAGCCAATCTGACTAAAGACAGTGATAGAAGCACGACTGAATACTTTTAATAATTGGATTTATGACATATTGTTTAAATATATTGAATAAAATGAATATAGAGGTGGACCGACTCTCATTTTCGAGTTAAATTATTTGGAACTTTCCTTAGCACCGACTTTTATGCTAACACAAATGAAGCAAAAAAGTTGAAAGGAAACTCAGGCACGTTGGGCGACCCATTGAGTTGGTTTATAACTTTATATCTACCCATTTATTAATATATCACAATTTTTTACTTTTATTTGTTTTAATCGTACTCATCATCACATAGCATTGTAAAATGTAAATACATACAGGTCTATAACAATTTATAACAACTTTGTTATTTTACCGCTCATGGTACTATTTTAAACCTGTGTTCTAAAAAACGCCGATGTTAGGGACTAATCGGTCAAAGATAACGGCAACGGTGAGCAATCGTGAGATTAACTAACATCGGCGATGTTTTTTGGTCAAACACACTTGAGCTTATGTCTACCAGTGATGTCGTTGTCGTCCGATGTCGTAAAGTCTGTCCGTGTGGTGCGTGACTGGTTAAGAGATTCTCAGAGAAGTATATCAATTACGAGAAGCATAGAGGATGATGACGGCGATGGAGATTGGTTGGACGTGAGCAGTGAATGGAAGATTGCCAGTGTAGTTTTTGGTAAAGACGACGTTGTTCACGGAGGAGGAATAGATCTGAGTTGGGTGGGAGGAGAAAGAGATCTAAGTAGGGTCAGAAATGCAATTTTGAGAAAATTGAGCTCCATTATTAGATAATTGTGAGAGAGAGCATATAATATTTCTAAAACTGCCCTCAATCTAGTCAATTCCAAAATTTTTACCCATATAATGTTTAACCTTCTAAGATTTCATCACATTTTGCCTAATTGATAATATTTTCTTGGAAAGAAAGCTTCCATTAATAATTTTAATAGATAATGTTTTAGTTATATATATGAAAATATTTAAAAATATATAAATAGTGTTAAAATTAATCCCCGATTTAATTACGATTTCTTAAAAATCTCTAATCCCAGCTTCACCGTCCGATTACCGATTAACGATTTTTTTAACACAGTTTTAAACACATTGATTAAATGTCAGCTTTGCACCCAAAAAAAAAAAAGATTAAATGTCAGCTTACAATAAATTGTTTCATTTATAATCAGTGATCGCAGAAAACCATTAATGATAGGGTTTTTTTTATTTTCTAAAATACCATTAATGATAGATGTACCTTTAAAATAGCTCTCTACTAATTTTTGTGTAAGTGTAAGTGAAAGCATAAACACCTTTTCACTACAATTTGGATGACAGATTTTCTAAATGACCACTTTTCACCATTTAAGTGATCTTTTGTAGTTTTGTTGGACAAATTATCTCACGAATCACATTATATGAACCGTTCCAATTCACTACCCACATGTATAGCTTTAAAACTTTTACCATCCACATATTTTGCATGATTGTTACAATCGACGTGACACGTGCTACCTAAAATTCAGTGATCGTTCCAGCAGGTTTATTTTAAAACAACATTAATTTACAAGTCAAATATTTAAATAATGTCTTCTGTTCAATTGTGCTTAAATAATCATTACTCTAATATATAATGCACGTATGGAAGCATAATGATTCTCTAACAAACGGAAAAGAGTTCACTGTAATCATTGTAACTAGTTTTTTTTACCTCTCTTAAATCACCCACCACCGACAAAGCCGTATACACAAAATGGGCCCAATTCTTCAACCGTAAACCTTAGATCATATTCTAATTTGGGCTTTTTATCAGCTAGCCTATCTTTCTCTCCCATTGTTTTGAATTCTATACAGTTGTGTAATGTACAAACGCAAATCATTTGTTTTCTTGTATAAGCCTATAAACGCAAGTTTACCAGATAAAAATGAATAAACGGAGATATAATCTCAAGAAATTTAAGTTTTATGTAACTCTATATCTAAATATACCTTTTCTCTTCTATTATTTTTAAAAATTGCTGATACATTATGCAAAGAGTATGGATGGATGATTATTTACTGATAATCTACATAACTAATAAGGCTAGGACACTATCCAGCTGGGGACACGTGGCACTCTCTTCTTTTTTTTTCCTCCCAACGCCAAAACGACGTCGTTTTGGTGCTTCTCCCACCTGCTTCCAAAACGACGTCGTTTTCGTTAAAAAAAAAAAAACTAAATAAAAATAAAACTTTCACACAATAAACCCGTCTTCTCGCCTTCGCCGTCTTCACCCAGCTTCCCTATTCGATTACCGGAGGATCACAAAATTTATGGTAACGTCGATATCTCTGCCGGAGAAGAAATCAGCAGCAAAAGGAGACAGGATTCGTCGTCGTCATCATTATTCCGTCTCAACGATTCCTTCAAGTTTCGCATAATGAGCAAATCTCCACTCTCCAATCTCCAATCTCACACACCACCGTCTCGCCATGGTTGACGGCCATCCGTTTCAGAATCTTCCCCACTCCGTCAATTTCGAGGACTTCATATTAGGTTCTTCTCAATAACGATATCTGGTTTTTCTTCTCTGCATTACGGTTTCAAACCCACCATACACCTGATTGTTGCCTAATTTTCTTTACTAGCCTCTTTCTCTTCGTCTCCGTCCACTTCCACTTCATATCTATTTCTCTCTCTCTCTCTCTGTCTCTCTCCCACTTCAGATTGCTCGCAAACACAAATTAAGAACCTTCGTGATATGTGGGTTTTCTTGGGAGCCTTTTACAAGTGTTAGAGAGTAATGGCTTTGATTTTTGCAGCGTGGTCGCAGCATTAGGATCTGGATTCGCATACTCTTTGGTGAGCCAAGGTTTTAAAGGAAAGCCTCTTAATGCAATCACTACTCCGCTGGTTTTGCTGATTTCCAATGAATATTTTTTTAAAGTGAGTGATCATATATTGGAAACTTTACTTATGAAATCATACATGAGCATCTGTTCTTTTACGTACTTGGATTGGATTGGATTGTTTCGTTTGTTTCTTCTTCGTTTCATGTTTATGTTTATTCCCAAATCTCTCTGTTCTTTGTTTCTTGCAAAAAAAACATAAAAATAAATGCGGATTTGCTGTTTTCTTTATGTTGATGGGTTTTAGCTAAATGGGACTTGGAAACAAACCAAAGGCAATTGCAAGGATGATATTAAGTTCGCTTGCTTGATTCATAGGTCTTAGGATTATGTACACAGTATAAATCAGTCAATCCACTCACACACAGAAATAATTAAGTGATTTTGCTTGCTTCAACTCCTTCAACCAAAAGGACTGAATGAAAAGCCTAAACCATTGGGGGAAGATAACGAGTTATGTAGACACTACGCAACCCAAGCTGCACCAAATGATTTATTTAGTGCAGTTTGTACTTTGAGAAACATATTTATATGCAAAAGAATAGATTCGTCGTTGCTTTCCCAAAGACCCTCCCTTCAAGCCTGGCTTGCTTAAACACTGCTTTCCCCTGAAACTATTTCTAAGACAAGTTAGCTTGCAATTAGGAAAATGAATAGATAATTGCAGTTATTTCTAAATACTTTGGGATCCTCTATGTATTGAGCTATATATATCAGTACAAGTCAAAAGCTATTTTTGGAGTGCGAATTGTTTATTCGTTTAGCTTCATTTGAGACACATACGTTATTAATCTCATAAACATAACGATGTTATCATAATGACGTTGTGTGTTTGTATTGTCATCGTATCTTGAATTTTGAGTTGAAACTTATAATTGGATTTGGTGGAGCAATGCAATGCATGCAAACTAAGCAAACTTTTAAAGGGCTCAATAACCACATGTTTGACTCAATAAATAAAACTCTATCAAAACCTCTTATTAAGATTGTACTTTCGTTACTTAATTGTTACATCTTATGCATTTCGACTTAGAGATATTATTTCTTATCAACAAGGGTAATGAACTTCTCACTTTTTTCTTCAAATCCAGATTGAATCGGACACCATTGGACACCATTCTTTATTTTAAAGATAGACAGAAATTTTCTTAAAAATCTATAGCTCTTCACAAAGGAAGCTTAAGCAAAGATTGTTATTGTTCTCAAGGTATTGTTTTCTAATGCATTTGTTTCTCATGTTGGATGGGTTTGAATAAAAAGATGCCTAACCATTTTTTTTATTTTCTCTGTTTCTTCAGTTTGTTTCTTTTGTTAATAGACACTTTAAAGACTCTCCATTTGAAGTTTATAATTTGTTTATGCAGCAAGTAATATCTTCCCACTGTTGGCAAGATCTCGAATATACAACCTAAATTATACAATTATTTTCCTTCCAACAGTCCGGTGCCAAGAATGGTTTTCAAAAACTTTGATTAGATATACAATGAACCTGGAGAAGCAAATGTGGTTGAGTTAACCTTTGTTTTTTTAACATCGGTAGAGTTAAGCTTATATGTACTGTAAAACCTTATTTGGCATGAACTATATTAATTTGTATAACAGAGAGTCACAACGATGTCCAAAATGTGAAAGAACAAAAACAAGTAAACAAAATACTATCGAAAATTTAAACCCGCGCGTAGAGCGGGTTCTCTCCTAGTTTAATAGTGACAAAGGATGACGGATATCTGAATGTTGGTCAAGCGAGTAATGACAAATGAAAATGCAAAATAGCTAGCCGTGTTGTTGGACCACTTCGTATATCCTTTATATGTCAGCATTCACAATTATTCCAATTCGCATTAATGACTTTGATGGTACCTCCTAATCCATTCTCTGCCTCTCAATCAAATTAATTAATTGCATTTGCATCCACTCCTAAACAGAATCTATGCAGTTCGAAAGATAATTATATTTCGAAGTCCAAATTAAACCCATGAAATTTACAGAAATTCAGATTTGTTTTTTTTTTGTTACTAAAGACGTTTATGGGTTGAAATTGTAGCAAGAGAACTCAAACCCTAGCATCACATGAAGAATCTTAAGAACAACTAAACCACCATGAAATGATTTCAAAAATCAATTCATATAATTTTGTTCCGATATCTTTTTTAGAATGATCTCAATAAGAAATCACGAGCAAATATATTCACAAGAAAATATAATAAAGAGGGAACCGTGGGGTTGAGAGTGCACGTGAAACCATGGTAAGAGGGAATGGTGGTGGAGCCGTGATGTGAATGAGTTAGGGTTAAAATTTAACCTCGTGTGCATCTCCATATCTTCTCATTATCTCTTTTTTTTAAGTCCCTCTTGTTTTCATTTATTATATGTATATATATAAAAAAAAAAAAAAAAGTCGTAAGATTTATACGTATAAAATAATCTATAATTGAGAAGAAGAAGAAAAATCCTGAGAGAACCAAAGGGGCAAAAACACATATCAATCAGAGCCTCGCAGCCTTTGCTGGATGTCACGATTTCTGCATGCATTTGTCATTGTCGGGAGTCGGGACGTGGGTTTTTGTTTATATATATAACCAATTCATATAATATTATTATTTGTAATCTAATAGTACAAGTATAGTAGTTTTTAGTTTTTTACACAAAAAAAAAAAATACATAGTATAATTTAGTAGTGTGTTAAAAAAGAGTAGCTAGTGTGTGTCTATCTACTGACTACTATTAACGATACCACGAGAACCGTGATGTATCCATAAATTCAGGCTGCATAGCGTTTACGTGCATATCAAATCAAGGGAGTTCCGTATTTTCATAAAATTTCTAATTTCCATTATAATGTTTTTTTTCAGATAACCGGAGATTTTTGAGCTAAGTGTCACACTAACTCTTGAAGATATAGAACTTAATTGTATTCGTATGACACTTAGCTTGTAATGGAACAAAAGAGTTAGTAGATGTAATTACTGAATATGAGTATCTCAGGAGCAAAATCCCTAATATTATGGAAAGTAGGAGGAGAAGAGGGAACGGTGCTGGTTCGGAACCGAAGTCAACACCGAAGCTAAGCCATATTCTTCTGTGGTTGTTGTTTGGTCGGACATTGCTTTCTGGTTTTTGCATTCATCAGCCTACGTCCGTCCGTGCTTCCCACGCGCCGGTGGCCCTAAGGCTTTCTCGGTGTTTTAAGAGATTACAAAAGCTAAACGGCAGGAGAGGAGTCAAAAGCAGAGGGACACACCAATCCAATTTCATCATCTCCCGACCAACAATTCATCATATCATACACATCAAGATTATTGCCTAATATTTCATTGATCGATAATGTATATGATAGATCATTACTATCAAATTAAGAATTAATGTCAAGGTGTTGTGTATTGGTGATCAATAATCTCATTATATCACAAATGATAAAATGGTAGAATATAATAACTATTCGATGCTGCATATTTGACTCGTTATATGTATTAAAATTGATTCTGCCATTTCATATAGTACAAGAGTCAATTACCTTATCATTAGTTAAATATAGAGTTTCACATAAAAATAACACATTTTCAATTACAAAAGCTACTATTAACACTTGTTTACTCACATGTCTACGAAGATTTTTAAACACTAGTATTTGTAACAACCAAATGTTTTTAAAATATACACAAAGTGAACATTAAACAACATCATATATAACATAACTAAAATAATTTATAATCAGAACTTTTTTCACGATCTTAAAAGAAAAATGCTAAGCTCCTGTCCATAGCTACCCCCTGAGTTTACCATATGAAACGATTCCGAGTCATTCGACCCGGTGACTCGCTCGAACTTCGCTCTCAAATACATCACGTCACCGTTTGGAATCACCCCTGCGCCAACGGAAACAGACTGCATCGTCCGGAGAAACCCGACGTCGTTTTCAGTCATCTCTCTCCTCACCGCAAACCCAACTTTCCGGCCGTTGCAATACATAGACCAAACAGGAACGTCAAAGATATTGGACCGACGGTTGCTTTTGCTCCGGAGAGCGATACGAAGAAAGCCCTCCTCCATCTCCCGAGCAAGAGCCGCCGTGGGGACGGCTAGCTCGAGGAGGAGGAGAGGAGAAGAGGATGGACGAGTGTCGTCTTGGAGGCAGAAGCTGACGTGTCCACGGCGGTGACCGAAGAAAGTTCCAGTTACGACGACACCGGTTTTCTCGGAGGAAGAGACAAGTACGGTTTCGTTTTGGTCGGAGGGAGGAGATTGGTAAGTGCAACAGTATGGGACTAAGCATTCGACGAGTGAACGGAGGGATCGTCGGAGACGAACTTCACGGGAACAGTCAACGTTCGTCGGAGAATCAACGATACGTAGATGGCTGCTTCTTTCTCTTCCTAAGTCTACCATAGTTCTCATTTTCTTTGTTTCTTTGTGATCGAGTAAAGTAAGAAGAGAATGAGAAGAAGGTTGATGAAATATATGTATAGGCGTGACTTGTGTGAGGCGTAAATGGAAAGTTTTTTTGTTTGTTTGTGTGGTTTTAATGTATTTTATATTTTGGTTATGAATTATTAAACTTATAAAGTTACAATGGACAGAATATATCAATTACATGCGTGTACTCTCATTCTTTCTGTTTTCGAGTAATTGATTGATTCTTGCTTAGTTTGTTCACCAAACGGCCGCAAACTAAGCTGAATTCAGTATCACGTTTTATGTAATTGAGAAATTAGACCAACATTGTGAAAATAATAAATGATGTTGATGACTTGATAAGGAGAAGGAGAAGGGAATAGGGGGAAGTGATGTAATTGGTTGGCGTAACAAGAAATGGGCTCTCACTTGACCCCATCGATGCGTTTGTGTTTTTCTTGAACTGTTTTTTTTTTTGTGTGTATTCAACATCAACACTTCTACAGTTCTGCTTCTTAAAATAAAAATATTATAAAATATTAGTATATATGGAAAAAATTGTTGGACTCCAACTTGATGCTGAATTATATTAGAAACATAGCTAATATACATTCGAGCTTTTCTTTTTGACATCATATGTGTCTTTCTCAATAGACTAATTTTATCGAATGTTTCTTGGGAGTAGATGTGTAGCCTTATATCCTCATAATCTTAGCGTTACTATATCAATTGGTTATTTTGATTTAATTAATGATGTAAATAAGAATTCTACAACCATTCCAACCGTCATTTTTTTGTTTATAAATCTTCAAAGCTTTGATTACTTGTAAGTTGTAACTAAGTCATATATGAGTTATATACTACTACTTCTGTTGGTCAACCTTTCTCCACAGCGATACAAGCGAATTCCCCAAACATATGTTATGCTTTTCTTATGTTGTTTCTTTTGGGCCCCAAACATATGTTATACAAGTTTTGTATCATATCTAAAACAAGTTTTACAGCAACGAATGTTCAAGAGTGGCATGCTTACAGCAACCTCTGGTCGGACAAGTTGACTCCCATTCTGAAATGAAACTACATGTAAAACACATCCAATCATCATCAAATCAAATCCAATCATCCATCCATAAAAACACACGTAGTCATTTTGGTCACAAAATAAATACTTGAACAACAAAGTACATTGATCATAGTACCATAATAACACACGCATTCCAAAATAACAAGGACGGATAAACCAAACGAAACACAAGCACATTTGTTCATCATCAGACAGTGACAGCAAGAACCTTGCCGAGCTTTAAAGTTGCAGGGATTGTAAGCACATGATCCAACCAATCAACTTCCCCCCAGATTTCACAGCTGTTGCGCCTCTCAAGCTTAATCTCCGCACACCAAATCTTCTTCTTGAAGGAACCGCCCCAAGGAAAAAACAGAAACGACTCCTCTTCCCACATAACCCCCATCTTTCCACCATACTCAGCCACTCTAACATTAGATTTACGAGTGAGCTTAGGAAGTCTCACCAAACCCACCACATCTCTCCACGTTCTTTCCTTAGAATCATACCAAACGAGCACTACCTCAACCTTCTCATCAGTCGAAGCAGCAGCAGAACAAGAGTACAAAACCTTGTCAATCTCGCAACAACCTCCTGGATACATATGCCAACGCAATCCTCGTCCGACAGCGTCCCATTTACCTAGCTTGGGATCGTAAGCAACCACCCCATCAATAGTCATCAAGTGGAACTTCCCTTCAATAGCTGCCGTCTGCTGAAAAACTACAACTTCCATCTCGCCACTGGGCAGATAATCCCAAACTTGAGCTTTTGCTTTTGTGTCCAACACCTGGAACGCGTTCTTCTCAGAATCACTGCGACCTGATACATATATCAATGACGCTTGCAGAAAGCAAACGGAGCGGAGCCAGCAAGCTTGGAGCCTCGCTCAACGTGTGAGACCGACAATCCAGTATCGAGACGCTCGAGTAGAACATCTTGGTCATGGAGAGGACATCGTATCCGCCAATGTTGTAGATACTTGAACCAACCGCCACAAGACCCGATAGGATCACACCAGGAGAATCCTCCGGAATTGGGACTTTAGCCAAAACGTACCCTCCTCTTTCTGTTTCGGTTTTATTAGGTTTCCGGCAGAGAGTGTACCAGATAGGACTTTGTGGGCCACATCTTTCCATGCACACGTAGAGACAACTCTCCGTGTGGCCCAAGAGTGATCGGGCCTTGTATAGCTCCGGCGAGGCAATGAGCGATCGAAAGCTCTTAGAGACGAGGGAGAGAGTCGGATAGTACAACCTCGAGACGCGTGCGATGCAGCTCAACAGCAAATCATGAGGAAGTGACGGGTTCAGGGTCGATTGCGGCATCGTCGGCGACGGCTTCCTCTTCTTCTCTCTCCGGGAAGGACATTGACGAGACGGCAATCAATTGAATTTTCGTAAAAAACACGTTAGGTTAAGAAACTGGTGACTGTTGAGAAGTGTTTTTTTGTTTTAATGTAAATTAAGCTACTACAATGGGCTGATGAAAAGCCCAGCCTTTTATGAAATGCAACGCAAGAGCCAAGAAATTTGTCAAAATAAGCTTACTTGGATTGAACAACAAATAGCCTAAAGTCAAATACGCGATTGTTTTCGAGTGTACAGTTCAGAACAACTGATTTACTACTAAGCTGACTAAAATAAAATGCAATGATTCAATCAGCGATTACAAAATTAACATATTGAAAACGTTTGGTTACCGAGACGCGGTTTGAAAACCCTCACGGCTCAGAGCCTTCTCTTTGTCAGCGTTTATCTCTCTTTGCTTTCTTATTTGATTGGGACATGTCACATGTAAACTCGATAGTTTTCAATTGTCATTAATACGTAATGCTTTCATTTTCATTTGTGTGGCTCTGTGGGTTACTTTACTTACTTGGTTGTGGGAAATTAAGTAATGTGTAGGTATCAAGTAAATAACGAAGAAAAATGAATGACCGTGACAAGATGATCGAAGTCTCTTCACGGACCAAGGTTCACATTTGTATAGGGTCACGTCGTCCCGATTATTTCAAGATTTTCTCTGATCATATTTTTTTATCGAATTATTTAGCTAATTAATCTAGCTACATTTTAAGTCTTGTACTTAAAGCGTGGTGTAAGTAGTTAAGACGAAAGGAATTTATTTAATCTTGTCGCCGCGAGATACAATACAACCTGTCATTGTCGGAGACTTGCCGGTCATACCGGAGGCCTCGCCAGAATATTTCGTTTTTTTTAAAACTTTATTTATCAAATTGAATGAATGGAATCTTAGGGTTCACACAAATTTCCATTTTTTCCCCATATAATAATAAAAAAAAAGCATAAGCTATTTGATAGCAACACGAGACTTTTCAATAGCCCTAGTTTGGCTATGTTAAGACTTAAGAGATTGTAACGACACAATATATACCATTTTAACTAGTACACTACAAGAAAAAACAAGTATTGCTACCATTTTTTTGGTCACAATATCATAATATTTCGTCACAAAAACATTATTGTGACCAAATTGATACGAATTACAAAACGTAGCAATGAATTCGTCACAACTCATTTTTAGTCTCAAAAACGTCACAAATGTTTGTTACGATTGACAATGGTAACAATTCGTCATAAATTGTGACACAATTTAACAGTTACAGAAATGACACAATTGGTGACAAATTTTGTCACAAACAAGCCACAAATTCTGACAAAAAAAAGGTAGCATGCTGGCCACGAATTATTACCATATTTTAGTCAATAAAGTGTAACAAAAATGAGACCAGGAAAATGTTACAAATATGTCACAATTAGTGACTAAATTATAGTCATAGAATAGTCACTATTTGTTTTTAATTGTTACCCTTTTTCTTACTAGATGTGTAACAAATTGTGACGAACTATTACTTAATTGTCACCAATAAATATTCATCATTTTTAATTATAAAACAAAAGATAAAAGTTAAAATTATAAAAAAAACAATAATAAAATAGAAAATACTTAATTACTTAAAAATACAAAATATTTCAAAACAAAGAAAACTTACGAAAACAAATCCTAATAACATAACTTAAAAGAAATCCTAATATCATAACTTAAAAGGAAATCCTATTATCATAACATAACAAAACAAAGAAACACAAACTTAAACACAATCCTAAGCGAGCCTTATGGAAACGTGAATGGTTTTGATGATGGAATTGGAATTAGGCATTTTGTCTTTCCAAACTCTCAAGTTTCTTCTCCAAAGCTTCAAGTCTCCTCTGAATTTGCAGATTCTCTTCACGGCTTTCTTTCAGCTCTGTTTCCATCTCTTGCATCCTTTGTGGACACATCTCTGGTTCTTCAAGTTGTGGTGCACTCGAAGAAGCTTCGCCAGCTAGTAAAACCTCACTACGTAGTGCTCCAAGTCCAAAGATGCCTTGGTTAGATACACCAGTAGCAGCCTGAAGAAAAAAACCACAAATATATCGAAGTCAATCAACTAGCTACACAAGTCCAAAGTCTCTTTCACTACCATGACAATAAAAACGACCAAACAAGCAACAGATTTCTAAAATGCAGCATAAGCAAATGAAGAATACTCAAAGAAATACAGAAATACTTTCAGCTAATGAAATGTAATTAACGAGTAAATGAAAAGCAATCATTGGGTTTTGCATAAGAGTAATGAAGCCATAGATTGTTGGCTTCGACAGATTCATAAAATCCAACTGAGATTTCAATTAAGGATCAGTTTCAAAGCTTTACCTTGACATAAATTTCATTTTTTTCACGTAGGCCCAGATTTTCAGCGGTCCACTGTTCCCCAGCAATTTCGAGCTGTCCCAAGTGTTCTTCTAGATGCTTCTCGTAAGCTTCTGCAACTAAACGTGCTCTTTGATCAGAGTACGTTCCATCTGCCTTCTGGTGTGTTTTCTTCATCACGGCAAAGAAACAGAAGTCCTCATTGTTTGCTTCCTGCAAACGAAACAGTAAAACAGAGTGAAATAATAAAAGCAATCACGATTAAAAACAATAAAGAAACCAATATTTATTTAAGCATTACCAAAACATCTTGAACTTTAGCAAAAGAACGAGATCCTGCTACGTGGGAATATGGACCTATACCACCGCGATCAGACATTCGTGAAGCTCGAGCTTTCGCACTCTTTTCTATCGCTTTAGCTGTTGCCCAATGAGCTTCCATAATGGCCCAAACATCAGACATGATCCAATCTGGTTTTTCCCCTGTTTTCTGAGCGTCCTTCTTTGCAGCGCTTATCATTCCTTTGAGGCGATAAGCAGCAAGCTTATCAAACTCTCCTTTAACTTGATGGTTGATAGCTGGATTCCAGTTGAACTTTTTCTGAAAACAAGGACAATATTTACTAGATTAAAAGCATAACTTATGACAAACTCAGAGTTGATATTAAGCAAAACGACGAGTACCTTGAAAAGAGAAAACCAAGTTCCTTTGTAGAAAGGAGGAACTTTTTTCCAAGAGTAATATGGGCCTTTGAAACAGCTCTGAATGACCTTTCTGACAGCGGTGGATACTTGAGTGTCGTGGTTGAACCTATTACATTGTAATAGATTAGTTGATGTGTTATAAATCTAAGAACAAATTCAATGGTTTTTAGAAAGAGATTACGTACCATTTGGCTCCATTTTCCCGAGAAGGATGCAGCATAGGTAAAACTGAACGATCCACAACTGCCTCTTCCATCTCTTCACAATACACACAAGAAAAGTCATAAGTTATCAATCTCCAAATCTGTCAAATGAAAACTTACAATTCTTACAAAAGCTAATGATTTTGTAATCTGTAGTCCTAGGTTCTCAGCCAAATATTAAAGTAACAAACCACCAATCAAAGACTCCGAGTAGTGAAAAAAAGAAAGCTTTGACCACAGACAATTGCGGATAGAAACTTTAATGAAGAAGACAAAACGAAATCCAGGAGTAAACACCAATCAATGATCAATAGGAAGGTGATCACAATGCAAACTGGAAAACCTCTAAATTAACGTAGAGATCAGTTTTAAGAATCCAGGAGTTGTAAAAATTACCTTCAGTTAGATCTCTGAACTGGAATACAAACTAGTTTCTGATATTTTGCGATGCACTAATAAAAAGGAAGTGATGGAACGGTTATATATATGAGGCGGCCTGAGATGGTTAATAAGTTTCACACGTTTTTGTGTCTCTCAATTAGTGGGGGAAATTTTCCCAAAATTTTGGCGGTCAAATGAAAATTTAACCGGACTCTGATTTTAGCATCGTGGTCAATTTCAATCCTAAGCCTAAAGTTATTACGAGGAAACAATCTACAAATCCAACAATTCTTTTCAATTAATGGTTAGTATACTACAATATGTTTAGATATGATTACTCAATTTCAAGATCCACAAAACCAGCTGAAATGTTAGAACATAGAAACTCAGAGATTCCAGAAACTATTAGTATCTCACCCAAAATCAATTTCAGACACATTCTCTAGAATCCTAAACAAGAAAAAGCTTCATTCATATCAGCCAAAGATGCAGAAGCTAATTTGAGCTACTATCTAAAATGTAGAAACCTTGGCGTCAATCCATTCTGTGTTACCAAAAAACAGTCGGGAAATTCAAATAAGATTCTCAATAATTGAAGTCAACCAGAAAAAGTCAATATAATTCCAGAAAAATCACAACTTTGAGAACAATTCCAAAACCCAGAAATGAAAGATCTTATTAGAAGTTAAGAAATCAAATACCTGGAGAAAAATCTTCCATGAATATCCACAAGAGCCAGAGATACCATTGTCGTCACCGCGTGAATCATGTACACTCTTGAACTGGTCGATATGGAGCTTCTTATTGATAAACCCAACCTTGAAGTAGATGGATTCGGTGGGAGGGAGATGGACTTTGATCTCACCGAATCAAAAAATAAAAAAAAGAGATGGACTTTGATCTCATCGAACCAAATAAAGGAGGGTGAGAGAGAAGAAGATTGAGATAAAGAAACGATTGAGTGTCATGTTTTAATTGTTATTCCCTATATTTTATGGTTTACAATCACACACGCTGAGAGGTAATACTTAATATACGTGTCATCCACTAGAACAAAACAAAATAACAACCGAAGTTTATTTGAATTTTTTTTTTATTAACAACCTTTAAACAGAAAACTTTGCATAAATCAAATTAGATTTCAATTTGATTCTTTATATAATGGACAATAAAATTTAAATATTTTCATTATGCTATCTTTAAGTTCTTTTTCAGAGTCAATTTCTTCTCCATCTTGGCAAGAAAATATTTTTTTGTTTAGATCAAAGTCATGTTGAACTTTTTTAACTTTTTCTGTTTGTTGTACAAATCCATCTCCAGGGTGAAACTCTCCTCCATCTTCCTAATAAAATGTCTTGTTTAGATCAAATTGATGTTGAACTTTTTTGTTTTCCCCCATTTCTTGGACAACATCTTCACTTTCTGCCTTTGGAACCTTTTCTAACTCGATTGGCTCTGGTTTCATTTTTTTCCTAAAACATGAAAGAACTAAAAATTACGGATCAGATAAAAAACTGTTTATATCACTTATAATTCAAACAACAAAAAATATAATTTATTATAAAACATTTAAAAATGAAAATTTTTATTAACATTTCCTAAAATAAAATAAATATAGAACACAATTTTTCTAGCTATAAAAATGACTGAAAATGAGTACAAATGTTTCTTGACAAACAATAAAATACTATAATCAACAATAACGAAATCTATAAACTATCTAGTTACCTAATCTCTACAACATATACATTCCACAACCTAAAATCTAACAACTTAATCTAACATATACATATATTTGAAACATGAAATAAATAAAAACTTACATATTTTCACAATTTTAAGAGAGAAGATAGAGGAGTATGAAAATAATTTTAAGAGATAAACTTGAGAACAAACTGGTACAACAAAAATTTCAAGCAAAGGAGCTTTTTATATATACAAGATACGTTCCTATTTCCTACAATCTTGGAAGAATGATTCAAGATGGATTTGTTCAACAAAGACTTAAAACTAGATTGGCCATACCTTAGAAGCATTCAAGCTCACCCGCAGTTTCAGGTCTTGTAATAATTTAAAAATGAAATCGTACTATGACATAACCTAGCAAAATCCATCGCTTGCCACCTTCATTTATTAATCATATTTTCGTTGACAATTATTTTGTCATTGTGATTGCCATAATATAACACGATTTGTTTAAAAATGAAATCGTACTATATAATACGATTTATCCGAGCAGTATAATAGAGCAGCTAGGCTCCGTCTCCAGTCGCATACTCGCATACTTTTTTTATCTTGGCAGTCTCTTATGGCTTGGGTAAAAAGTAGCTCTCTTACTTCAACGTCTACCCTCCGGAAGCTTGCGACTCAAGCTTTAATATATGACTCAATAACTCTCACTCAAGCAGGTCCGTTCCTTGCTCGAAGGTCATGAAATACAGCAATTCATCGACGGATCCAGTGCAATCCCAACTCCGACGACTCTGGTCGATGCTGTTTCGTATCCTAATCCGGCGTATGCCCCATGCCGTTTCTTCATCTCTTACTTTTTGTACATCCTTCTCTCTGTATTTAACAGAGCCCTTAGAACTCAATAATACTCACACAATCATTTTACGATAACATAGAAGATAATTCAATGAATTTATGTCGTCTTGGATTAGTTAACATTTCTTTGTAATCGCTTGGCACCAAACTTATGCTCCCAAGTTTTTATATTTCCTTTTGCCGTTGTAGCAGCTCTGGGTTGGACTAAAACTCTATTTTTATTTAAATGATATTTATATGTTAGCAAAAAAAAGGTCCCATATATAATATAAACGTCCCATAACAAAAGAGTCGGCTAAGTTAATCAACTTAATCTTTACCCACTAGGCCCAAGCCAATATATAATTATAAACGTCTGAAAATTTTGCTGCCCTAACCAAAAAAAAAAGAATCTGCCGTAAGGAATCCGAACTAGCCTGAGTCGTCGGAGCTGCATTATCTTCTGGGTAAGTGTATGCTTTGCTTCATCTAGAAGATCATGCAAGCAGAAAAGTCTCTTTGCTTATTTAATAAACACTTCTGCGAAGCAACTTGTTTGAATTTGCTAATTTTGAATCTTCTCTCCTCAAATATATTTTCAGGTTATTTCAATGGCTACAAGTAGCATTGATTATGCTACAAGACGTTGGATGTATGAAAGGATTGATCATACAACCAATAAAGTTTCGGAAACTTTTTGTCAAGGGCTGCAAAATTTCATGGATTTTGCAAAAAGTCAACCTCTATTTCTGGAAAACAAGAAGTTGTTTTGTCCATGTGTTAAATGTGAGAATGGAGGTAGATTATTGGAAGAAGAAGTCGTAACAGCACATTTATATAATAAAGGTTTCATGCAGAACTATTGGGTCTGGACATCTCATGGAGAAGATTATAATATGTTCGACAATAATTCTGAAGAAGATGCGTTCACCACAGAGCCAACAAATCCTTATGTGGCAATGGTTTCAGATGCATTTGGCAATACAGAGGCAGAGGCAGGATTTGATCAGATGAACGAAGAAGAGCCTAACCCCGAAGCAAAAAAGTTTTATGATATTCTGGATGCTGCAGAACAACCAATCTATGAAGGATGTAAAGAAGGTCTTTCGAAACTCTCCTTAGCAGCTCGGCTTATGAGTTTGAAGACAGATTTTAATTTGTCTCAAAAGTGTATGGACTCCATTGCTAAGATGATGCAAGATTATTTGCCAGAAGGTAACAACTCACCAATCATACTATGAGATCAAGAAGCTTATGCGGTCTTTGGGCTTACCTTATCACAAGATTGACGTTTGTCAGGATAATTGTATGATATTTTGGAAGGATACTGAAAAAGAAGAAAGTTGTTTGTTCTGTGCAAGAAAGACAGATTTCGTCCTACTCAAAAGATTGGGCAGAAAAAAATTGCATACCGCCAAATGTTTTATTTGCCGGTAGCTGATAGACTGAAGAGATTATATCGGTCTGGTAACACTGCAAAACATATGAGATGGCATGCAACACATATTGCAAGTGATGGAGAAATGTGTCATCCATCAGATGGAGAAGCATGGAAGCATTTTAACAAGGTATTCCCTGATTTTGCATCTAATCCAAAAAATGTTTACCTTGGGTTATGTACAGACGGTTTTAATCCGTTTGGTATGTCAGGGCACAATTATTCATTATGGCCTGTTATCTTAACTCCGTATAATCTGCCACCTGAGATGTGTATGAAACAAGAATTTATGTTTCTAACCATTCTAGTACCTGGTCCAAAGCATCCAAAGAGAAGTCTAGATATATTTCTTCAACCGTTGATAGAAGAGCTGAAAGATTTGTGGTTTAGTGGTGTTGAAGCATATGATATTTCTACTAAGCAGAACTTTTTGTTACGAGCAGTACTCATGTGGACAATAAGCGATTTTCCCGCTTATGCTATGCTTTCAGGCTGGACAACTCATGGTCGATTGGCTTGTCCATATTGTTTGGATAAGACTGATGCATTTCAGTTAAAGAATGGAAGAAAAACAAGTTGGTTTGATTGTCATCGGTGTTTTCTACCTGAAGATCATGGAGATAGACAGAATGTGGTCAGTTTCAGAAAAGGAAGGGTTGTGAAGGATAGTGCACCTCCGATACTAACAGGCGAGGAATTCTTGAATAAAGTCTGTGGCTTTCCCAAAACAGTTGCTTTCCGGGGGAAATCATGGAAAAAAAGTTCAAGGATATGGCAAACCCATAACTGGCATAAACAAAGCATCTTTTGGGAGCTGCCTTATTGGAAGGTTCATCTACTTCGACATAATCTTGATGTGATGCATATCGAAAAAAACTTTTTCGATAATATCATCAATACTTTACTGGATGTGAAGGGGAGAACGAAAGATAAATCAAATCACGACTCGATTTGCAAGAGCATTGCAATCGCAAAGACTTGCTCATAAGGAGTGATGGAAAGGCACCAGTCCCAATTTTCAGATTACAAGGAGATGCCAAGAAAGTTTTTCTGGGTTGGCTTGAAAGGATGTTAAATTTCCAGATGGATATTCATCAAGTTTATCTAACTGTGTTGATCTGGGGGGAGGAAAGTTAACCGGAATGAAAAGTCATGACTGCCATGTTGTAATGCAACGACTCCTTCCAATTGCCTTTGCCGAGCTGTTAGATGAATCTGTGCATAGTGTGCTATCAAGTAAGTTCTAAACTTTCATTTAATTTATATTATTTCTCTGCCTTTTTATTGCTTTTATGTGAAATGTTGATGTGAGTTTGTTTATTGGTTCTGTTATATGCATAGTATGCTTTCTTGTTTTGCATTTTTGGTGATTATTAGCAAACTCTTCCTCGTCATTAAGAACGTCTCATAATTTACGGAGTTCAACTTGGAACTGGGATCTGTTAAATTCTGTGTAAAGCTTACTTAAATATCTTCGCATTGGTACCAAAATCGTCTTCTGAATCATTATGAGTCGACGGGAATCTGTCCTGAAAGATGGCTGTTCACTGAGCAACATATGATTTGTCAAAAAGAACAGAGCATAACTTATGGATTTCACGTCGGAATTGCTATCGTTTGGTTCTCTGTAAAGCTTACTTAAATATCTTCGCATTGGTACCAAGATTGTCTTCTGAATCTTTCTGAGTGGACGGGAATCTGCCCCAAAAAATGGCTGTTCTCAGAGGAACATATAATTTGTCAGAACGAACAGAGCATAACTTTTGGAGTTCACGTTGGAATTGAGATGTGTTTGGTGATGTGAAAATCTTACTTAAATATCTTCGTATTGGTACCAAGATTGTCTTCTGAATCGTTCTGAGTCGACGGGAATCTGCCCCGTAAAATGGCTGTTCTCAGAGGAACAAATGATTTATCAGAAAGAACAGAGCATAACTTATATAGTTCACGTCGGAATTGAGATCTGTTTGGTCCTGTGTAAACAGGACGTATAGATGTTCATATTGGTACCAAGATCGTGGCCTGAATCATTCTGAGTCGACGGTTATATGTCGCGAAAGATGACTGTTCGCAGAGAAACAAATGATTTGTTATAAATAACAGACCATAACTTATGGATTTCACGTCGGAATCGAGATCCGTTTGGTTCAGTGTAAAGCTTACTTAAATATCTTCGTTTTGGTACTGAGATCATTTCCTGAATCGTTCTGAGTCGACAGGAATCTTCCCGGAACAATGGCTGTTCGCAGAGCAACATATGATTTGTCAGAAAGAACAGAGCATAACTTATGGAGTTTACGTCGGAATTGAGATCTGTTTTGTCCTGTGTAAACCTGACTTATAGATGTTCACATTGGTACCAAGATCGTCGCCTGAATCATTCTGAGTCGACGGTTATATCTCCCTAAAAATGGCTTTTCACAGAGAAACTTATGATTTGTTAGAAAAAACAGACCATAACTTATGGAGTACACGTCGGAATCGAGATAAGTTTGGTTTTGTGTAAAGCCTACTTAAATAGCTTCGCATTGGTACCAAGATCGTTTCCTGAATCGTTTTGCGACGACGGGAATCTGCCCCGAAAAATGGCTGTTCGTAGAGCAACATTTTATTTGCCAGAAAATCTAAAAGTTTTGTTTGTTTAATTATGCTTTTGGTTATGTTTTGTTTTCTTGTTGTGTTATGCTGTGTTGATTAAAACTTTATATTTATATAACAAACTCTTTCTTGTTTGTAGGTGTGAGCTTATTCTTCCAAGACATATGTGCAAGGACTATACACAAAGATGGAGTTGCCATGATGCAAAAAAATATTTGTGTGGTTCTTTGTAATCTAGAGAGAATATTTCCTCCTTCTTTCTTTGATGTCATGGAGCATTTGCCGATTCACTTGCCTCACGAAGCTAGCCTTGGAGGACCTGTGCAGTTTAGATGGATGTATTGTTTTGAACGATTCATGGGCCATCTAAAGAAAAAAGTGAAGAATAAGGCAAAGGTAGAAGGTTCCATTGTTGAGCAATACATCAATGAAGAAATTTCTACCTTTTGTAGTTATTACTTTGAGCCACACATTAAGACAAAAACCCGGAGAGAAGATCGACACTATGATGGAGGTAATCCAGAAGATACACTGGTTGAAGCAATACCAGATATATTTTCTCAACCTGGAAGAGGAAGTGGTAAAGAAAAAGAAACATGGTTCAAGGAAGAAGATTATCATATCGCACATACATATGTTTTGCGGAACTGCGATCAACTAAGACCATTTGAAAGGTATGAAAATTTAATATACATATATATATTTAGTATAAAATTCGATATAAAACAGTGTATTTACACCTCTTGAGTTTATACAGGTTATTTGATGCGAGTTTAATTGCTGCACATCCTGGAATGCGCGAAAACGAACTAATTGAGTTGGGAGAAAAAACTTATGCAAGTTGGTTAAAAAAACATGTAAGTTTTCTTTTTGTTTGATTAATTTTTTTTCTATTTAAATCCTAGATAAAACATCATCATTTATGTGTTGTTTACATCGATTTGAAAAACAGGTGGAGGATACTTGGAATGATAATGCATATCCTAAGTGGTTGATGAGTCTCGTTCATGGTCCGTTGGTTCAAGTTACTTCCTGGCCAATGTACTTTTGCCGTGGATATATATTTCATACATATGATCATGGGAAAGACAAAAAGAATGCTAATTATGGAGTTTGCGTCAAAGGTACATCATCTAGTGGCTCAGGTGGTGAACCTGGTTTCTATGGAGTACTGAGAGAGATTTTGGAGCTTCATTATTCCGGACCACCTGATCTTAAACTTGTGGTCTTCAAATGTGATTGGTATGATTCAACCATTGGGAGAGGAGTACGAATTAACAAGTCAGGGATTATCGATATCAATGAGAAATGGCGCTATGGAAAATATGATCCATTTGTTTTTGCTTCACAAGCAGATCAAGTATGTTATGTTCCATATCCACGGATGACGCAGCCGAGAAAATATCAACATTGGACAGCATGCATTAGGATACCATCAAGGGGAAAAGTATTGGTACATCAAAATTTGGATTTCAATGCAATGCAACAGGAAAATGATAATTCTATTGTTCAGGCTGCTGCAGTGAACGTCGAGACACTAACACATGGCCAAGCAGAAGATCTTGATGATCCAGAAGTAGAAGCAGAAAAAGGATCAGATGATGAAGATGGAAATTTTGATATTGAATTAACCAGTGACGAGTCTGAATAATTTTCTTGGCATTTTATTATGTTATTTTTATTACTTTCCAGTTGTTTTTTTGGGTTTTTTTCAGAATTGAAACTATTTTTTTATTTAATTATGTAATGTCTACATATGATTTTAGCCTAGTCACAAAGTAGTTTCAATTAAGTCACAATCTATGATTAAATCTAAAGGTCACTAAAACAGTCACTAATTGTGACGAGATACCAACCAATTTTTTGTAACCATGTGTGACGTAAATTTTATACCGAAATCGTATTAATCTAGTTACCGGATTTCATCACAAAACCGTAACAATATTTGTAACTATATATTTCATAACAAATTCGTCACAGTTAGTTACAAATATTAGTTACGTTTGTTTTGGTCACAATATTATAACGAAATTGTTACGTTTTTATGACCGAATAACTTCGTCACATTTTCGTATGTAAATCGTCACAATATTATGACAAAATAATTTGTCACAAATTTTCTGTCACAATATTCCTTTTTTCTTGTAGTGGTAGGTTGAAGTACCCAAAGTTGAACTATAATAACGGGTTTTAAAAAGTATACTAGGGTTTGACCCGTGCCCGGCACGGGATGAGACTTTACTCCAAAGTTTTTTTATTAAAAGATATCTATATACAAAACTCAAAGGAAAGATACTCCATCCGTTTTAGTAGATAATCCCTCGGAAGCCAATATTTTCGACATTTGGTATGAACCTGTCAACTGAGAAACTGCAAATTTGATTAGAATCTTGGAATCACCTTCAGTGAAGAATGAATCATATTGGCATGAATTGTCACCCTACATATATCAAAAATATATTGAAAAAACATTAAATACAATTAAAATATTTGAACGGTTTCGAGAAACAAATATACCATGTGGAAAAGTAAATTTCAAATCGAACAACATCATCTCAATGGTGAAACTTACTTCCAAAGAGGTATGATCTTTATCTTGATTTTCTACATGGACTTGAAAGGTTTTAGATTAGTGATCGAACTTAAGAAAGACATATCTAAAAATTAAGCTTTTCTTTGTGTTATAGTATGATGCAAGGAGGAGAAGGAATTTGAAGTGAGTAATGCTCTTGCTTAGTGGTTTGCTTATATAGTAAACGAATGGTGTCGGATGCAAAAATTTAAACCTATCACATTCCTGATCTATATTCAAGTGATTGAAATATAATTCAATCTTACTTATTACGATTACCAAATACTATGAAGATCATATTAAATAATGTTTATATTTGGAAAGAGAGAATTATTAGGTTATCATAAAATTTTAAATCATTAATATTCATAATATATATGCTGTTCACAAAATAAAAATTTCATACTCCTTGTTAAGAAGTTGTCCACTGGGATATTGTTTTGCATCGTGATTGTGGAATCCAATCACCACTTATTGTCACTTTCGGACTTTCCATGATATATTCATTCACGTTTAAAAAAAAAAACAAATGATATTTTCATTCAATAACTTTCCAAATATCTAAGATCATCATCACCTTAATCCCGCCGAGCAATCATAAGTGATGATCAATCACGATTCACGTTAAAAGATTGTCAAAGAAAAAGAATGATATTTTCATTCAATATATTTCCAAAAATTGAAGGTCATGACCACCTTAATCCTTGTTACTCGGCGGGATCTAGTATAACTTATCCGCGGTACGGTTTGTTTGTAACGTGATACAACAATAACCACTTTAAATTTGCGGATTTATATGGTTCAGTTATCTCTTTTCTGAAATTTTCATAAAACAATATCCCATCTTAATTGAGATATTTGCACAGCTCTGACTCATTTTATACCATCTGTTTTACAAATATATAAGATATAAAATAATATAAGATGTTACTAAAATATTATAATTGATTATATCATAATATACTATATAAATATAATATATTTTGTTAGAACGTGGTAAATATTATGTGCAAATTTATAAGATATTATTAAAATATGTTAACATGTATAAGATATAAGATGAATAGATGATATAAGATGTTATTAAAATATTCGAAATGATGATATCCTATAATATACTATATAATATGTGTTTGTTAGGACGTGGTAAATAATTTGTATACTGTAAATTTGCCATTATGTATAAATATGTAGATGTGTATGTGTAAGACCGAAAAACATAGCCGTATATGTTTATAATATGTCTTTTGATTAGTTAATGTTAGCTAAATGAGATTTTATTGATAATAAATAAGACATATTATGCAATGGCATAAAATGTAAATTTTCTAGCAATTTTTGTTTTAATTTAAATTGATCTTGAGAGTGAACCTGGTGATAACACATCAGCATGACATTTTTGTTAATATCATATGACATAAGTTATCTTATCAAAAGTTTGAAAACTAAAATTAAAAAATGTTAAAAACCAGTGTGTAGAGAGTGATAAGTAAAATTTTCCAATTTTTAATGATATAAACTTGCATAACTTATAATTCAGTTAGTGTGGTTAATGATTGATCTATGACGACTAATAGGCTATGGAACATAAAATATACATGACATGCATAACAAAATGGGAACATATATAACATAAACGAAATGAAAACGGATCATATACAGAGTGTTTTCATTTAAAAACATTATTACAATCATTTCCGTAAACAAACAAATAAAATAAAAGTATTGTGTAGAAATGAATCTAAGCGACTGTTGTTCCTTCGTATATGGTTGAGAGTTTTCTAAACGATCGAACCGCAAACCGAGCTCGCCCAGACGCATATCTTTTCAATCTCCGAACCGAACCGGACCGGGAAGAACCGGCAGTAGCCTTAAACGGCGTCGTTCTATTCGGTAATTTTCCTTTTTGCATCATCATCGTTTCGCCTGCAATTCTGTTATTAACAGCGACGACGTTATTATTCGGCTTGTTCATCATCATCACCGGCGAGATCCTCCCGCTCTTACGCCGGCGATTTTTCTTTCCCGCGGCTTTCTCGATCGCGACGCTGGCTTTCACCGCGAGAGCCGCCATGTCGGAGGCCGTGAGGCGGTACTGACGTTTGGAGATCGGGAGAACGAAATAGATTTGATCCGCCTGGAGAATCTCATCCGATTCGATCGCCGGGATGAAATCGTCGTAATAGAGAGAATCCGAATTGCAGAGAAAATAAGAAGACGACCGAGACGAAGAGGAGGAAGAAGAAGCCATCGATTCCGCTTCGAGAACCTGAGACGCTAACGCCGGGACGTCGTATTCCCGGAGATCGCCGTTAACCGTAACGATTTTAGCCGTCGGCGATGAATCGCAGTCGTTTCGAGCAACAGAAACACAGAGACCCATTCGAATTTCTTCAGAATTTTCCAAAATTAAGAATTATGATCGGTAGAGAGAGAGTGAATGACAGGAGATAGAGAGAGAGAGAGATAGGAAGAGAGAACGCGTAAAGAGAGAGTCGGTTACAGAAGGGATATAAATAGAAGAAAACGGTGACGTAAGCATCACTTAAACCGGGTCGATTAAAAGAGGAAAAAGCGAAAACCAGTTGCGGTTTGTCTTTTTCAAACCGGTAAAGCTGACGCGTTGGCTTAGCTTTGTCCGTTGACTCTTGTTTCACAAAGACATTAAATATTGACATATTTTTTTAGGATATGAATTGAATGGTGTGATACTGTCACTATTCATATCATCATTTTTACGTTGCCAACAAGAAATCATTATTCACCTTCTATTTCAGTCACAAATTATTTGACTAATCTAATTATTGTTCAAGTTAACCGGCAAATGTTTTTTTTTTTTTACAACTGAACTGATTTAGTTAATTTATATTTTCTTCGAGTAGTTTCCATTTGACTACTCCAGGCTCAACATATCGTTATAATAATATTTCAGGCGGATTTTGTTGATAAATTATCCGTTTCTGTTACCTATTGTTGAAAAAAAAGTATTATAGAGCGAGAACTAAATGTGTGTCAGTGTGTGAATGCGATCGATATGGTTATTGTATAGCTGTGTATTCGTGTTATACGTGGATGTGCGTTTATATAGATAGCCTTTTCGTATCAATCCACTATGTAAAATTGAATTAAAAGTCTATCAAAATCGTCAACTTGGCCCAACTACAAAGATACCTGAACATGACACGTCAAAAATACAATCTTTCTGTTCATTTTATTACATGAATGTTGTTACAAAGAAAATCATGCTAACAATATGCTGAATTGCTGACCGATAGTACGTGTATATGAAGAAATTAGCAATGTATTTTCGGAATTAATGAAGAAGTTTGACTTCAGTGCATAAGCTAATAAAATAATTTTGCGGTTTGGCAAAATGTTTTCGGAAATTTACGAGAGATTCCATATAATCGGTACGGACTGAAGAGAAGAAGGTCAGCAATGACGTGGCGTCAGCCGAAACACGTGACTAAAATGAAGCGATAAGGAGACCAAAACAATAAATAAATAAGCGTGGGGAATAAGGAAACCGCAGCAACCTCTTTTATCTTATTTTAATGTGAAAGACCAAAGCAGCAACTTGTGTAGTATTTTGACTCTCACCATGCAACGTTGATTGAATAATGAAAAATAAATTAATCAATATCCCAAGTGGGGTACGTACGACGAGAACCACGAATGATCAAATCCGATATCTTTATTTTGTTGAAGGAAATTGATTACTCTAGACTCTAGAGTATAAAATATCAAACACTTTTTTCCCTCTAATCCTACCAACCATTCACACTCAAACGTTTTTTGTTCTTTGGTTAAAATATTCACACCAACGTTTATGATGGATTAAATAAATCTAGGGGTTATACAAACCTTAATCATTACTGTAAATATAGCACTGTACTTCGCTGTCAAAGCAATATTTAATTCGCAACTGCGTGTGTTGGGATTAGATTAATGACGTTGACATTCGTGTGTTTAACTATGCTTCTAAATTGCTAAAAGAATAAAACTGCAGTTGCTTTAAAGAACGTTATCATTTCATCTTAACTATAGTTTCATCCTCACCCAAACAAAAAGGGAACATGGTCTTTTGAAAATGTGATGAAAGTTACTATTGTTCTAATAAAAGCATTCAATTTCATCAAAATTTCATACGTATTACGGTTAGAAATATACGACTATATGCTATGTGCCTGTATCAAAATATTAAAGTATACATTTGTTGATTCCGAAACTGAAAAATAATAAGAAAAAAAAGTCCAAAGCTTTCAAGAAATGATCATATCTTCCTTTTTTGTGTGCAACGACATGATCATAACTCCATTACATAACTTATGAGCAACTCCCAAACAACTCCTTGCTTAGGATAAGTCCATAACCACTTTCAGTTACAAGTCTGAAGCTAAAATACAAGGAACACCGTACGCATTTAGTTATTAATTACATCGATCTGACTAAAGTCAGATTGTCGCAGGCCATGGAAAAAGCACAAAGGATTCTCGTGTTTAGTCGTTGACTTTATTTATACCCAATACTAGTGGTTACATTAAGTACCATATCAATTTCCGAATTCCGAAGACCCGAATCTGCGATTCAGACCCCAGTGTTTGACTATATACGGTCAATTAATTAAACAATCACACCACGATGCTGTGATATTCATTTAAAGTTTGTTTGTTTTTGTTTTGTAGGAACAAATAATTAAGTATTGTCTAGCGTGCAATTGAAACACCATATATGTCATTTATATAAGGCTATGAGCAATTACTTATATTTTGTTGTGTCCAAACCACAACTTATTGTACATATAAGTAACGAGTTTAAAACTTCATTACGTTGAGATTGTTCAAACATGAATAGATATTCAAAGAACTGCCATATGTTTCAATTTTCGAGCTGAGAATACTATAATACGTAGTCAAAAGTGAATTAGGGTGTAAAATAAAATAACCATTCACAATATATATGAGATTATCAGACGTTTATTAAATCGGTTTTGAAAATATTATGGTACACAGTCAAAAGTTAATTAGTTGTTTCTTGTGGTTTTATGAATTAAAACGGCTTCCCATTCGTTATGCATTGCTTATTTTTGGTCTATTCGCAATTGTTAGACCCTACTTTCATTGATTGGAGATGAGACTTCTGGTAGTATCATACAATGTTCATTAAAGTCTTAGTTGATATCAAGTTGATTGTAAATGTTTTTGTCATCTACTTGAAGATATCTTGAAATTTCGGGTAATGGCCAGCTTGCTGAAAGCTTAATTGTCATTTAGTTAAACCAAATAACGATTAATTTTCGTAAAAACACGATTGTTGCATTTGCATATATTTTTAAGTGTGGCAATTGCTAGAAGTCTACCGGTCAATCAACTAAGAACGTTATTATTTTATTTTCTTGCTTCCGTCTTAAGATTCTTAACAATAATTTGACCAAAAAACAAAGATTGTTATAATGCTTAATACACACGTGAATAAGTATATACGTTTACAAATTACAACTAACAAAAAAAAATCAAGTAAATGTTTATACGTGTGACTCAAAACGGTCACGCTATTGCTATATCATCTCCGCGTGCATCAGCTAAGTTTAGAAAACTTTTGTACAGCCTTTTTTAATGAAAAAACAAGTATCTTTTTTATTGTCAAAGACATATATCCTATTTGATACGATATAAGTTTATGTTTGTATATGATAGTATCAGGAAGAAGAAAAAAAGTTCTTTACCTCCTGCACATCTGCCTGGTTACTAGCCAGAAAATTTCCTAATTTTTGGTTCATCTTATGATCACGCATAAAAGGCCTCTATTGGGCTATATAAAGTGGTGTTCTAAATTTGTTATCATTAGTAGGCTTAAAACGTTACGTTCCGTTTGTGTGAGCTTTATTATTACAAGCTTAGATTTTGAAATTGAAAGTTGCTCTTTTGAAGCTCTCAAGTCTCTCCCAGCTTCTACTACTCTTCTACATTGTTGTTAGCTTTCTTGTGACTCGACCAGAGAACTCAAGAGAGCAGAAATAGCAAAGCTATATTATTGCGACGATAATCCACCGTATACACAATACAAACAACGTACCACACGACCATATGTCCTTTCAAACGTACATTTAGTTACAGCAAAAAAAACTATATTTCAAGTATACACACCTATCTTTTATACTATAAACAAATGAAACAAAATATGAAGTATATGACTATATATGCATTCTTATATTATTTACTCCTAGCTTCGGAAGTATAGTTAGTTACTGCTTTACTAGTTAAACTTTCAGAAGGGAGCACGGTGTGGGACGCCCTTCCGTCTGCTTGAATTCCGGTGATTATATATCGGCGGCGTTCCCGGAGAAAGATCATCACCAGAGCTGCTCAGAGACCGTTGATCACCTGAAAAGTAATCGCATTTAACGGCTGAGATGGAGAGACCGCTCATCAGACGGTTGAAAGCACACGTCTTGCGTATCTTAGTCGGTGTGGTCGCTTCATCAGATTCCGACCCAACTTCGTACTCTCTCCCGTGCTTCCCTTTCAAAGAGAAGCTTAGACTCTGATTCCCTCTCTTCATCATCCCTCCAAGCTGAGTCACCAAAAACAAAAGGTCAATATGGTCATTTACAAACCAAAAAACAGGGGATATTCACATAGTTTATAGACAAAAGATCAAAGATTTGAGAGAAGAGTATTACTTTGCAACCAAGAGAGCAGAAACGGAAAGAATCAAGAAGGCTTCTGCAACAGATTTCACAAGTGTTTGTAACGCCTTTGCCGATTCTTGGCTGAGGTCTTTCGTTCAAGAAGACGATCCTTGCACTGTTGATTATGTATGTTTGGACACAGGATATGTCTATGTACTTCTGAATCTCGTTGACTCTCACCACGTTGTGGTACGACGACCTTCGTATCTATACATACACAGATAATTAAATTTCATTTTCTTATTATGTTCTTGTGGGAAAAGAAGAGATTTGATGAAGGAGAACCTGAAGGACACGGTGGTTTTTGTGATTGATGGAACAGTAAGAGCAAAAGGCATTTGAAGTGCAGTCAAGACAGAACATGTTGCATTCGCTTTTGTTGGAGTTGGCGTGAATCGCACAAGGGACGAAGTAGTTTGCTCTTAGCATTGGTATTAGCCATGTTGGACTCAGATATTGGTCCTCTTCTTCTTCTTCTTGTGCTCTCATCACTGGTCCCTGGAGGATTTAAAACCAATGAGATGGTAATATAAGAATCTGTAGAGAAAATTTTAATGGATAAAGAAGAGAGTTTAACAAGGAGAGAATGAATTAATCACCATGAGTTTCTTGTGATTGGTCTTGATGGACTCAAAGCTCTTGTGGTTTTCGATAGAAAGATTTTCAAGAGTGGTGAAGTAACAACAGATTTTGATTGAAAAGAGACTAAGAAGAGAAAATTTTAGTTAGTGGAGGAGGCGGCTGCTATAGCTGAAAATGAGGTTTGAAGTCGGTCACGGTAATTTTCAGGTTATATAATTCACATGAAAATCATTTAATATCCCCTTTTGTAGTTATCCTTAATTACTTTCTTTGGCAATATTGTATACTTGACAAATCAGTTTCTCTAATTTTCTTTTTAAGTCCATTGAGAGATACACGTATAAGTGAAGTGCACATGTGTGTGTCTCTAGAGACCCCAGAAGTAAAGGAACGAACTTAAAGAAAAGTATTATTGAGTCATTTGCGAGCAAATGATGATAAATTATTTTAATTTGTTTGGCCAAAAAAGTCTTTTGTCGTTTGCGCCTTAAAAATATCAAGCCGACTATATCATTATTCGGTCCTACATCATTCACAATGTGGAATATTTTTCCTCAGAAATAAAAAATTTGATATATATATTTATATGTTTATTCATTAAGTAAAATAAAAAATTACCATTTTTGTGGAAACATATTAACAGCCCAAATTATTGGAAATGTGTACAGAGTACTAAATTAGCAATATAACTAGGAAATAAAATTATACTATGTGGTCAAAAAGTGAAAACAGAAACGAGAGGACGCGTGGCTAGAGGTGAAGAGCCAGAGAAATGGACGGACAAGAGACGAGACTGAACTGAATCGTTGGTTCTAATCTGAATCGTTGGATTAAAAAGGTACTTCTCGGACAATCTCTGACGTGGCACACGCTTTTGTTACTTTCTGCATTGTACCCACATGATAATCCTAGACCGTCGGATGGAGATGTTGAGTGACACTTACATATGGCCACCTCTTATAATCGTAGGGTCAGGAATCGTCGGTCACGGATCCCAAAACTTTGCTTCTTTTGAAGTGGTTACTAAACTAAACTGTTTGGATTCTACGGTCAAAAGTCAAACTATAAGCAGTTGTCCAGAATCTACAGTATCTGTACGGCTCAATGCACAATCAGTTGAGATTGCGTGTAAATTCGAAACTCTAAAAATGCATGTAATTATCTAGTTGGTGCTCTATATTCTTTTTTCTTCTCAGATATATACTATTGCATAATAATATGAGAAAAAAGAGACATCGAGTTATCAAAAGTCTTGTAAACCTACTTATCTACCAAAATATTGTTCGTTCTTTTTTATTTTGGGCGGACAAAAATCGAAAGAAAAAAACGAATTGACAGACCAACAAGTCAAAATTTAATATATTAGTGTGAGTTTATCCAGAAACGTATTGTATTAACTCGAGAAAGAGACCGAATGAATAATTATATGGAATATCAGAGATAATAAATAAAAAGAGAAGTGTGATCCACGTAATGTGCAGTTAGTAGCTATCAATAAAGGATTAACATAAACCACTAATTGTTCAAAATGTTGAGAGAAAAGTTGACGAATCGTTCCTGTTTTCCTGCGATCTTATCTCCTTTGAGATTAGTTTTTTTGTTTTTGTTTTGTTTGTATTCAAAAAGTGAAAAATAAAGAAACTTTGGGACAGTTGTGAGAAAGAAGATGGTGAAGAAGGGGCAAAGCAATGTTGGTCGACCTGAACAATAGTCAATAACACGTGTCTCACGTGAACCCTTATGGTCTTCTCACGTGAATACGAAGATGTCGACGTACAATTAGACAATTAGTTACCAAGTCATATACGTTTTGACCGTTTGTAGCCAATGATAAAACAAATATAAATTAGTTGTTGATAACAAACGCAGCAACAAAACGTTTAACGAGGGGCTAATACTATTTTCACATAGCATTAAGAAAAAAACGTATAACATTAATAGTTTACAACAATCTTCAACTACTTCCACAACTCTACAGATATACTAACCCCCAAAAGAAACCAGATTCACCAAGTAGCCACAGCTTCTGTGTTGTTAAGAGGAAAAAAGAAACCAAACGCGTGATTAAGCAGAATAAGGAAATTAACAGATTTATAGAATAAAAACATCATTAGCCAAAATATAACTCAGGTGTTGAAGCTATGTCTCCTCTGACCCGAACCAGTTTCTTCTCTGTACTCTCTGGCTCATCAAGACCAGCGAGTGATTACCATCTCTTCAATGTCTTTGGGTTTTCTCAGTTTGCCTCTTGTTTCCTCTCCTTCACCACATTCTTTTTCTTATTTTGTGAAACCCAAAATATCTAAACAACACTTAATTATACAAACCTTTTTGTATTTTTCAATTCTTAGCTTGAGCCATAATCAAGACCTCCCCAGCTGAAGTGAGACCCTTGTCTAACGATAGGGAAAGCGTGCATAAACACGCAGACGCAAACGCAGACTGTTGCAACCGCAAGCATCGAGTGAATGATCGGAGTTGGAAACAAACGGTGTGAACCCGAAACCCTTCTCTGATACTTTAGTGCCACGCTTGCACATGTGTTGCAAGATCTCTTGAGCTCTGAGCTCAGTCTCTTACTCAGCCCAATCTGATCAATCCCGTTCTCGATGTTCAAAGATATCTGACCGTTTCTTTTATCAGCAAGCTTACGAGCCACCAAGGTGTTGTAACTGTGGTTGTTCCTCATTGCAGCATAGCTAAACGGAGTCTGTCCACTTGCATCGATTAGTGTATTCCAGCAAGATAATCCAATCTGAAACCAGAAAACAAAGTTAAAAACTCATGTTACCAAAAGAGAGGCTGGGTTCTAAATTAAGAAACTTTACCTCTTGTGGATCATTAGTCAAGACATCAACCATATCTTCAGAGCCAGACGTAGAAGCAGCTAAATGCAGAGGTGTGATATCGCCAGGTCCGGTGACGTTAGGCAAGAAGATGAAAGTTTTAGCGTTGGGTTTCACGGAATAGCGAATCAGAGTCTCAGCCATTTTCACGTTCCTTCTTTTGACAGCGCGGCTCAGTAGCTGAATCTCAGCAAGCATATCTAAGGACTCCTTGCTCATCAGACCGTCTTCTCCTAGGTTTCTCTCTACCATCATATCCAGGAGAGTACCTATGAGAGAGCAGTAGTCTCTTTCGACAGAGCAGACGAGCAGAAACTTGAACCGAGGGAGGGAAAAGTCTGATCCTCCGTGAATGTCAGATGTCCATTTCCTCTGAAATAGCCAACCAAGCTCGTTCAAGAAGCAGAGAACTTCTTCTCTTGATCTTGGACGATCTGAGTTGTGTGTCTGTTCATCTGTCGGATGAAACTCGTCTTCAAGGCTATTCAACTCTCTGCAAATCGTGGCATTCGCTATTATCAAAGGGAAACTGTCACTTCTAAATCCATTCTCCACCTGTTTTGACATAATAAGAACTGTTAAAACTAACATCTTCCAAAAACCTACCAAAAAAAGGACTTAAAAAGTCACTTACCTCAACGAAACAGCGTCCTAGAGAACCAGGCCTTGCACACTGGACTTTGAAGTTATTCACATTTAACTCCTCGAATCTGGTTCTCCTATGTTCTCTTCTAGTTACCTCCATTGACGTGTAGTTACCCATATGCGCGCAACGAAAACTGCAGCATGACGATAAAGCTTAGAGTAAAAAAAAAAAAGATGCAAGAAAAAAGTATATAAATCCCTACAAAAATGGTGTTACCTGATTCCATCATTAGTCAAGCTTCTACCCCTTACTATCAAAGTTGTTTCTTCACCGGCTACAACAGCCAAAGGCGACACCGTGATCAGCTCTGGTGAATTCAGAGTTCTCCATGATTTGCTCAGATGAGTCCTTCCTGTAACATTACACAGAAACGAAGAAGTTAGTATCTTCCAGACCATAAGCACCAGGCACCAGATTATAAGCACTCACCATGTTTGTATGACACGAGCTGTCTCCCTGTGCTGACCAAGAATCTTGTGTTGCTCCAAAATTTTGATTCTTGAACCAAAGAACGTATCCGTGGCACCAAGTTTTCCTCAAGCTGAAAATTAGAAGATATAAAACCCATCAGCTCCTCAGGATGTAACATCAGATTCTATTAACCAATGGTTAAAGCAAATTCACTCACTTGTTCCCAAGCAGAAGCTGACATTGCCACATAGACAGAAAGAATAACACAGCCAGGCCTGATGTAACTCTCCATTTCTGATGGAATGCTAGAAAGCCAGCTATATATCTGACATTAAGAGATGACCACTGACTGTTAAAAGGAGAGCAACCAATAACTTTTTTAATATTTCAAGCAGGTTAGACTTATCACCTCGGTTCGCAATGTCCCAGGGAGCTGACTAGGATCTTTCCCAAGTAGTTTGAAAACTATCTTTCCAGTGCGGTCCTGTTTGGAAAAAAAATATAAAAGTAGCTTTAGACCTGCTTTGCTAGATTTTAGTTTAAGAAAGGGAATATGGCTAAGCTGCATACCTGAGTATCAGAGTTTAAGCTGGGAGGAGAATAATCAGAACCAGACGAAGCATAACCAGATTGATGATGCCTAGAAGCTTTAAAACTAGGATTAGCAGCAGCTCCTCTGTTTGATGCAGCACCAAAGAGCTCTAGTGGCAAACAGCTAGTCCTGTGACTGGGACTACTAGCGTTTTTGCAATTGTTCGATCTCATGGTCTCAGGAGATGTCTGCAACGGGAAAAGCTCCTGCATGACCGGAGACGATGATGGCGACCTGTCCTCAACAGGGTTACTGCTAGCTGAAGAATAATACTTTCTTGAAGACGCAACCGTTGGATGATGACTCTCATCCTCTGGTGAAGAAGTGAACAGCTGTAGAGACAAGCTAGATCTAGTCTCCTGAGCTCGTGAGTCTGAATCTTGAGAAGGAGACAGGTTACTGCTCCCGGATCTCTCTCCTCCTCCAAAAGAAGGAAACTCCAAAGTTCTCTTTTCTAAATTAGCTGCATTGACCTCAGGTGCAGATGTAGTTAACTTAGCCTTATCATTACTGTCTTTGTTCCCACCAAACTCTCCTTGAGATAAGAAAGCAATGGCCTCAGGTGCAGATGAGCCTAGAGTTGTGGAGAGAACAGCGAGTAGGTCCATGGTAGATGGAGAAGAAGAAGAAGACCCATTCACATCATTCTGAGCGTTCATCGCTGAAGGTTGATTCCTGGCTAAGATTCCGATGTTATTCAACTTCGAGACAAGATCGTCAGGCAAAGGCAAAGCATTGATCTTGTTAAGTATCTGAAGAAGCTGCTCCCTTTGAGGCACTGCTGGAGACACATTAGGTGTTGCAGCATCATTCCTACCTTGTGCACAAGCTAAAGCTGTTAACAAAGCCATAATATCCATATTAGCGTTGTTACTAGAGGTGTTGTTATCACAATTCCCCGGAGGAGCTATAATCTCCTCCGGCTGAGTTTTCCTCCTCCGTCTGTTATGGCCGGCCAATCTCCGCCTACAGCTTCTCTTCCCCTCATCAAACTCAGAGAGAAGATGAAACCTACAAAGCCAAAAACTTTTTAACAACCCAAACCATATTCAGAGAAACAAGATTGGTTAAAGAGCTAAAGGGAGAAGCTTTTTTCACCTGCTACACTGTTGGCAAAACCTCTGCATTTGTTTCCCAACGAGAGCTTTAGTGGCTTTGCTATGAACCTCACACACTTTATGCCTTCTGTGATAATCCTTACCGATTGATAGATCTTCTTTACAATTATCCACCTGACACTTAGGGTAGTTTCCTCCTCCCGGAGATCCCGACCTCACCCTCTTGCTCGGTCTGGTTACCACCGGCGTCGTCTCTTCGACGGCGTTGAAGCCACTGCTCAGATTCAAGTCAAGCCCTCTTTCTTCTCCCTCGTAAGTCAAACCGCCGTTGTTATTGTTAACATCAAACTGCGTGCCGTTTCCGAGGTGGAGAGGAGAAGCCTCTGCCTCTACTGGTTTAGCTTCGAATCTCTGGCTGTCCCATTCCCACATCTTCGGATTCCAGTCATTCCTCTGCTGCTGCTGCGGTGGCGGCTGAGACTGTACGAGCCAGTGAGGGTGGTGATGATTCGACGACATCTGGTAATAGAGATCTCGTTTTCTCCCCATCGGATGGTGAATTGGAATCGGAGCAGCGACTTGAGGACCTTCCTCCATTTCTCTATCGACGACTATTTTTTTTCACCTTAAACTACAAAAATCAACAGATTCAACACACGAGATTACTCTGCAGTTCAGAGATTGGAAAAGAAAGAAATCAGCTTTTGAAATCCAATCAGTTTTCGTAGACTCTTTTTGGGAAAGTTTCGATTATCCGAAAATAGAAGAGAGATGGATAGAGAGAGAGATCAGATGGAAGATTTTTCAGCCGCTGAAACTTTTACTTGAGCATGGAAATGAATCGACGGCGTACCTTAGCATAAGTCTCTGCTAGATCGAACTAGTTAACACGGAAATCCCGAAACGGAATCGCAGTTTCGTCGAGCATAAACCCTTTTCTCAATCCAAAAAAAGCAGCTTCAGAACGGAAAAATGGAAATGAATTAACCGGAGAGATTTCTTCAGATTCGACTAGCTCTCCGGTATCGAATCTCGACTGTACAGAAATTACCGACTGGAAAAATCGATCCAGGAACGAAAATGAATCGAGGGTTTTAATGAGTTTCCTGAAAAGCTTCCCTCTCAAATTTGTTGTTTCTCTCTGTTCGGCTTCGTGTTCTTCTTTCGTTGAGCTTTTTGCTTGTTCTGTTGTCTTCAACTTCTTACCTTTTACGAAAAAAAATTCATTTGTTCGGTGGTGGCACAAACTGTAAATTGAGGAAAGAAGAAGGGTCATTTATGTAAAATGTTAGGTTTAAAGGTGAAAGAGGATCCAATCTACCTTATTTTTGTTGTTAATAATCCAAGATAAAATGATCAATTATTTTGTTATTAATAATACAATTTCGTATTATGTATATCTATGCATTTGATTTGTTGGATTCTCAGTTTTCTTATCAACCATTGACGATAACATTAATCTCAATATACAGAAATGTAATAAAGAAAATTCAAACGAGATATTTATGATGAATGCAACATGATGAACATATTGACTCCCCTTATCGTCAACTACTTTTAACAAAATTGAAAAGGACAAAAATAGTATTTATTTACTTGTAGAGAAGAATTTTACCCCAAGGTTGCTTCATTTTTGCTGTAAAAAAAGGCTGCTTCATTTTTATTTTATATAATTTTGTGCCTAGAAGAAAACAAAGACCTCAGCAATATCATATATATATATTCTTCATTAAAAAATGATAATTATAAGATATATATTATCCAAAAATAGTTCAACAATGTTATTTTTCTGTTTTGATTTGACCGTACGCATATCAACTTGATAGAGAAACAAAATCACTTTAAAAAATAGTAATGTAGAAACAAAAAAAAATATTGGAAATAAATAACATTATTTGGACCAGAGAATGTGTGTCTATTTTGATGTGGACAAAGTATACGTAATCGAAATTTGTAAATTGGATCTAAAAACAAAGTGACAATTATATACTACCGTCCAACTATTCAATAACGCGATTTGCGCTATTCATTCAAAACGGGCGTTTCACTTTTTCATTTCTAGCGATTAATCATAAAAATAGAAACACAAAATAAGTTAAATTAAACTTTGAAGCTCGTATATAAATGATAAAGCGCGTCCGCGTTTGGAGGAAGTCGTCGTCATAACGGAAGGTAAGGCCTAAACAGGAAACAGTCCACCCAAAACCTGTCGATAGTAAAAGACGTACTTGCCCTTTTATTTTGCCCCTTCGTTAGTTAGACCACAACTCGCACGTACGGACGCGTGCAAGTAACTCGTTTTCCTCAGGCGCGTGAGGATATCAGCACCTCCGCATCAGGGCAAGAATATTCCATCATTTCTATATTCTTTAGCCATACATAATTGATCATTCTTCCACCTATCAATTTCATTTTCCCTATTTAATCAAGATGCTTAAATCTACCTCATGTACATAATTTTTTCTTTTTTGCTATGTTTGTACTTTTTTATCTTTTCAAATTTTGATGGAAGTAAACATTATAGATTGCGCGTATGTAAATTGATAAGTAGCAAATAACAATAATGATGATGAAATTGTTAGAAAGTGGGAAAGTGTTTGAAGGGAAACAGCTGTTTTTGGTACGGAAAGTAGATGGCAATAGATTGAGAGAATACTGACACTGTTCGTAGAGCCTTGTACTTACGCTTCCTTCATTTCTTGTACTACACCTCTTTATTTTTTCACTTTTGCCTTTTTGTTCATTTTTTTATTATTGCCTTTTTCAACGTTTTTGTTTCACGCCGACATCAATTTTATAAAAATATATTACTTGCAGGGGAAAAAAGTCACAAGTACCATGAAAAGCAAAACCTTAAAATGGTTTCAGTTACTAACGTTAATTTCTTTTTCCTTTTTTACCAAGTTTCATCAAGCTTGACTTTTGATGAGAGAATGAATTGATACTTTGACTTTGGATGTGGATGTGGATGTCATTTATTTTCACCGCAAGCTCCGATCGAATTCGGAAGTATTACAAGCGGTTTCTCGTAGAAGATGCTCGATCGATAGTGATGGGATATTTATACGATACTCAAAACAGCAGCCAAAAGTGGAAATGGTAATCAGTCTACAGTTTTATTTGATGATCGTGGAAATGTGGGATAAAGCTCTTGTTTATTAATTACCTAGTAAGTATCCAACAGCATTTTTGTGGTAGCTTTCGATTTCGATCTATATATTTTAACTAAATTCATTATTATTGGGTTTTTGTGTACATATGTAACGTGGAGAAGTTCGGTTTTGTTCCCTAATTGGTAATAGTATGTATTTCTCACGTCAATTAATTGCTCGTGTTTAGAGTTTAAAGCCCTTTAATAATTTCGATGTGGTATAACTGATCGTGTATAGTAGCGAACGTATTAAGTTTGTCGGCCAACACAAATCGCTTTGGAACAAATAAGAGGACATATTGTTGTTGTTTACATCAACATGCATAATTCTATTTCTCATGTCAACAAATTTATTGAACTCATGAACTGGAACATGATTGCTTATTTGCTTGAGGGAGCCAGTTAATCAACTAGTAGTCACTTAATCTCTGGTTAAATAACCTAAGTAAAACGAAACCAAATTCAAAAGCATAACCCCAACAGCTTTAAAGGATATGAGTTTATGCTATCTATTTGTATATGTGCTATTGCTATGGAATATTTTCATGTTAAGGTGAAGCTGGAGTGCATAACGTTAATTTGGTCACTTGCTGAGGAAGCACCTCCACTCACGTGAAAAGTCAGGTGTCGGTTAAAAAATATCTCCGACAAACATTTCAAATCTACATAAAACAACACCACATGAAAATATATTTCATAATTCACCGACGGAACACATCTCACTGATCGAAAGAATCGACCTGTTCCTAAATCCTAACAAAATCAAAGTAGAATGATTCATTCCTATCCTTAATTTATATGTTCAGTACTGATGGAAACATTTTTGTAATCACTGTTTAAATCAATATATTTGGATCATAATCCAATGTTCCAAATTTCCCCGTATACATATCAGAAACAATAAACAAAAAAATTAAGCTAGAAAAACATTTATTTGCGTTTTGATTATTCCGATTACTAAATAAAATACAGAATAGGAATCCGATCGATTATCCGTTATGTTGGACTAGAATACTAAAACAAAGAAAGATTCCATCGTTAATCTATCTAATGCACTCGTGTATATAGTGGAAATGACATCAGAAATAAATTGGTACAGGTAAAAAAAAGAGGACTGAGATGTGAGTATATTATCGTACAAAATAGTTGATGTAATTCTTGGATTGGACTCTTCGCGAATGCTTCACTGCACGTGGTCATTGCTCATTGTCTACGAGTAGTAAGTACAATCATTTTCCATTATCTTAACTTTTTGTTGGAATTTACCATTTCATCATGTACAACTTTTTGGCCAACTGTGATGTGCAACTTGAATACAGTAAACAATTTTTGACTTTTCAAGGAGAAAAATAACGTTTTAAGGTTCCTTTCAAAACTTAGTTAGATATAATCATATAAATATAATGTTCAATATATTACTCTTAAGAATATAAATATATCTCATGTGTTGACGTTATATACTTTTAACTTTTAGCATAACAAAACACACAATAAAACTGTAAATTCTTCATCGCTAAAAAGCCATATGGTACCAAAACACATTGGGATAGTTTGGAGATTGGGCGGATTTGCTTGTGGACATACACTGTATCTTATTGTTACATAGTCATTTTTTTGTCTTTCTCATGTATGAAGCGTGGAAAGCAGATTGTTATGTAATGGATCAGAGACATGGTCAACAAGATTCTGTACAGGACCTTTACCAGTGAGAGCAGCCTGTGCATAGAACCCAAGCCACGCCACCATCGCTAGTCGTCCGTTTTTAATCTCTTTAACCTTAAGATCTTCAAAAGCCACAGGATCCTCCGAGAGTCTCAAAGGATCAAAAAGCGCACCTCCTGGATAATTTATATCCCCTGGCAAGTATATCCCCAGTGGCTCTAATGCCTCAATACCACAGTATCTTGCGTATTCCGGTCCTACCTGTATACAACAACAAACAAAAGATTATAAAAACGTTTTTTTTTGTTGTTAAGAGAAATGAAGCAAAGTGTGTATTATATTACCATTAAGAGTGCTTGGCAAATTGCAATTACAATGACACCTTGGCTTCCAGCTACGTGAAGCCCTGGGATGCCTAGGTAATCCAACGTCTCTCCCTGAAGCTTTGAGTAACCGACACGCCACCAAACGGGTTCAACAAAATGAAAAGCTCCAGTGAGATCTAATATTTCAGGGACAAGAGCACCTAACGCTGCAAGCATGGCCCAACGAGCATGAAGTATCTCAAAGCTGTAAAAACAATTGCGGTTAGGACTAAAACTACCATTTATTCAAAAAAAATTGTGTTGAGTAATTCATATTAGGACAAGACTAACTTGAAGTACTTATCAAAGGACGAACGGTCCTGTCCAAGTCCAGCAATGTCGAAACCATAGTCACCAGGAAGTTCTCCTGTAAGGTATGGAGGATAATCATATGGGATTGGACCAAACCAACGTGGACGTTCTTCTCCATACCACTTGCTACACACTTACAAGAACAAACCAACAAAAGTGTGATCACAATCTAGATAACTCCGAACATCCACAAGATTAACTTTACACAAGTCACACCCCAGTTAAAACTATCAATAACTGTATTAATATTAATTACCTGTCGTTTCTAGCCTTTTGAGCTTTAGCTTTGAATCTGGAAGAATTCTCTACGGCTTCTTTCTTTCTCTCTTCCAATCTCCGCCGCAGAGATTCTCCTAACGAACTATTCGCGATTGCTTTAACCGCCGTGAACGGAATCGCCGAGAAAACCAAAACACCGGCGAGCTAATATAAACGACAGCGAAAGTTATACAGTAAAAAATAAAAGAACTGATCTCGAATGGAAGATTACTTCAGTTTGAAACAAATTACCTCTTGCCATGAAGCTCTGCAAACTGAACGATACTTTGTCGTCACGGCGATTCTACGACGAGGCTTAGGCACGAGTTTCTTCGGAAGATAATGGAAGGACGAAGAAGTTGAGGAAAGTGTCAGCTTCTCCTGAAACAGAGCCATGATTTCACTGAATAAAAAAAAACCGTTGGCCTTAAATTTCCACAAAATTAAATAATTCATTAATCAATTTTTCAACGTTACGGATATGTCGACGTGGCTTGATATTAGCCTTTCCTTTCAATCCTAGTCTCAGCCGGTGGGCTTTTTAACTAAAGTATCATAGGCCCAATTAACTGTCCAGTGTCGCTATATTCTTAAACCATCGAAACGAAGTCGTTTTACCCCGACGATTTTGTTTTTGAAATCGTTTAGCTCTTTCTCGACATTGCCAAGATTCCGTGAAAATCTCATATTTTCTCTTACGTAGATGGACTGAACAATGTTTTCGATTGATGATTGAGATTTAATCATAATCAGTCTAGATTCTATGTAATCAAGCTACTTTCTTATTAGCCTCTCTGATCTTTGAAACAGAACACATTTCTGTCGTACAAAGGTACAATCATTAAAAAAACACGAAACTCTTTGTCCTTCAATCTTCATAGATTCGACACTCATCGGTTTCAGGATTCTCCTGACAGAAACTCTCGAGTGGATCCTGGTTTAAGAGCTTGAGCTTGATCCTCAGATCTGCTTTGGCTTGACTCACCTCTTCAACTTCGTCCCACGCGACTCTACAACCTTCCGATCTCTCATCCGCCTCGCAAACCTCCGTCGCTTCCTTTATCTTCTCCACTATCATCGCCGATAGCTTCTCCTCTCTCATCTTCGTCCCCTTGTACTTGGCAGTCGCACTCGTCGCCATCGTCAGCCTGAATCGCCTCGGTGCTCTTTCTCTCATGACGAAAATCTCCGATCCGGTTGCGATCATCGGTCGATGCTGGTTGTGAGACGCTACCGGCGGTGGCGGAAATAGCACTCTCCCGTGACTCGTCGTCGCCGACATCATTTGGTTACTGATGATCCTTGTCAAAATTCTCGTTTTACGATTTATATATTTGGGCCGGTTTTTTAAAATACAAAGAGGACCTAAAATCTTCATCGTTCTATTTGCCACGTCATAAGACAATCATCATACAGTTGGATTTTTTTTTTCTTTTTTTCCTTTTCTCATAATGTAGTTGAGAATTGAGATAAGCAGCACAAGACAGATCTGACCTCTTCACCTACTCCTTTTGTTCTTCTAGGTGGTCACCAACTTTGATGTCCTTGTTATTCATTTACCATGATGCTTTTGTTTTTGAGGTCCGATCAAGAGTCAAAACTAGGCCAAAATGACCATAATAGTAGTAACCTTGTGCTATCTTTCTTTTACACCTCAATGGTTGAGCATAATGGAGTATAATTTAAGTACCTAATCCCATCGAGCTTTACAAGTGAGCTGATGAACCTTAAAGCCCAAATCAATTGTAAAAATATACAGCAAATAATGGAGAAATCCACTTTTGGAAACCATAATCTATGGTATGAAGCTTTTTGAGGAAAATACTTGGGGAGGAGGAAATGGTTGTTGCCCTTCTGACTTGCTTGTAACAATAATTACAATATTATCACGTAAGCATATTCTCCAATTGAATGCTGCTATATTCCCCTATGTTTCCTTTTTTGTTCATTTGCTTATCGTTATTTCCACATTTACCCCTTCACCTATCCTCTTGTGGTTCATTCATTCTCCTTTTTTAGATGTCATCATCCCATTTATGATATTCTTCTTTCTTCATAATGATACAAAGTTTGGTCACATTTAGGTGGGAATCTCTCAACTAAACCCCAGACCAAAACTAAAATTGCACACATTTAAGAGTAAAACCCGTAATTAAGAAACATATACAGCCCATAAGACAATTTGGGCATTTTAAATACAGTGGCATTTTCGTAAATAATAATGATAACTAGGGGTGATCGAGAAAAGCGTGGACTGAAATCCGAAAATTGGAGACCAAAATTTTGGCTGATTTGGTTGATCGTATCGCCAAGTCCCTCCGCACACTATAAATACTTTTGACGGGCGAAGAAGAAAAGAAAAAAAAAAAGAAAAAGCAGAATTCTCCGAGACTCTCTCTGACACTCACCACCAACCTAAATTCCGAAAAACCTAAATCGCCACAATGGATTCTGATTTCGGAATCCCCAGAGAACTCTCTCCTCTCCAGCAACTCCGATCTCAGTACCTCCCTGAGCTCCCTCCTTGCCTCCAGGTTCTTCTCCTTCCCAGCCTCTCTTCCTTAGATCTCTTCTAACTACCATCGCCTTCACTCTTGCTACTGTCTCCAAAATGTTTGGATCTCTCTGTTTTTCGTTTCGCTTTCCTCACAATTTCCTTGTGTCGCGAATATTTCAATTTCGTAATTTTCTGTTCGAGGAATTTGAAATTCTGGTGCAGTTCATGCAGATCTGTTTACACGATGGCTCTCATAGCGATTTAGGGTTCTAGATTCCCCTTAGATTCCTTTTGCATCATCAGTCTGGTTTAGTATTCCAGATTTAGCGTGGTAGGTGGAATTGCATGTTAACGTGAACTCACCGTAATGTAGCAATACTATTGGAGATTGTTCAATGTGAATTTCTGGAATAGTGTTTTTGGAATTGTATTTGAATTTTGTTCTCAATCGATTTACATTTCAGGGGACTACTGTTCGTGTGGAGCTCGGTGATGGAACCACCGTGGCAAAGGCCGGTGATGCGCATATCATTGCTCGCGCCTTCCCCCATACTTTAGGCCAGCCTTTGGCTCATTTCCTTAGAGCTACTGCCAAAGTTGCTGATGCTCAGATCATCACCGAGCATCCGGCGATTAGGTGTGTATGCATATTTTGTTTTCTCTGTGATTCTTGCTCTGCGTTTTCGAGCTATAATTAGTTTTTTGTTGCTGTCTATTGTAGGGTGGGAATTGTGTTTTCTGGAAGGCAGGCTCCTGGTGGCCACAATGTGATTTGGGGTCTTTACGAAGCTCTCAAAGTGCACAACGCCAAGAACACTTTGTTAGGATTTTTGGGTGAGTCACATTATCATTGTTTTGCTATGAAGTCACATCTTGATGTGTGTTGATGTGTGTGCCTTCTTATTAATCAGAAACTTTTTGTTTACCTGTGAACAGGTGGTTCTGAAGGTTTATTTGCCCAAAAGACTTTGGAGATCACTGATGATATCCTCCAAACCTACAAAAACCAAGGTTGGTTGGTTGATTATGAAGTTGCTGATAAGATGATTCAGAGTTTTATCTCTTCTACTTTCTAATAGATGGAATTTAATTGTTTGTTGTTGTGTGTCAGGTGGCTTTGATTTGCTTGGAAGAACCAAGGATCAGATTAGAACAACAGAGCAGGTTAATGCTGCACTAAAAGCTTGCACGGATTTGAAGTTGGATGGCCTTGTTATCATTGGAGGTATCTAATGCTTTTTAAATTGTGTAAATCTTACTGTTGAAGTTTGTTGCAACATATTCTAAATCAAAATGTTTTATTGGCTAGGTGTAACATCAAACACAGATGCGGCTCATCTTGCTGAATTTTTCGCTGAAGCGAAATGCTCAACAAAGGTCCTATATTTTTCCCAGTTTTTTTTGTCTGATCTTGAGTCCTTATGAAACCATTTAGTGATACAGTTTCACCTCACAACTGAAGAAATTCGTTAATAGCATAAGTGATTTTCAATATGTTTCAGGTAGTTGGTGTTCCGGTCACTATTAATGGAGATCTCAAGAATCAGTTTGTGGAGGCCAACGTTGGTTTTGACACCATATGCAAGGTAAACTAACTGTGAATTCTAAGCTCCTGTTTTTATTTCGTCTTGGTTTCTTTTACTTTGTATGTATTGTAGACAGTGTATTATCTCTTTTCCCTCGCCACTCTTTCATTAATAGCATTTTTATCTCGCTGTACAGGTGAATTCTCAGCTCATTAGCAACATCTGCACCGATGCCCTTTCAGCAGAGAAGGTAAAATGTTGATTCTTACTGAACATTACCAAGTTTTAGAGAGATTGATAGGGCTCTTCATGATTCGGTTATCAAGTTTTCTCTAAAGATTTTATATGTTTTCTTCTCTATTGCCAGTATTATTACTTCGTCCGTCTCATGGGTAGGAAGCATTCTCATGTTGCCCTTGAGTGTACACTTCAGTCTCATCCAAACATGGTATTTTTGCAATTAAAACGTATACAATCCACTCTCTTGGCATGCTGTCTCCTAGATTCTCATTTTTATGTGATGTGGTTGTATCAGGTGATACTGGGCGAGGAGGTTGCAGCATCAAAGCTCACAATTTTCGACATCACAAAACAGATCTGCGATGCTGTTCAAGCCAGAGCTGAACAAGGTCTCTCATACTTATAACCAAGTCTATGCGATGTTGGAAGTGATTTGGTTTGCTTGTTCACTAACTCTAGTGTTATACAATTGATCTTATACCAGACAAAAACCATGGAGTCATCCTAATTCCTGAAGGCCTGGTAGAGAGTATTCCTGAACTCTATGCTCTGTTGAAGGTAAGAATTCAATACTGGCAATCATTTCCACATTCAATTGAAAAGCTAATAAAACATACTTGTATAAGTAATCACATGTCGTTGTTGATGTCGTGCAATGCAGGAAATTCATGGACTGCTTAAGGAGGGTGTTGATGCTGATAACATTTCTACGAAGCTGTCACCTTGGTCCTCTGCTCTGTTTGAATTTTTGCCTCCATTCATGAAGAAACAGGTTTTAATTGATATAGATTTGCTTGAGACTTTTCTTTGTTTTCATGTAAACGAGTATGAATACTTATACACGTGTCGTCTCTGTTTTGGTGCCAGCTTCTTCTCCGTCCTGAGTCTGATGATTCTGCTCAGCTATCCCAGGTAAGAGGAATGGAAATGCTGGAGCTTCTTTGACTTAAAAATCGTAAATGCTCATTTGATTTCTTGTCCAGATCGAGACGGAGAAACTTCTTGCTTATCTCGTGGAGACTGAAATGAACAAGCGCTTGGTATGCCACCCATTTTTTCACTATTACTTATATTCAAACTGTTCATGAGATGTAAAAGTTAAATCTTTCCTCTGACCGTTTTATTTTTAATATATTGACAGAAAGAAGGGACATACAAAGGGAAGAAATTCAATGCGATCTGCCACTTTTTTGGTTACCAAGCTCGTGGATCTCTACCATCAAAATTCGACTGTGACTATGCTTATGTATGTGATGACAAACTTGACTAGAATAACTATTGCAACTTTGGTATTATCTTTGGATATTGACACTGTGGATCAACAACATGATGTAGGTTCTTGGGCATGTGTGTTACCACATCCTCGCGGCCGGTTTGAACGGTTACATGGCAACTCTGACTAACCTGAAGAGTCCTGTGAACAAATGGAAATGTGGCGCTGCACCAATCACAGTTGAGTTTTGTCTTTATGCTCTTTCTTTCTGATGTTTCAGTTGTACTCACCTAACTCATCTTTCTCCTGTCAAACGTTTTAGGCAATGATGACAGTTAAGCGTTGGTCCCAGAACGCCGGTTCAACTTCAATTGGACGACCTGTAATCCATCCAGCTACAGTGGACTTGAAAGGCAAAGCATACGAGTAAGCTTGCTAAAACCTCTCATACTCTCAAACAAAAGCATTTCAAAATGAATCAAGTGGTTTCATTCGTCTGATGATTTGTTGCAGGCTGTTGAGACAAAACGCTCAGAAGTTGTTGATGGAGGACATGTACAGAAACCCAGGGCCGCTCCAGTACGATGGTCCAGGCGCAGATGCGAAGGCGGTGAGCCTGTGTGTGGAAGACCAGGACTACATGGGGAGGATCAAGAAACTGCAGGAGTATCTGGATCAGGTGAGGACGATAGTGAAACCTGGTTGCTCTCAAGACGTTTTGAAAGCGGCTTTGAGTGTTATGGCTTCGGTGACTGATGTTCTCACCACCATCTCTTCTTCTTCTACCAGCGGTCACCAGTTTGCTTAAAAGAGATGTATTTATATCTATTACATCTCCAAACCTTTTAGCCATTATTTCCCCTCTATTACATCTCCAAACCATTAAGCTTTGAGACTCTTCCATTTTGATTTTTGAATTTGTCTTTTTGAGCTGACGCAACTCTATTGTTTCAAAGTTTGATGAGTTTAGGAAAAGAAGAATCAAAGTTTTTTGCATTTTTGGGTAATGGAGATTACATAGCAATGTGTGTATCTTAGTCAAAATTCAGGCAGGGTATCTATCGTGTCTGTAGTAACAGACCAAATCAAAAACTACCGAACACACACTACCGACAGTTGGTTTGATTTCTTAAACAACTTTGGTCTAAGCTCAATATAATAAGAGAAAATTTACTGATTCTAAGCCCAATCGGCAGAAGAGGACTTTTGTAAAACGATACGAATTCAATTCCTAGCGTTTAGGTCTTCAAGTCGTTCCTTATCGACGCCACACTCTGGCTATTGCTACGGTACTGTTCCTTCCTGACCAAGGTACGTACCATTGGTGTTTCTTTATCTCATCCCGAAACCCTAACTAGTCAATTCAATTCCTCTTCTTTTTCCTAATCGATTTCGGTAGATTTAATAATTTGTAGGAAAATGATCGTATCGCGTATCATCATCGATCGGTCAAAAGGAAAAGATGATTAAGGGCCTGACTGGTTTAAACGCTGCGGTTGCGGTTGCGGGAGTTTGCGGTTGCGGGAGTTTGCGGAAGCGGGAGTTTGCGATTAAAAGCTGTTTGTACGACTGGTACAAGCAATTCATAGCGGTTGCGTTTGCGGGATATTTTTGACTGGTTAACCAGCGGGTGCAAGAGCGGTTTAACCAAAAGTTACTAAAATAAACATAATATATAATTATTTAAAACATTTATAACCATATTATTAATAGATTTTTTTATAAATATATTCTTTGATTAATTTTTAATTTGAAAACTACCCTTATTTTTTTTGGTTTTGAAAAATACACTTTTTATATGTGAAATGATTATTCCTAATTTGAACTTTTTAACTAATTTAACGAAATTCAAATAAGAAATATAAAATATTAAGATTTGATAATAATTTTGTATCATTTTAACATACTAAACCATCCTAATTACCTGTTTAGATTTTTTTTTAAATCAATAAAAATATAAGGTTATTTATATAAAGTTTAAATGGGGTGAGATTAAAGTTGTTTATATAAAGTTTCAAAAATATTTAAATTTTCTAAAGATAAACATTAAAAATGAAAGATATATTTCTCCATTTTTAAATTTTTAATAATTCATAAACTTTAAAATATGTAAAGTTTTAATTTATTTAAAGTTTCATTTGGTTGGAATGTGTATGAGGTTAAGTTGTTTACATAAAGGTCCAAAATATTAAAATTTGTTTCAATTTAACATATACTGAAAAAAAACTTATTAATTCTATTATTTTTTTAATTTTCGTTTTTAATTTGTAATTATTTATTATTTTTTGTTTAAATCACGTCAAAACAGACTTTTTACATTTTAAAAGTGTATTTTTCAAAACAGAAAAAATTAGGTATTTTCGAAATTTTTAAACATAATTAGGGTATTTTTCAAAAAAATATACCCTTATTCCAAATTTGGAGATATTATGTTTTTTTTTTTTTTTTCAAACCGCAACCGCCCGCAACCGCAAACGCTTGCGGAAAGGAGCTTTTGATTTCCAGCGATATAGAGCGGTACAGAGTGGTATAGAGCGGTTCAAAGCGGTTGTCGTGATTGTTATAAAACGCTAAGAACCGCTACGAACCGCAAACGCTGCGTTTGCGGGTGGTAGCGGGAGAACCAATCATCACCTAAGTTCCTCTTTGAATTAAGATTTTCCTTTATGGTTTTAACTTATTCGCTTTCTTTCCTTTTTACTTTAGAACAACTAGTTTGTATCGAGGCCTATATAAAGGGTTAGAAGCAAGTCAACTCTCTAAATCTCTTTCATGAGACAAGCTGGGTCTAAAGAGAGTATAAACAGAAAAGAATGAGTCGAGTAGTTGAAGATACGAGCCAGGTTCAGTCGGGAATGATTGAGCCACCTCCGGAGGTGATGATAGATGTTGAGAAAGTAGCACATATGATGATCAGTAGGGGTTTGAAGAAGCACCTGTCGACCCCGATGGCGAGCTGTAGAAAACGTCGGCGGCGCTCAGGTCGCAGGCATTCATGGAAGTATCTCAAGTACAGCTTTATGGATGTCTCCGATCCTTATCACGCATATTTCCTGAAAACGAGCAAGAAGTACGCTTATCAGGACAGAGATAGGGCTCTCCATGTTGACATGAATCCGTATAACCGCACCGATCTCGAGGTCCCTCCCTGCAGGAGCCGGCCTCCTCCTTTGAAGGGTTTTTCAGTTCCTCAAGGGATCACACTCAAGGAGCTTGGTCTTATCAAGATCACTGCTCAGTTTGTGGCCCGGTTCGGTGCGGGTCATTTCTGGACTGTTATTTCTGAAGAAGTGATTGAGAAGCCTCTTTTTAGCTTTCTCAAGACGACTGACAAGAATTACAGTTTCTACTATGGCCTTGTCGCTGCGTATCAAAGAGTCTTGAAGCTTCGCATGGTTCTTCATATGGAGGAGAATACCTTTGCCGACGACTTTTACCACTGTCTTCACTTGGACAAGCTTGATAGTGGTGATGATGATGATGATGATTTTGTTGATATTGATTTGCTCGCCTTTGTGGGTGGTCTTGATTTTTTCACTCACATGGACCTCCTCGACGACCCTCAAGTTACCATCATGCCACCACCACAACCCGTTTCAGCTCTGTCGACCATGCATCCTCCACTAACATGTCGCGAGTCACGTGTAGCCGATGATGAAGAAGCAGATCCTGGATGTTCTATGAAGCTCACACTCAAAGAGCTTGACATTATGAAGCTCACAGCACAGTTTGTGGCGCGCTACGGACAGTGTTTCCGTCTTGCATTGATGATGAGAGTGCTTACGAGCCCTACCTTTGGGTTTATGTTTTGCCCCAAGGATCAGAGTGACTCAGAGGATCCAGCTGCGGTCAGGTTCCATATATTCAGCAAGCTTGTTGTTGCGTATTCAAACATATTACTCCCTTGCAACAAGTTTGATGACTCTCCAGCCACCCTTGTTGGTGGTGCCTTTCTCCTCCGTCTTCAACTTGAGAAGCTGGAACATGGAGTGGAGGAGACGACGACGGAGGAGGCTATGCTTGATTTGCATGCCTTTGCGGCTGGTAGTGTTGACTATTTTGCACACATGGACGATGATTACTATTCTCTTATCATGGCGCCACCTGAACGTCTTTCGGTTATGATGAACCGGCCTACACATAGTACTGTGCTTGTGCCTTTTGCACTGGCTCGCCGTGTTCCAAGCTCCTCGTGGTCCGTCCTTAAACGTGCAATTCCTCCATGGATCACACCCGAGGAGCTTGCGGTTACCAAGCTCACAGCCCAGTTTACGGCGCGGTATGGGGCTTGTTTTGAGCGGGCGTTGATGGGCAGACTGTCTACGGAGCCTTGGCTCGACTTTATGAGGCTTGATGAAATCGAGACTGCTTTACGTTGGTTGCGTGTTGTCTACTCCAAAGTGTTAAAGCCTTGCAAAAAGGCCACGGAAGGTGATGATGATTGTACGGCCACGGAAGGTGATGATGAATGTACGGCCATGGCTCTTGAGTTGTTCTTCCACTGTCTTCAGTTGGAGAGGCTGAAAAAGGAGGGAGTGGAAACGAAGACGGCTGTGATTCAGTTGGATGCGTTTATGAGCGGTGTTGACTATCTGGCTTACATGAACAAGAATCTTGACTATTCTGATAGCCTGCCTCTACCTCAGCGTCTTTCAGTGATGATGAGCCAGGTTCCTCCTGATGGTGTTCGAATAAGACCTCTCTTGTCTCTTCCCTCTACACGTCTTCGCCAGGACCTCACACCCAAGGACCTTGTTGTTATCAAGCTCACAGCTCTGTTCGCGGCGCGGTACGGGATGGTCTTCTGTCGGGATTTGTTGAGGAAGCTGGTGGTTTTGAAAGCCGAGTATAAGTTGTTGTTTAAGTTTATGGAGCCAAGTCATACATGGTTCAAGCTTTATAGTGTGGTTGTTGTTGCGTATTCCAAAGTAGTTTTAGAGCATGCTTATGCGGAAGAGATCGTTCTTGAGAATTTTTTCAGCTGTCTTGAATGGGAGGAGGGAGGAGAGACGGCTATGGTTGTTGATTTGTATGCTTTTGTGGAGGGTGTTGACTGTTTCTCTCAGATTGAGGATGATAACTATTCTGTTCTCATGGGGAACCACCTAGTAACACAAATAAGTATGCATGGGAATGTCTTGTCGCCACCACAGCCAAAGAGACAAAAGCTTGACGAGTAATCTTGTGGTTCAAAAGACCAGTTCCCTTCTCCGGTTATAGGATGTGGGAGCACAAGACATCCTAACACCTTCTTGTCTTTTTGAGCTGACGCAACTCTATTGCTTCAAAGTTGAGTCTAAGAAAAGAATTACATTTTTGGGGAATGATAAAAATATGTTACAAAATTATAAAAATTGTAAATTTAATATAAATTTAATTTTCAATTTTTTTTCGTCAATATTTGAGACAAGGTTAATGCTTTGAAAATGTTTCATTTCAAAGCAAGCATAGATAGCATTAGCGGCAGAGGCGTGCCTAGTGAATAAATTTATAAACACTAGGAGAGAACCCGCGCAATGCGCGGGTTTATTAAACCAAATATTTTTAATTTAATTATTCAGAACATTAGATTCGAATATATCATTTGTTTTTTACTCGAATATATTAGATTCTGTAAGTTTTGCATTTTGTTTTTTTTCATATAGTTTTAAAATTTAGTTGTTATTTACGTGAAATCTTATATAGACTCATAGTGAATAGTTTCATATGTTTTTTGTTCTTTTATACAATAATTTATCGACTGGAGTTGAGTTCTTCTAATTTTCCTTATACTAACAATCATTATAGATTGATTATTATCCTACAGACTCATAGATAATAATAATTGCAATCCTTTTTAAAAGGAAATGAAATGAGCTAATTAGCCAGTAAGCCCATTTAAAGCTACCATGGAAACGAAGAGGTCCGATAAATAATCAAGCCCATCAAAACGAACAGCATTACACATAATTTTGATTTAGATTTTTTTTTAATACGAAAACGACGTCGTTTTGGTGTAAGACGAAAAAAAAAAAGATAAAGCGCAAAACGACGTCGTTTTGGTGTAAGACGAAAAAAAAAACGCAAAACGACGTCGTTTTGGTGTTAGGCGAAAAAAAAAAAAAAAAAAGAGAGTGCCACGTGTCAAAGGCTGGAGATTGTCCAAGCCTTATTAGTTATGTAGATTGGCCTACAACATACAATTTGTATACAAATCTTAAGAGGCATACAGAAAAATAGTTTTATATAGTCCATCGGTGAAAAAAGATATGTCCTTGATGAGTTGTAAACTTAAAACTATACCTAGATCACTATCAATATCCTTATTACAACTTGTTTATTGCCCCTAACTTAGATCAACTAAATAGCAATTATATCCACATTTTCGAAAAAAAAAATCTTTGAATTCTTCCTTTTAAACAATATATATATATATACTTCTTCTTTATTTAGTAATCCTTTTTATTTTATTTTCAACATGTTACTTTACAAGGTAAATTATTTATATAAATACTTTATTTGGTATGCTATAACTCTATATTTATAAACTAAACATAAAACAAGAAAACTCTATTTATGTAAACTTTTCTATCAACTCAGCTTGTCCTAAGAGAAAATTTCTAGGCCCAATCAGCAGAAGTTGTCTATTGTAAAACGACACGAGGACCTTTTCCTTTTCCCTTATAATTCCAAGCGTTTAGGGTCTTCAAGTCGTTCCTTCCTGGCCAAGGTACGTGGCTACGTGCTGTTGGTGTTTCTTTATCTCTTTCCGAAACCCTAACTAAGTCAATTCAATTCCTCTTCTTTTTCCTAGTCTATTTCAGTAGATTGTTGGGGCTATCTTCCTGCTAATAATTTGTAGAAAGATTATTATCATCGATCGGTCGACAAAAGGAAAAGATGATTAAGTTTCTCTTTGAGTTAAGATTTTCCTTTTTGGTTTGAACTTATTCGCTTTCTTTCTTTTTAACTTGCCTATATAAGGCGATAAAAGCAAGTTAACTCTCTAAATCTCTTTCATGAAACAAGCTAGGTCTAAAGAGATAAACCGAAAAGAATGAGTCGAGTAGTTGTTGAAGATAAGAGCCAGGTGGTTCAGTCGGGAATGATTGAGCCACCTCCGGAGGTGATGAGAGATGTTGAGAAAGTAGCACATATGATGATCAGTAGGGGTTGGCAGACGCACCTGTCGACGTTCCAGATTGCGAGAGAACTTCGGCTCAGAGGTCGCAGGCACTCATGGAAGTATCTCAAGTACAGCTTTTTGGATGTCTCCGATCCTTTTCACGCATATTTCCTGAAAGCGTGTAAGAAGTACAAGTACGCTTATCAGGACAGATATGGGACTCTCAAACCTGACATGAATCCGTATAACCGCACCGATGTCGAGGTCCCTCCCTGCAGGATCCGGCCTCCTCCTTTGAAGGGTTTTTCAGTTCCTCAAGGGATCACACTCAAGGAGCTTGGTCTTATCAAGATCACTGCTCAGTTTGTGGCCCGGTACGGTGCGGATCATTTCTGGACTGTTATTTCTGAAGAAGTGATTGAGAAGCCTCTTTTTAGCTTTCTCAAGACGACTGACAAGAAGTACAGTTTCTACTATGGCCTTGTCGCTGCGTATCAAAGAGTCTTGAAGCCTCGCACCGTTCTTCATACGGAGGAGAATAGGTTTGCCGACTGCTTTTACCACTGTCTTCACTTGGACAAGCTTGATGGTGGTGATGATGATGATGTTGTTGTTGATATTGATTTGCACGCCTTTGTGGGTGGTCTTGATTTTTTCACTCACATGGACCTCCTCGACGACCCTCAAGTTACCATCATGCCACCACCCCAACCCGTTTCAGCTCTGCCGACCATGCCTCCACTAACATGTCGCGAGTCACGTGTAGCCGATGATGAAGAAGAAGCAGTTTATGGGGCTGTGAGGCTCACACGCAAGGAGCTTGGCATTATGAAGCTCACAGCACAGTTTGTGGCGCGTTACGGACAGTGTTTCCGTCTTGCGTTGATGATGAGAGTGCTTACGAGCCCTACCTTTGGGTTTATGTTTTGCCCCAAGTATCAGTTGGACTTAGAGGACCCAGCTGCGGCCAGGTTCCAGACATTTGGCGTGCTTGTTGTTGCGTATTCAAACATATTACTCCCTTGCAACAAGTTTGATGACTCTCCAGCCACCCTTGTTGATGCCTTTTTCCTCCGTCTTCGAGGAGTGGAGGAGACGACGACAACGAAGGAGGCTCTGCTTGATTTGCATGCCTTTGTGGCCGGTAGTGTTGACTATTTTGCACACATGCAGGATTATAACTATTCTACTAGCATGGCGCCACCTGAACGTCTTTCGGTTGTGATGAACCGGCCTACACATAGTACTGTGCTTGTGCGGCTTTCATGGGCCCCTATGCATGAACGTGTTGCAAGCCGTCTTCCATACCCCACGTGGTCCGTCCTTAAACATGCAATTCCTCCATGGATCACACCCGAGGAGCTTGCGATCACCAAGCTCACAGCCCAGTTTACGGCGCGGTATGGGACTTGTTTTGAGCGGGCGTTGATGAGCAGACTGTCTACGGAGCCTCGGTTCGACTTCATGAGGTTTGATGAAATCAAGGGAGAAGCTTTGCGTGGGTTTCGTAGGGTCTACTCCGCAGTGTTAAAGCCTTGCAAAAAGGCCACGGAAGGTGGTAGTGATGATGATTGTACGGCCACGGAAGGTGATGATGATGAATGTACGGCCATGGCTCTTGAGTTGTTCTTCCACTGTCTTCAGTTGGAGAGGCTGAAAAAGGAGGGAGTGGAGACGACGACGGCTGTGATTCAGTTGGATGCGTTTATGAGCGGTGTTGACTATCTGGCTTACATGAATAAGAATCTTGACTATTACGCTACCCTGCCTCCACCTCAACGTCTTTCAGTGATGATAACGAGCCAGGTTCCTCCTGATGGTGTTCGACTAAGACCTCTCTTGTCTCGTCCCTCTATACGTCTTCGCAAGGACCTCACACCCAAGGACCTTGTTGTTATCAAGCTCACAGCTCTGTTTGCGGCGCGGTATGGGATGGTATTCTGTCGGGATTTGTTGAGGAAGCTGGTGGTTTTGAAAGCCGAGTATAACTTGTTGTTTAAGTTTATGGAGCCAAGTGATACATGGTTCAAGCTTTACGGTGTGGTTGTTGCGGCGTATTCCAAAGTAGTAAAAGAGCATGCTTATGCGGAAGAGATCGTTCTTGAGTATTTTTTCAGCTGTCTTGAATGGGAGGAGGGAGGAGAGACGGCTATGGTTGTTGATTTGTATGCTTTTGTGGAGGGTGTTGACTGTTTCGCTCAGATTGAGGATGGTAACTATTCTGCTCTCATGGGGAACCACCTAGTAACACAAATAAGTATGCATGGGAATGTCTTGTCGCCACCACAGCCAAAGAGACAAAAGCTTGACGAGTAATCTTGTGTTTCAAAAGACCAGTAAACAGACCAAATAAAAAACTACCGAACACAACACTACCGACAGTTGGTTTGATTTCATTAACAATATCGAGCCTAGATTCATGAAAGTGTTTAGGAGGTCGCTGGAGGAGTTAAGGCAACCATGCCAAATTTAGTAAATAAGTCTCATGAAGAAAATGCCCAAAAAGTTTGTAAAACATATTATCTTACTTTACTAAATAGATGTTTATGCTTGTAGTTCTGAGGCAACGTTTTGTTTCTTGGTGTCTTAACATATCTGATATAATATCCTTGATCTCATTTACAGTAGTTTTGGTTTCTCTTTTATTAAGAAAGGTATTCTACTTAGTTTTCTAAAATCACAAATAAAAAATTTTAAAATCATTTCACATAACTCCCAACTATTTCACTAACCACATTTAGATATTGAATTATTTGATTTGTGTTTTATTACATAAGTCAACATATGAGAAAACTCTTTACTCAAGTATCACTTTTCCCATTTATGATCTACGCACAAATTTTATACATTCGAACTTCAATGTCAAATTAGGATGTAGATTTTTGTTTTTACCGAAGATAAAGATTTAATACAGCATATCTCTGTAGAATAAATATCGATTTGCATACAATAATCAACAACTAAATCATGTTTCTCATATATTTTGGGATCACCATTCAACTGAATTCTACTAGCTCTGCTAGTTCTGAAACTTTTTATTTTCTCTCCATTCCTCATTCAAGATCCTACTAATTTGCAGCCAGCTTTCAAACTTTTCCACTTCTTTCATTTTCCTCCTTCAATTTGCTAATCTAAAAGCAAATATGGAATCTGTTACTTACTGTCTAAATTTTCCTCCGAATTTGGTGACTAGTGTTGCAAATTTTTACATGAACACATTTAGGGTTGTGATGAAGAGCAGCTATTGCTCCAAGATTAGGGGTGGTGATGCATTTTTGGCCAGTGACTACATGATGAACAACATTGAGCTTGCAATATCACATAACACCATCACGGTGTTTGGAATTGTGAATTATAATTTACATAGGTGAATTGTGTTTTTTTTTCTAATGTTTTATGCTTAGATATGTATTTATTTTGTCTATTATTTTTTTTTTGTTTTTTTGCTTTTGTTAGTGATATTTTTGTTGCCCTCAGTATGTCTCGGTGGAGGACTCCGGTAGGGGAATAGTCAGAAAAAATCTAGATCCTTATGGATTTAGATGGTCAGAAGATAGAGATGTCACTGTAGTGATGGGCGTTCTAACTATGCGTTTTTTTTTTTTTTTTTCTACTTTTAATAATTTAAGATATTTTTTTTCTCTATGTTTTTACTCATTCGCAATCCCGCAAACCCTAATTCGCATTGAGTGCAGTTGAAGCCACAAGAAGAATGTAGGCCAAACATTGAGTGCAATAGAAGCCAGAGCGTAAGTCCAACGCAAAATCACTGTTTTCATTTGCACATTATTTACACGTCATTTAAACAGGTGTGCATTAGTGCAACGAAAAGCTCACTACAAAAGCAAACAAAAACAAATTTGATAGACAAAAGAAACACTGATCTAAGCATAAATACATAAAAAAACACAATTCACATGTTTGAATTTGAAATTCCCTCACCACACACCATGATTAAGCTAGGAGCCTCGTTATGCACTTTTAGTATATGTGGCTTAAATTCTTCATGTGGCTTAACTTCTTTTGGGCCTTATAGCAATATCGATAGTCTTTTGGGTCTGTTTGGCCAACGTTTCTTCACGTGGCTTAAATCCACACACTATCGATATTGTTAAATGTATTGTTTTGTTCCATTTATTCATGTATTTGCTCCTCTATTGTATTGTGTACACCGTCGTCAATAGAGAACGCATAATTTCTTAAAAAACGTCGAAAGCGAAAAGCATTTGATACAAATTTAGGAACAGAAAGAAACACAATCAAAGGTTTAAACGAAGGAGGGTTTCACAGAGTGGGGAAGCACATTAGAGATATGCTTGTAACTTGAAAAGAAGCACAAGAAAGTCTTCAGAGAGAGGACTTTTCCGGCAGATCATCAAAGTAAGGATGCTCCATAGCCATCTTCGCTGAGATCCGTTTCGCTGGCTCGTACTGCAGCATTTTCTGTTCCGAGGAAGTATAAGGCAATTATTAGTTCGTCTGTTGAGTGTGTTTTCTGATAAAACTAGTTTAAAAGAACTTTCTTTGGACTTACAGAGAGAAGATCAAGTCCAGCTTCATCGAGTTTTGGAACAGACGTGGAGAGGCTCAACGGCTTCCACTGTGGGTACTCGTGCCAGTTCTTGAGTGTGCTCACTCCTGGCCACATTTCTTCATTTGGTGTCCCTAGCAACCTGAGTTTTCACCAGAGAAGAGAGCGATGAAATTCAAAAGGGGCTGTGTTGTGTTTATTCAGTAAGAGAGTGAAGAATGAGGGCAAAGGCTTACCTGAAGATATGGAGGAGCTGTTGGAGCTCAGAGTCTCCAGCAAAGATTGCTTGGTTGGTCACAAGCTCACCTGTAAAACGGTAAAGAAACAATGTTAGTTATTGTATAGTTTAATGACTAGAGACTGAGAGTGAATCCACGGAGTGTAAATAGAGAAATATGTACCAAAGATGCAGCCAACAGACCACATATCCACAGCTGTAGAGTAGTGAGTGGCCCCAAGAAGAACTTCTGGAGCTCTATACCATAGAGTTAATATCTGTTTGCAATCAACACCCAATGTTAAAAACCGGTTTATACAATGTAAAGACTATAGAAGAAAGAGTGACATTTTGTGTTACCTCATGGGTATACTTCTTCATTGGCAGAGTGAAGGCTCTGGCTAAACCAAGATCTGCAATTTTGAGCCTCATTGTCTTTGGATCCATCAAGAGATTGTGAGGCTTAAGATCCCTGCAATTACACAAGAAAAACAATGAAGTAAGAGACTGAAGATCTATCTATCTTACTCGAAACAGGGGGAAAAAACAGAGAACAATTTTACCTGTGCAACACACCGTGACCATGGCAAAATGCCATTCCTTTGCATAGTTGATACATCAAGCTCTGAGAGAAAATTTCAGAATGTTGTATTGAGAGAAAGATATAACAGTAGCATAAGAAAAAGAAGAAGCTCCAAAAGGTTAAAAACCTTGATAGTTTGGGGAGGAATGTTCCCTCCAGTCTGACGGAAACTTCTGATGTATTTCTTGACGTCAGTGTCCATGTACTCGAAAACCAGGTACAGTACAGTTTTTCCTTCTTTGCTTAGTCCTTGCTTAACGTCCATCAACCTGAGAAGATAGATGACACAATGAGGTCTGCGTAGAGAAGCGAAAGAGACATTTGATTCTGCAATCTCAAACTAGGATTCGAGATCCAGTGAATTGATAACGAAGAAGAATCTATAGGAGATCAAACTCAACATCAACAATTCACCAAACAGATTAAGCACCTGGAAATTGAAATTCGAATCGAAATTGAGATCTAATCTAACACTAGGAAAATCGATGAATCTAGGCTACACTATACAAACCCTAAAGTGAGCAAAATTGGGGGCGATTTTCGATTTCGATTTTCAAGGAATCGGCGGTGAAGGGAGTAACCTGACGATGTGGGGATCGCGAGCGAGCATGCGCAAGATGGAGATCTCGCGGAGGGTGGTAGAAGGGACGCCTTCTTCGTCCTCATGGAGACGAGTCTTCTTGAGAGCGACGATTTTGCCGGTAGCTTTCTCTCTGGCTCTGTAAACTTTCCCGTAAGTCCCTTCCCCAACTTTCTCAAGCTTCTCGAAAGCGTCCATGGCGGAAACAGCTATCACTTCCTCCTTATCCATCTCTCTTTCTCTCTCTCTCTCTCTCTGGAATTCTTCTTCTCCGGCGGCTCTCTCTCAGTGTAGATCGGTTATATGATTAAATGAGATTACAAATAATTTAAAATGATTCATAGATTCCTTAACACTCGACTTTTGACAACGGATCGATTATTCGAATTTCAAACTGGAGCGGTCTTTTTTTGTTAACTGCCTCTTTTATTTTAGTTTTATATAATTGCACTTGTCCCTCTTTAGTTTTATATAATTGCACTTGTCCCTCTTTAGTTTTACATAATTTCACTTGTCCCTCTTTAGTTTTATATAATTGCACTTGTCCCTCTTAAGTTTTATTTTGATCCCTTTATGTTTTGTTTGTTTTTAGAACAGTGATCTTGGATTCAATTCTTCAGAATTATGTAGTGGATGTTGGGATAAGCTTGTCTCACCTAATTTGAATAAGTTGAGGAATCAAATTGTGAATCTGAAAACTGAAAATGAGAGTCACGAAAAAGAAGAAAAATAATGAAATGAAGAAGCATGTGGAAAATTACATGTCCAATTATTAACTGGACAATCGAAGTTTATAGATTTATCATTTTAGTTTAGAGATAATATAAATTTTGTTTTATCCCTAGAATAAATGCTAAGTGGATTAACTACAACTACATATAAATATGTATGAATGCGAGAGCAAAAATCATCTTTCTTGCTTATAATCACAAATTTCATCAATGAAAAAATGAGTAAATCTTAAGATGGAATATGATTTCCAGAATTTACTCATGTATTACTGATTTTTACTGGTGTCATATGAGAAACTCAAATGTAAGTATAGGATTTTTCGTTTCGTTTGGGATTGATAAGCAAAATTCGCATTTCTCAATACGTTGGTATGTACTATGTATGTACATGAACTTGATGTGTATAATTCTTTAAGTTTTCATAGTGTTTTTATTACTAAAAAAATGGAAACTTGAACTCTGAACATTTTTCATTACATGTCTAGGGAACTGCATTAATCAATACAATACATCAATAAAAGAACAAGTGTAACTGCATTAACATCAATACATCAGTAACTTGGAAGAGGCGCTTACGGTTCCGTTTACCTAGCCACAAGTAAAACTGACGGAACAGAGAGAGCCATCAAAACTGCAGAGATTTCACGCGCTACAAGCTGATACGTTGGTACATGAACTTGATGTATAATTCTTTAAGTTTTCATAGTGTTTTTATTACTAAAAAAATGGAAACTTTAACAAATCTGAATGTTTCATTGTTTTTTATTACTTGAAAGAAAAATGAAACTTGAACTCTGAACACTTTTCAATAACTACATTAATCAATACAATCAATAACAGAAAAAAGAACTATTCAAAATCCAAAACAACTTGATCTTCCTCAAACTAGAATCGCTTGTCAAATTGTCCACATTTGCACGGCAGAGAGGGCAAAAGTTATGCCCAGTAGCGAATCTAAAAACTATATTTAGTGGGAGCAAAAATAAATATAACAAGATATTTAAGGAAACGTATACAAAGGATTTTAAGGTTTTAATTAAGTTAACTAATTTAATATAAAATTATGGTTTACGATCATCAAACTAAAATATGGTCTTATAGCCTAAGTAAAATAACTTTTAAGTTGTAGAACTTTGGGCTTGAAATTGATTTAAAAGTGTGATGAGAGCAAAAGGTATGTATTTTAATGGGGGCATAATTTTAGATTCATAAAAATTACATCAATTTTTGTATAAAATCAATAATTTCCTCTTGTCTAACGGAGATTCGCCCCTGGTTATGCCTCATTATTCACTCATCGATACAACCTCCATGAAATTGATGGGAACAATATAACAACGATATCTTGATTTCATTGTTGTTGTCATCGTCCTCACGCAAACCCTCTAAACAGATGGCACATGTTTCTTCTCCTTGAAAACACACTTCTTGAATGTAAACCAATTTAGTGTTCATGCGATAAGGTTTGCGTGAACTACATTAATCCGATACAATACATCAATAGCATAACTATTCAAAATCCAATTTCACTGTCAACAATTTAATCTTCCTCAAACTTGGAACAAAATGGCGTGTCAAATTCTCCACAGTTCCACGGCAGAGAGGGCAAGAGTTATGTCTTACTAACCACTCGTAGACACATTTTCCATGAAACTGATGGAACAATACAACAACGATATCTTTATTTTATTGTCGTTGTCATGCAAACCCTCTAAACCCTAATTTGACATTGAAGTTCAAATGTATTAAATTTGTGCATATATCATAAATGGAAAATGTTATACTTTTTATTATTTGGTAGTATAAAATAAGAGAATAAAAACATTGTTAAAGAATAGATCATCAAAGAAGGAAATATCAAACTTTTCTTTAGTTCGAGAGTGTTCCATCCCATATATGTTTTCAAAGGCTAACACAGTCCAGCGGAGAACAGCTAAATAACGATCAAACGTAAAAAAAAACTAAGTGAGGCTAAATGAGCAACAACACAGTAATGGATCTTTAAAGAAAGGAAAGCAAGACAAACTCAAACTCACTTGTCTTAGGAAAGATCTTAGATCCTGAAAAATATAATACGGTTCCATATATGTTAGGGTTTTCGTTAATCAAATGAGTGTGATACTCTTCCAAAGTATTATATCTTTGTATAAAAAAAAGAAATTACAAAATTACAAAAATACAAAGTCACAAGAAGAGCAAATTGCAAAAAATTAAAAAAATACAAAGTCATCATAAGAGTAATAGTAGGAAATGCATCTGTTACACCATAGGTTGTCAAACCTAACTCAAAAGCTTTCTTATTGCTTTAATTCAACAAGGTCAAGGTTTCAGGAGCAGTACAAAGAGGCATCTCATGATCTACAAATTCTGAACAACAGATTTGACAACGCTCTGCCACTAAATTATAATTTGTCTGGTTTTTGTACAAAGATAAAAATCATTTATTTTTAATATATGGTTAGTGTTTTAAGAACAACGTTAGAGAATGTAAAATTTTACATCACTCTGGAACTGAGCATGAAGCTTCACAACTCTTTCATTCTTGTTACATTTATCTTTTTTCATACTTGATAATGCATTTAATTAATTTTGTATTTTGTTTTCATTAGTGTAGGTGTTAGTGTAGGTGAGATGATATTAAAACTTATAATAATAAGACAACATACATTTTTTATGCATTAGATAAGAGAGCTTTGGGTTTCTTATTAAAGTCGTGATACGATAGAGTTCATAACTCATCCGTCATTCTCCTTTTTTAAAGAGATATGATATTGAAAATCGTTTGCTATAATATAGCTCTGATTCTGCTTATGTTTCTTACCATTTGTTTTTTTGTTTATTCCACATCTTTTTGAATTGGATAGTAAGACGATAACACTAGTTTTGCAAAAAAAGAAGAAAAATCTAATTTTATAACGATGGCTTAAGAAGACCATGTATGTATCTAATTTTACATAGTCATCATTACATAGTCCATATATTTTTAATCTTATTTTTGATAATACCATCATGCGTTTGTTTATCTGATTTTTTTTATTCTATGCATGAGATAAAATAGCTTAGGTTTCTTATGAAAGGATTGATATGGGGGAGTTCACATTTCATCTGTCTTTCTCCATTTTTGATGAGGTATGATATAAACTTTTGAAAAAAAAAACAAAAAAGTTTGCTATGATATATATAATGCGATTCTCACTATTTTTCTTAGCTTTCAATGTTTATAAGAAATACATATATATTCTGTATTGACAACGGTGTACACAAGTACATGATCCAATCATCTTGAAAGTCCAAGAAACAATTCTTGAATAAATGAAACAAAACAATAAATATCATAACAACAATATCGAGTGTACGTATTTAAGCCACAAACCACATGAAGAACGTAGGCCAAACAGTGAGTGAAATCGAAGCCAAAGCGTAAGTCCAAAGCAGAATCACTGAGCATTCACTCTCTCCAGCTCCAAATAACTGTGTTATTGTACCTGCCAAAGTATAAGTGATCAAAATCAGTTTCTTGATACACTCGAGTACCTAATGTTTCCAATTAGTAAGTGATTGCAACAACGAACGAACCTAGATTCATAGCTGGTGGCACAGCATACTGAAGAAGAAGAACGAATTGATACAACGGTTCTGAGGTGATCAGATTCAACTTATATGCTCCTCTAACGATCAAAACACCGCTTATTGGCAGGAAAATGTAACGTGCAACCACAACTCCGATGATGGTAGATTTTTTCATCCCTGAACTTCTCATACCTTTGAGTAGGTTTCCTCCAATAATCAGTGTCATAGCAGGAATGGCTCCATCTCTTTCAACCAAAGCAAGAAACAAAAAACTCGATTAAGCATTTCAGTGAGTGAGTTTCTCTAAGATTATATAAGTCTTATTAAACCGTATAACAATTACCCGACTAGGGTTACTGAGTCTTGAAGCACACGGAGAGGAGCTACGTTGCCGATTATTAGCTTCCTTAATGGACTAATCAGCCCAACCACAAGCGCAATAATCTGATAAAACAGAACAAATTAATAAAAATACAAGAAAAGATTACAGTAGTGTGAATGAATGAACATTATAATCACATAATCACAAACCGCAGCAATAGTTGATGGAGCAAATATTGTCTTTAAGTTGACTTTCTCCGACAGTGAAGCTAGTCTTCGCTTGACTTTTTCCCACTTCGAAACCTGTGTCACACAGAGAGACACAAACACAAAGTTACTACCAAAAGGATTAAACTCTAATGAAATGAGGAGTACTTGATTGAAAAAAGTGATGAGACACCTTAAGGTTGTCTTCTTCTTCTTTGGAGGAAATCAATGGGACTTTGTAGCTGTCGTCGTAGTTTGATTCAATAGAAGGTTGTGTTTCACTCGGAGGGTTTGATGATAGTACCCGCATCAGATTGTATATGTAAGTCCATATGTAAACTGATCCCATCTGATAATAAATATTACAAGCATCATGATACATATATATATATATATACACTTATAAAACCTTATAAAAAGAAAAAATACTTACAGCCATGGAAAGTGCAACATAACCCATTCCATATTTATTGCAACTCTCTGGATCTCCAAATGGACCATCTTTTTCTTTGCAGATTGCTGGGATAATGATTAAAGGCATATTTCCCAAATTCCCTGTTTTTTTGTTTTATTTAAATTTCATCATCATCAAAAAGCAAACAAATAAAAAACAGATAATTCTGAAAATTGTTAAAGGTTTTTTCACCAGCAGCACAGCAAGAAATAATGAGACCACGAAGATGAGAAGGAGGCTTAGTGATGACAACAACAACCAAGCCTAACAACGAACCAATGAGGAATGTGAGCAGAACATTAACCGGCATAAACCACCTGATGATGAACAACACAAAATATATCATTTTCATTACATAACCAACCATAAGAGATAATCAAGATCTGAAAATCTCAAGTCTAAGTCCATTGACTTACATTTTCACCAAGCTTTCATATGTAACACTATCAGCTAAACGGCTTCCAATAAGCGAAGGACTAAACACATAGAACACAATCTATGTAACAAAAAGAAAAGGAATAATGAAATTTTAATTCGAATCTTTTAGATTTATTAAAGGCAAAGAGAGTTAAAATTAAAGTTATAATAAACGAACGTTGTTTAGATATTTGCGAGCATCATGTCCGAGAAGATTGACGCCATCGAGAGCCATATAAACTCCAACTATTGTTATCAACAGAATCTCCACCACTGGTTTCGATGAAGTTATGAACAACTCCAAAAGCTTCATCTTTGCTTTCTCAAAGCTACGAATCTGCAAAACATAAATCAAGATTTACATACATGATTTCGCTAATTGCAGTTTAATTGAGTAGAATCAAAGACGAAAACAGAGCTCCAAATTACTAGAGTTACCAGAAATTATTTTTCTTCTCTGGTAACGATAAATCGAAGCAAATTGTACAATCACCGTTTTATTCCGCCGTAGAATCAAGAAAATCGAAACTCTCTCTCTCTCCCTCTATGAAAGAGAGAGTATCTCCAAATTTTGGCGTACAAGACTTGCATGAGAGAGTCACTGCTCTATTTAATATGTTAAATTATTGTCATCATTAACAATTAGAGAAACATAATAATTTTTTTTTAAAGGCTGAGAAACTTTAACTGACTATTCCCTTTTTCATGTAAAGGAAAATATTATTCTATGCATGTGGGGTGAGAATTTCATATTTTATTCTAGAGAATATTAATAAACTTTTTTTTGTCAAACATAAAAAAAAGATAAATCAATATTGTAGTTTTGTTCCACTTGGTATCCGCATGAGCCGGGTCAGACATGTACACATAACAAATCACTTTTACGGTTTTACCAAAACACATAACAAAAAGTTCTAAATCATGATAAGGAGCTACATCTATATATAGAATTTTATTACACGTATATATAGATCATGCTTTCTGTAGATTGTTAATAATTTAATGTATTTCTTGAAAAAGGGAAAAGCAATTCCACAAGATACACGAACGTGTGTGTATAAAAAATACTACTTCAATTATTTTCCTTGGTTAGAGAATAGAGAGATACAAAAAGAGAAAAGGTCAAGCGGTTCTTTGTTTTGTTTCCTAGATTGTCGTATTACATGCATGAATACAAGATACGAATCAGACTACGTCCAAGAAAATTTATATCGTACCGTCGTCATGCCTTTCGTCACAGTCTCATCACAGAGATTGCGAAGTGTGACCATGTTAAATCCGTGGTTCTTGCCGGATCTATAGAGAAATGTTTATCGGATCACGGATGGGTGAAGAACGATAATCGATGATTATTTTGTTGAGTTTTTAAATACAATTTATATTTATATTCTGTGGAATCGTTTTCATAGATTAAAAATGTTTCGGGTATATTAACTTATGAAAGTGGTACCACTGGGTTCTATTTAGGTGAAGTTCTCTATTTTTATGTGGACGATATACGCTTACGAGGAAGGCAGGAACAATCAGGATGTATATGTGGAAAGTCATAAACGTGGTGTAATAAGTCATTTACATGAATATATTAAACATATACTATAACATTAACTTGTCAAAAGTGTCAGCAAAATGATTAGCTGGAGTATTTGTTAATAAGGGTCAACATGTCGGGGTTAATAAAGATGACTAATGACTTGACATGGATTACTTTTTCTTTTTGTGCAGCTGACTTAGTTAATTTTATGTTGACAGATAAACAAAGGAATTATAGGTTACAGCAGAGCTTTTCTATGTGAAGCGAGAAAATAAAAACACAAAATAAAAGAGCATAATCATTTAAGTGAATCAATCATTACCTAGAGAGCTTTAACTGAGAGTTTCATTAAAGTAAATAGACTGATAGTGTACGATTCATACAAAAGCGTAAGAAATTTAATACTCCCTCCGTTTCAAATTAGTTGTCGTTTTGGCAAAATGTATCTGCAAATTTTTGAATGTATCTGTAATGCAAAATACGTTCGGATACGTCCAAAAATTTGCAGATACATTTTCCCAAAACGACAACTAATTTGAAACGGAGGGAGTACTAACAGAAAATAAAATCAAACGAATAGATGATGATACTGTACGTGGTGGTCTTAATACTTGTGTGGAAGTAGTAGAACAGCTAGTGAGTGTACCAACAGAAAACACTGTGTGTGTTTTTGTGTGTGTGAGCAGTGTCCACAAAATTCAGTTCAATTATTCGTCTGATATTTTTCTTTCTAGCCAAACCAATAATTGTTCGTATGTTGCTTTCCATCAGTCGAATAATTAGAAAAAAAAACCTACTAAAATTAAAAGAAATATTTACATCATATCATCGGAAGTTAGGTGAAAGCTATAATTATTTTTCGTAGAAAACGAAAATTGGGTGAACCGTGAACGACCAATACAGAAAATGCAGACTTGCTACTTTTCTTTATATGCCAAAGACTTCGTTAAAAAAAAAAGAGATATAGCTTTACTAAATGTTAGACTAATTTTTATTCATAGTAATTCCATATCAATACAACTCTATTGATAATAACAATCAATAGATTGTAAATATATTGTTAAATCATATTTCCAGTTAGAATTTCTAAGCTGTTTTACTTACTACAAAGTTATTGACAGCATAAAATACTGTATATAATATTGGAAAAATGAAATTGAAATGAAGAGGAGACAACTATAATAAAAACACAAGACCACGTGAAACACCCAGAAGATAGAAAGCCCCACGAAAATAACAACCTGTCTGAGTCTGACTATTTTCATTTTGGATCGTCAATAATTGCAAACCAACATTTATTGTATACTATATACCGACCTTAATTAATACCAAGCAATTAACTTGTCGTAAAAAGTGTGTTGCACCATAAAGATGATAAAGAGTCATGTTACTCGAATCCTATAAACTCTTTCTCAAGTAGATGCAGTGAAGCACTGCACCACTCTTAGTCTTAGTCTTTGTTTTCTATTAGTCTTAAGTCTTACCTCTCTTTTACTCTTAGTCTTAAGTTCTTAACTCTTTAACCACAAGACTTGGTTGCAGTTTGGTATTCTCTTGTTGCTTAGCTATGATTTGCAACTGCACGCTATGAACGTGAATAAAAGATATTTCAAATCGCAATGGTCCCACTCAATTTAATGTCCGCAATCAAATTTACACACGTGACGTATTTGTATTATTGGGTATGTAGGCATATTCAATTTACAAAAAATAATAATCTAGATAATAAAAGTAGTGGTCCCAAACTCCATAGATTTTGGACAAAATAGCTTGTTTTTCTTATGATGTATATGGCCATGTTGTCATCCTATGGATCCATCCACATCTATTCACTAGCTTTTCAATTACTTGTCACTGTGCTAAAAAAATCAACATCACCATTATAATCATGATCATCATAACGTATATTGTAATTACTTTTAAAACAGAAACATTTTCGCTCAACTATAAAAAATGCGACTCAAATTGTGTAGTTGGCTAGTTGCTAATCTACATTTTATTCATGATAGGAAAAAAAAAGAAACTCGCAGTTTTGAATCAGCGAATCACACAACTTCCAAACTTACTTTTTCCTGTTTAACACAGACGACATTGCAAAGATTCTTTTAAAAGTATCAAATAGTACCGACCAGAAGGTGTTTGACTCGAACAGTTTGAGTTTTAGCACATACTTTACTCGATTAAGGATTAACTAATAAAAATTAAGTGAAAAGATAAAGCAAAGCACTAGAAACATCGACTTAAACCGTTAAACACACATACTCCTCTTTGGTTACAACGTAAAACACACAAATCCGACGAACAATCGACTAATTACACAGAATCACTGATATTCGATCTAATTCTAATGATTGTTACGTTCACTTTAAAGATTAGTTTTACATTCTCTCGTTTTCTTGTGTCTGGATCATTTTCATCTCAGAAATCGATGTTTCAGCCCATATTTCACGTAACAGGCTTTGTAATTCGTGGGCCGTAATGATCCAACTTAATCAAACAACATTTCCTATAACAAAATGTCAAACTTTAGTGGATCAAACAAAATCAATTTGTTTATCTTTTATATTGGATCAATCAAACAAAATCAATTTTAGTGGATCAAACAAAACCAAATGTCTAAAATGCGGTTAAAAACAAAACAAAATCTGAAATAAACTGTGGAAATTAAATTCTTAAGGAACCATTAGACGAAAAAGAAAAAAAAATTAAGAATACTTACTGAACATACTTGTGTTCCAATTTCTGTTCCCACATCGTTTTTAATCTCTAAAAACCCAATCCTTATTGTTTTGATGCCAAATATCTCCGTCGAATTGATCTTTCTCGCTCCTTTTTCTCCGCCGGCGTCCTCCGTCTGCTAACAAACCCTAATCCGACATAATTCTCGCCGCGTTTTATCCCGGCGTCCGGTAATCATTTTCTCGTTTTAAGCTTTCTGTTTGAATCAGAGCGATAGCTCGAGTCAGTAGAGAGAGAGAGAGAGAGTAGGACTCAGAATTTTCTTCGTTCCAAGTCTCAATTCATGATTTTTGCATTTTCATGGGAATTATCGATACTCTCTGATTTCTGGATTGATCGCAATTTACGGATTTTGATTCTTCGTTCTTATAATCTCAATCTTGTCGTGACTGTATATTCCAGAGAAGAAGCTTTTCGATGGCGGACACCGAAATGCAAGAGCAAGACGTGCCTTCTTCTGGTGCTGATACTGCTCCGGTGGTAACCGAAAGTGTCGATCACCAGCCGGAGCCGGAGCCGGCAGAGCCAGTGAAGGACCAAATCCCAAGTGAAAAACCTCAGTCACCTGTTGCTCCCGAGGACAAGACTCTTACTTTGGAGAGTGATGTTCATTTATCTGATGCTCCAATAGCTAATGAAGAGGAATGTGTTCAGAACAGTGTTGGTGATGTTGATCAGTCTGAAAAGAAGATTACGAGTGATGGCGGTCAAGAGGAGATAACACTGGAGGAATCAGCTCCTCTGAAGGTAGGTGAACCATCGACGCCTTCTGTTGCAGATGAAAGTGTCAAGAAGTGGAAGACATGGCTGCTAAGTGATTCCGAGGTAAAGGAAGCACGTTTATCATTTTAAGGGAACGGAGCTTTGTCATTGGTGTCATGATTGGCTCTAGTTCATTTATAAGTTCACGTTTGTTTTACAGGCCAGGGAAGTTGATGAAGCAGGGACGCCAGAGGATCAAGAAGGGTTTATTAGAGAAGTGGAGTCTTTCCACAAGGAGAATCTCCTTGAATTCAAAGCTCCTAAGTTTTATGGACAGCCCTTAAATTGTCTCAAGTGAGTTGCAGGAAACGGTTGCCTTTAATTTTTTGGAAAATGTATTATATCTGTTTAATATTTTTCTGACTTCTGCTTTGCTTTGCATTGTAGGTTATGGCGAGCCGTCATCAAGTTAGGTGGCTATGACGTCGTAAGTATCCACTTTCATTCCCGATATAGGTTAAAAATCTTATACTAGTGTTAGCTAATATATAAGAAGAGTATATAAGACCAAGGAATGGTTTCGGGGAAGGAATAAGTTAAGTGCAGTTATATGTTAGTTTAGTTAGGTCTGTGTTTGGAAACTGATTTAGTTTACTGTCATCTGCTTTGTTTGGAGTATTGTACTCAAATCTGGTCCTTTCTGGGTGAAGTTATATGTATGTGGTATATAAAATGCATGTGATTTTCATTTTATTACATAGGTCACCACATCTAAGCTATGGCGGCAAGTTGGAGAATCCTTTCATCCTCCTAAGTATGGCTCGTTTTGTAACTCCCCAATGTATCCGTCTTTGTGTGATTTTGGCTACTCAATTTTTTTGCTCAATTGTCTTATCCAGGACATGCACTACAGTCTCCTGGACTTTCCGCATTTTCTATGAGAAGGTGAATTTCATTACTTCTTCGATGCACTACTATCTCTTGAACATTGAATGTTCTGGTTGGTTTCAATCCTATCAAATCATATGGATGTAGAGATACTTCTTGATTCATATCCTCATTTTTCCAAGCGCAGGCACTTTTAGAGTATGAAAAGCATTTGAGACAAAATGGTGAGCTCAACCTTCCTGGTGCTTTGGTTCCGTCTTCCGGCCTTGAAAAAGAGGTTAGAAATTTCCTATGAACACGTGTAATCTATATAACCCAGATGTAAGGATAGTTACATTGATGTAAGGGTACTTATGCAGGCAAGTAGCCATCAAGGTTCAGTAGGGTCAGGCAGAGCAAGAAGAGATGCTGCAGCTCGTGCAATGCAAGGTTGGCATGCTCAGCGCCTTGAGGTGACTGAGCCTAATGTTAAGGTTTCTATTTAGATCTTCCCCACGCTTCATGATTCTCCCTCCATTCACAAGCATGTGCTTAAACCATGATGCTCTTTGTGTCTTCTGTCTTTTTAGGATAAAGGCTTAAACTCAACCCCAAAGCAAAAGAACCTCAAAAGCGTTGGTGTGCAGAAACAAAAAACACCAACCGGCATGGACCTTGCTTTATCTCACGAAACAGACAAACAGTTACGAAAGCTAATCTTTCTCCTGTATATATTTTTTTCATTTCTTGTGTATGATTATAGTAAGAGATTGATTGATATGGTTTTTTGGACGTGATAGATCAAGTGCCGAGGTTATTGATGTTGGACCTGGACCCCCTGCAGACTGGGTGAAGATAAACGTCAGAGAAACTGTGAGTATCTTTCTCTGCGTCTTGTAATGCAACATGTACCCAAATTTTTGAAACTAGACTAACTAACAAATCTGGCTCTTTGTTTTGAATCTGAAATCTAACCAAATTTTTGTTTTGTCGTCTTTATTCACAGAAAGACTGTTTTGAGATATTTGCCCTTGTACCAGGGCTTCTTCGTGAAGAGGTGAGCCTTTTTTTCCTTGGAACTCAAGTCTTCTTTAAGGGCTTCTTGATCAGTAAGTTGCTGTGCTCTTCCTTTCAGGTTCGCGTTCAATCAGATCCGGCAGGGAGGCTAGTTATAGCAGGCCAACCTGAGCAGCTTGACAATCCTTGGGGGATCACAGCCTTCAAAAAGGTTAGGTTACATCTCTCAGAAACAGAGCCACCATATATACTAACTGAATGATAGTCTCGTGTTTTGGTTTTGATTTCGGTGTTTGGTGTAGATTGTGAATTTTCCTGCAAGAATCGATCCGTTGCACACATCAGCGGTGGTGAGCCTGCATGGTCGACTGTTTGTGCGAGTCCCCTTTGAGCAGTGACTGGTTGGTGGTGATCATCTCAAGTGAGCTCGTTCTTCTTCATATGTTTCTTTGATGAAATTGGGATTCGACGATATCTTTGGTTCTTTAGGAATTCGTTTGTATCGGAGCTGAAAACGTCAGCGAATGTGAAAATTGTATGGATGCAACTTCGGAGTTCTGAAGATTAAAGTAGAGAAACGAAGAATGAAGATAGTAGGAGGCGTCTCCTGATACTTTTAGTCAAGTATGCTTTGCAAAAAACAATAACAGTGTGGTTTGAATTTGGAAGCTTATGATTTTCGAATAATTTGTTGTTTTTTTAAAAATTTTTATAGTATATGAATCTCATCTTTAAGTTATGAAATATTGCATTCTTAAATCCTTTCATAAAAGGTTATACATACAGAGTTACAGTCTCTTGTTTTTCTCTTCACTTATTGGTAAAGGAACAAGGAAATAAGAATTCAAATTCTTTTAGCTAATGCACATGTATATTTATGAAAAGATATGAAAGTAAGTTTTACAAAGAAATTTTTGTGTAAATCATAGTAGACTTTTAGTAGTTTTTACAAATAAATGTGTTCGTAATCATAGTAGACTTTTGATAAGGTTTACAAGAAATTTGTGTGTGATAGTAGACTTTTGATATATTAAATCTCATATAAAAGCTATGGTAGTAATTCATAAAATGGTTCTAATATTAAGAACTTGTGTAAGAGTTCGGTATTATTATTATGCATCATGTAACGTGTCACGTGTGTACAATAACCAACCATATATAATCACAATTTCATTATAAGAATTATAACCATAATATCCACTTCACAATTTAGTATGAAGCCATATAGTCTCTACGTAGTGTAGAAGATATCTAAGATTACCCCTCATATGGTTTTTGTAACAAATGCTATATATGTATAAATCTTTCCATAGGCTAGAGCTCACTTATAAGTACTTATCAGCGTACGTAGAAAACCACAATACACTCAATTTCTATAGGATGTTCACGAAGATCCGAATCTTGTTCTCGGTATTGTGTTGCTCAATTGCATGCAAGGCACATGACATGACCACATCAAAATCGTCAAAAGATAAAGTCTTATTGCATGTATCTAAAAGGTCCCGAAAGTACAATACCCTTTAATTCTCTTTACATGCTTCAACCGTTAAAACGCAAATATATGAAAATTTTGAATCTTTCCATTAGAAACAAGAATCTAAGTTTGTATCCAACTTTCACTCTCCTCTTATACTTATAACTAATGAAGACAAGTAAGCTAATGGTTTGTGATAGTATAATTACCGTATCACCAGCTGATGTATATACGATAACGTGTTACTGACAAACAAAAATTAAGCCGTCAATTATTCTATTTTCTTACATATGAATAAATAATTTTCCCAAACTCATTGGAGATATTTCACCACGAATCTCCTTTGGACATGCATTGGTCATAGAAAAGGTTTTCCTTTTATACATCTATGAAACTTAAAATTTTACGTGTCTTTTTTTTCTATTATCCAAACTTAATTTTCCTAGGAACTTGATACATTCCTCATTTTCACACATCTAGGTACTCAAGACCCCACTTGGCTATGTTGTCACTGAGTTTCCTAATCATAAAGGGAAACTAATGAAACTCTCAGCCAAATGTTTTCCATGTCTAGTTTTGGCAGGTCATATAATGTCATGTTTCCACCACTAATCTAGCTGTTGTAACGGTCGAAAAAGTATCATCTCTATGGTATGTATACACCGCTGA